GATAGATCTGACGCGAGTAGAGTAAGATCTACCCCGAGTAGAGAAAGATCTGCCGCGAGTAGAGTAAGATCTACCCCGAGTAGAGAAAGATCTGCCGCGAGTAGAGTAAGATCTGCCGCGAGTAGAGTAAGATCTGCCCCGAGTAGAGTAAGATCTGTCGCGAGCCCGTTAGGTTAGGTTAGGATGGGTTGGAACCTATTTAGTTGCTGGTAAGAGCTGGTCACAATCCCGAGTACTTGCAGCTCGGAGCGCGGCGGCCGGTGCGGTGATGCGGGGCCTGCGAAGAAGGTGGAGGGGGCGCGTGGACGCGGTGGAGGGGGCGGCGCGTCGGACAAGGAGCGAGCGAGGATGCGGCGCGGGTGCGAGCGAGAAACTAACAGTATGACTGAGTCAACCCCTGGTCTGTATTTGTGCGGCCCGGCCGCGTGGTGATAGCCGCGTTTGCCGCGCGACTCCAACCCAACGCAGCTAGCGACACCTTCCGGCGGCCAGGCCGTGCCATCTGTGTAGTGTTCTGGGAAGTTGCAGGGCTGTACGGTGCATTACCCTCTTGTTGGAGTCGGTAGAGTCGACGCAGCAGAAAACGAAATGAAAAAAAGGCGTCGGAATGTTCTACTGCGACATGACGGCGCTGCCGTGGCGCTGCCGTGCGAGCGAGCCGCTACTTGGAGTGGCTTGTTGACGCCACAGCGCACCACAGTGCAGGCAACATAGATGGCACTGAGTACCACAACTAGGGAGGAACACGACTTTTTCTTTTGTTTAGAGGTGGTCGCAGCCATGAGCTCCATCCAAAGTTAGCAAAAATAAAGCGCCATCCGAGAAACAGGTTAGGTCTGCCTGCCGCGGCCAGCCGCCTTTTGTTCCGAGGCAAGGGCGAGACCCATTGGACAGCATTGCCCGGCGGATCTTTGGCGGGGCCAAACACAGCAAGCAGTGCGGGTGTGGGACCATTAAACCTGTTTGCTGGCCTACGCCAAGCCTACGGCCCGGCCTACCGCCCGGCCCCACGGAGATGATCCAAATGCACTCGGCTAATCTACAGCCCGGCCACTGCACACTTTATAGCAGAAATGTTTTATATCTTCCTTTGTGCCTGGGCCTGGCTTAGTCCTGTTCTGATTCCGAGAAGCTGCTTTTGTATTCAGGAGTACCCTGAAGGAAGAAGCCGCAACAAGGAATGCCAGGATGACTCTTTTTTTGGTTTGACCTTATTCCGGCCCAAATTTATCACAATGTTCCCGCACGAAAATGTACGGTTTGACAGCTGAAAGAGGGTGACTATGGAGTTTCCTGCCATCCTTTCCTAGAAATGAGACATCGCCACACCTGAGTTTTATCGCGTGACACCGATTGTCGGTCCATGTGTGCCTAAAGTGCCTAGAGAATAAGAACATGATAGGCTAGAAGGACCAGAAGTGAGTGTAAGTCAGTGTGTGAATGATCGGCTACGAAAAGCCCGTAGAGGTGCCTCAGTCGATATCAGTCTCAAAGCCAATAACGCTTAGCCCTGTGAACGAGGCGCTCCAGTCCGCGGCTTGGCTTCTTGGAACTACCTGAGACTTGATTTTTTTTTTTTCGCGCTGAAGTTGGAGACTCTCCAAGCGCCGTTAGAGTGTCCAGCCACATCGCGTTCAACGCCGAGCTCGCCGTGGCCGATGGCTGGTCCGCGGCGTGGTCCGCGGCCGCCCGTCGACGAGTGTCATGTGTGGGCCAGATAGCGATCCGCATCCTCGCACGTGGCCTCGGCGCCACGCTCGGCCACGCGCGCGGCCACGCTCGGCGGCCCGGCCGGCCGGGCACTACTTATGTCACGAGGAAATACCCCAACTGAGAGGCGCCAGCGCGCCAGCGCGCCAGAGGCCCCCACAGCCGCTTGTTCGCAGCTGGCAGCCAAGAGATAAGCCCGGAATAGCGCCATTCAAAATGATTAATGTTTCTTGTCGATATCGCACGCACTTATGTCTTCGTACTGCAGGTCCGATTCTACGAGGAGATTCGGGTGCCGCGCGTCGGCCAGAAGTGGGTCAGCATGGGGCCCAACCGCCAGGACGGCGTACAGCGTCAAATACGCCGTGGAAGTCGAAGGTGAAGGCGCTGGCCGGCCGAGCCGGGCTTGGAGCCGGGTCCGGCCTGACCAGCCAACTTTAGCGGGGCGATAAGATAGCGGCGCCAAAAAGAGCAAAGCACCGAACCACTTTTTAGGGGTGCGTTTGGGAAAAGTCGAGAGCTAGCGTCGGTGCGGTTTGCGGTTGGGCGCGCGGGGCGCGCGGTGGCCGCTGCCGCGGCCCGCGCTGCTGGCTCGCGCTAGAGAGGAGGGGGCGGCCTGTGGCGGCCTGTGGCTGCCTGGCCGAGGCGCCGGTGCCGGTCTAGCTCGGCTAGCTCGCTCGCTAGCTGCGCGTAGAGCGGCTAGAGCCTGGCAGGCTGCAGCGCGCGCGGCCGCCACACACGCGAGCGCGACGGGCCAGCATCCCGCCCCTGCACGAGGCCTAGCCGCCCGCCAGCCTGGCGGTGGTGGGCCGGCCTGGCGCGACGCGCTCCGTTTTGGCGCCAAATCTGGAGCCTTAGAGGGCTCGCCCGCGGTGGTGGGCGAGTCGGCCCGGCCGGGCGTCGTCGACTAGGGTAACGCGGCCTCTGGCCAGCTCTGCCGGTCCGGACGGTCCGGGTCGGCGGTCGCAGACGTCCGAGATAAGCCGCTTGTTTTACGCGCATTTATCTATCGAAAGGCGTGTGCCTACACAGTAAACACGGCGGCGGGCGGCTGGCGAGAAGCAAGCAGGCACGGCCAGGGCACGGCCAGGGCACGGCCAGGGCACGGCGGGCTGGTCGCTGACTCGGTGAGGCGGTGTCACCAGAACCTTGAATGGAGTTCAACGCCTGGCTGAGCGTAGCGGCGTAGCGGCGTAGCTGGGCGGGGCCGTCGGGACGACCGCGAGCTTCTTCGCCTTCGGCCCTTTGGATTGGCGGTCGGAGACGACGCTGCCTCGTCGCTGCGACGCCATTGGGTGCTGCCGGAGGTACCGGACCGAGGCGCCGCGGCGCTGGGCCACTCCATGAAGCCACTCCCTGTCCTCCTCGTCCTCGAACGCCCCATAAAAGAATGCGCTTTATACGCGCGGGCGTGGCTTCGCTGTAAAAACATGTTGTTGTTGTGGCCGGCTAGGCGGCCGGCCAGGCGAAGCCAGGCGGGCAGGACCACGAGTGCATTTCTGGCGCCGGCCTTGAGAAACTTGGGAACCGCCTCGTTTGTGTTGCGGATGGGTTAACTGCGTTCCCCCCGGGGCAGCTCGGCGCAGCTCGGTGTGGATTCGCTTTTTACCGAGAAGTCCATATTGCATCACTCGGCTCGAAGGGCTCCACTCGTGTGAGAGCCCCTAAAAAGCAACGCCGCTTCGCCACTCCGGGAACGCGGCAATATAATATCGTGTTGCAGCTTCCAGCCGTTTACAGTCCGATTCATGGCAACGAACTCGTAAAAGGCAGAGGCGGCGAGGCGCGGCTTTCATAGAAGACGCGCAAGTTATTGAGATGGGATTATACGCCCTGTCGGCCTGGCGGTCGCGCTGCTTCTCGACAAGATGCACACGCTCCGCCTCTCGTTTCAAGTAACGCTGGACGGCTACGCGCTCTGACGTCACAGTGTGGCACCGCCACTAGCGGCAGGTTAGGTTCGCCTAGGTTCGCCATCTGGGGGGTGCGCGAGGCGGGGGTGGCCGGAGATTCAAACGCACGAGCCCCGCGACGCTGCCCGGCCGCTAGAGGCGCCGCAGTCCCTCGCGCAAGCCAAGGCGCAAGCCGAAGGCGCAAGCCAAGGCGCAAGCCCCTGGCGTCCCGGCTGCCCGTACCCCTGCTTGCTTTGCTTGCTTTGCTTGCTGCCCGGTCACTTTTTATGAAGGTCCTGTGTCGATGGACTCATGTCGTAAATCTTGTTGGACAGCGGTCCGCGGCGCCATCCTCAAAAAGGATCCCCAAGAATCCATCGCCAAAGATCGGGATCACGCGGTGGTCACTCTTTTTTTTTGCGATCTGCATGGCGACCGCGGGCCACGCTAGCGCCGCCACGGGTTCCTTTTCAGTCGTGAGTAACGAGTCATTGGCCGAAAACTGAAAAAGTGGGAGGTAATCCAGATTTCACGGAGGCTCGTAGTTGCTTGGGGTTCATAGGTACCGTCACCGCTTCGGCGTGCGGGGCTTTGCCCTGCTGCCATGCCATGCCCTGCCCTGCCATGCCCTGCCCTGCCATGCCCTGCCCTGCCATGCCCTGCCCTTCCATGCCCTGCCATGCCCTGCCCCGCTCGGCCCGCTCTGCGCTGGATAAACGATTCTTGGAAGCAAGCCATCGTTTAAACGCACCGGTAGGGCGTCGCGGCGGCGTGTCGCCTAGCTAGCCGGCGCGGCGGAGCGCGGCGGAGCCACAGAGCGACACCGATCACTCTCAATCACGCGACCAGGCATCGCCAGGCACTGCCTGGCCGCATTGTGGCCCGTTTTGCCTCGCTTCCCTGATCGGTTGGATCCGTTGCCGCCTCCCAGGCGAGCTCCCAGGTCCCAGGCATGGCCAGCCATGGCCAGCCATGGCCCGCCATGGTCCAGGCATGGACATGGGGTGGAGTCTTTGGGCCCTCTGGGAGGCCGGACGCTGGAGTCCGGGCTGGTGCGGCCTACATACACGCAGCCACGCTGCCACTGGCTGCCACTGGCTGCCACGCAGCCCCCGTCATGTCACGCCACGCTCGGCCATGCCACGCTCGGCCACGCCACGCGGCCACGCCAACCGGTCGGGACAACGTTTCAGCAACAGCATTGACGGCCGCCCGCAATTTTCGTGGGAAAGCATCGCCGGCTGCGAGGCGCTGAGGCGCTGCGGCGCTCGGGACGCTGCGCGCAGCAGCCGGCCGGGCGAGCAGGGAAATTTGCCGCTTTGCCGCCAACTCGACGAACGTGCCGCGAAAATGGCGGTGTGCAACCGTCTCACTCTTGCCTTCCTTCTCTGTCTGCAGACATGAACAAGGTGCGTCACCGCGCCCAGGACGCCGACGTGCTGCACTTCCGCTTCTCCCCGAAGGTGATGCAAAGCCAGGTGGCCAAGGCCACGCTCTGGCTGTTCGTCCGCGGCACGGGCGTCCACCGGCACTACCACAACCGCCACCACCGCCACCCGCACCGCGACCCGCACCGCGACGACGCCGAGGAGGACGAGGACAGCGTCGAGGAGGAGGAGGAAGAGGTGGAGGAGGAGGTGCCGCCGCAGGTGGTCGTCAACGTGCTGCGCATGCGCAACCGGGAGCACGTGCAGTTCGACGTGGAGGCCACCGTCAAGGTGGCGCGGCCCGAGGGCGAGGGCGTGTGGGTCATGGTGGACATCAACAAGATGGTGGAGGACTGGTTCCGGCGGCCGAGCCACAACCTGGGGCTCTCGGTGCACGCGCACCTCCACGGCGGCCTTGGCAGCGCTGACGGAAGGCCGCTCATCGACACCGACGCCGACGGCGACAACTTAAAGGTGAGGTAAAGGGTGCTGCTGGCGGACGTCCTTATATATATTTTGGCTTCGCGACTTGCTGACCGAGTGTACCCTGTTACGCCCGCAGATGCCGTTCATCGAGGTGTACTTGAAGGAGAGCCCGAAGCGACGTTCGCGACGCGCCGTGGGTCTGGACTGCGACGAGAACTCCGAGGAGTCCCGCTGCTGCCGCTACCCGCTCGTCGTGGACTTCGAGCTCTTCGGCTGGGACTTCATCATCTTCCCAAAGAAGTACGAGGCCAACTACTGCTCGGGAGAGTGCCCGTTCGTGTACATGCAGAAGTACCCGCACACCGCCCTCATGCACCTAGCCAACAACAAGACGGGCCCGTGCTGTGCCCCCCGGAAGATGTCCCCCATCAACATGCTGTACTTCGACAACGACCTCAACGTCGTGTTCGGCGTGCTGCCGGGGATGGTGGTGGAGCGCTGCGGCTGCTTCTGAGTCGCCGTCGAACCAATTTCGAGTCCCTAACCTGGAACGAGTCGACATGGAAATGTCCCCGTAGTGTGTTGACCGAGCAGTTATTAATACGCTAGCTAATTAACAGACTAACTTAGATTGATTTCTCTCGACGCGTTTCAAAGAGTATCGTCCAAATATTGTTTGTCAATCTGTGTAGTTAATTTACATCGGCAACGCTCACCTAACGCTGTTCTACTATTATGCATATGTCAAAAAATATATTTTTTCACTGGTAACTTTTTATGCGGCGGAAACGGTTGAAAATCTGCAGGAACGGAGAAGAAAAATGTTTCGGTGTATATGTTTTGTACAGTAGTAGCTTTTACAGTCAGCGTGGTGATATTATAGTGGAGACGGTGATGTTGGAAACAACGTCACTAGGATGGACGAAAATGGTTCTATATAAGATAACATAAATGGTTACCAAATTACATGAATGGTAAGATCTCAATTACGATGCGTAAAGAGTTTTGTACATACATTAGTTCTGTAAAATGGACGCGTCGGGTGTTTACAAACACGTGTGTTTCCGACTAAGTGAGTGAGTGGGAGAGTGAGTGTGTGAGAGTGAGAAAGTTAGTGAGTAAGCATGTGTATGTGTGCTGAGAGACGTGGGGGAGGGGTAACAGTACGAAAAGTGTGCGTTTGACACGCAAACGAAAAAAGGACGAAGAAGGAGCAATTTTTCACTGGTGCATGTCGATGGGCGTGTGTGTGAGTGCGTGTGTGTGTGTGTGAGTGCGTGTGTGTGAGTGCGTGTGTGTGTGTGTGTGTGTGTGCGCGCGCGCGAGAGAGAGAGAGAAAGAGCATGAGAGTGTCGCATCGAAGCCTGAGAGCGAACACGTCACAAACATGTATTTCGTCTGTTCTTTGTTGAATGTCTGAGGTGTAGGACAGTGAGAAACGACGATAATCTCTGATAGGGGTGTACGAATCGACTCGCGATACAAAGTTCATAAACATCCAATAAATTATTTCTATTATTTTTTAAAGTGCTACTTGTAATGCATGAAAAGGCGATTCGTGCACCTCAAGTCTTTGAGTACAAAGTGTGCATGGTGTGTGTGGTGCAGTGCTTTGTGGCTCGTGCGTCCAATGAAACAAGTCGAATCCGTCCATTACGTATTGGCTGAGTGAGAGGCACCGGAGAGTCCTCCCATGGCAAGTGGAGGTCCGGTGATATAAATGTGAAGAACAAAACATAATTACTTTAGTCCAAGGAGCTACTTATGCGTTTCCTTGTACTTCTGTTTTCGCTTCACAGTCTAGCTGAGGAGTCATATTATATTTAGAAAACTTTAAGTCATACTTAATTTTTGCTGAATCGCAAAGTATTACGTCTATAAATTATTGTTAGTTGCGTTTGTTACGACTCAGGGACAGTGCGATGACGGCGACTCCTCGGCGTGCCAGTTCCTTCCGAGTAGCAAAATGTTATCGTAGGTAACAATTTCATTGTGATATTGTCGACTTTTATTCTAATTATAAGCAACTTGAATAATTTACTCTGCGTCATTTTCTTTACATCTTGCCCTGTGGACCCAAAGCACACACCAGCGCACCCACATTTGCCACTAGGGCAGACCCCGAGCTCAAGGCGACAACCGAGGCACGTGCCCGTGCGCAACAAAAGAACAACCAAAAAACCAGTATATAACTGCCAGTGGGTAGTTACGCGACATTACAGGTACACGAGGTTGCTTCGAGTCTCCTCCTCTTCCATGTCGGGCAACCGGATAATAACATGTAATGATTTCATTTACAATGATGGCGCTTACTTTCGCGTCGTTAAAATGACACGAGTATTCATTCAGCCCGGGGGTGCAGGAGTTACTGGCCTTGCTGCCAACTCGTTCGGACTGGGAAGTAGGGCGGTGGTAGGGCCGTGGGGAAAGAGGGGGAAGCAAAAATTAAGCTGGACGGCACCTTTTTTAGGGAGAGTTAGCGCAATCAATCATCCGCACTTTGTGCTTTGCTCCCTCTACACGGGCCATTACCTTAGGATCTATTTTTGTTACTTCTTAAAAGCAGCGGTTTTCAGAAGGCGTGCGCAACGCCGCTAGTAGTACGGAAGAAATGTAACCTTGTGGGAGCCTTCTACATCCGACAGGATTTGGCGCCTGACGTTTAAACGGGGCGAGGAGCACAAACAAGAGATAGGTCACGAAGTGTTGCACGTGTTTGCAACACGTCCGCGGGTATCCCATTGGCTGGCCATGGCTGGCCATGGCTGGCTTACAGCGGAAAGTTCGTTCTATTCGGACAGCGCACCGAGACTGCCCCCGCACTGTACAGTCACGAACAAGCGTACCGGCAGCAAAGTTGGAAAAAAGACACAATAAAACGATAACTGGCACCGCAGCGGTGCTGTCTGTAGTGGGCCAAAAAACCTCCCCGAGACGCGTCGGTGCCGTCGGTGTCGCAAGGGTCGCCTATCTCTTGGGAGTTTGCAGGCACTCAGTATCGGGAGTGGCGACCGCAGTACGAAATATGCAGCTGGACGGCGCTAAGGCTGAGAACATGAAGATATGTTTCGTCACTAGGATAATGGACATTTGGCGGACACACCGCGTCGAAGGTCGTATCTCAAACAGAAAGCAATCACTCATTTGATAACTTGGAACGACATAAAACAGCAGCACCGAAAAACAGTCCAATATGATGTTGACACTCGACCATGATCTTGAAAGGGCGTGTGGCGTGTGGACTGCGGGTGCAGTGCGGCGCACTTGTGGGCTTTACTTATAGCCTGGCCGCACTGTGCGCAGCTCGCGCAGCATGCGCATGGAGGAGCCTGGGAGGAGCGTGCCTTGCCGCGGGTAGCTTCGGGCTGTACAGGTGGGCCCGCTTACCTCCTGCACGGCCTACACGGCCCGTCCTTCTGGATCAGGGACTCAAAAACCCTGCCCGCTTCGTCGCATCTCAAAACGCCTGTCAGCAAGGCAAACCACGACACATGCCCCTGAGGGTAGGCAACGTGTGCGCTGCCTTCTGCAGCACGCGGGTCCGGCCGCTGCTGTGACGCCTGTCCACGCTTGTCACCCGCTGGTCCCAGGGGTGAAGGTGAAACGCTTTGATCTTCACCGTTGGCGTTGGTCTGCCACACGAGGAGCCAAAATGTTGGGGATGGATGGAATGTAACCTCCGCAGAGAAAGGACCACGGAAAAAACTCTGAAAAATACAATTGCCGCGTGGTATCGGTGAATGAGCTTTTATTTGCCCCTCTTCGAAAGCGATAGAGTGTGTCGCAACCGGCGTGGAAATCAATGGTTCGTCGGCAATCCGCCGAATATGCCCGTAGCGACGCAGTGACGCAGTCGATATGCTCGGCCACTTGGTCGATTTTGGCGGGGTGGTTCTTCAAGCGTCGGTGCGCGTGGACGTCCGCTTTCTCTCGGGAAGACGCCGAGGCCTGCCTCTCGGTGAGGCTTGGCCAGGCTTGGCGTCGTGGGCGCGTGTACAGGAAGGGTGCAGTCGGGGTGACCTTGCGGTGAAGACGGGTAACGGGCTGTGTTTGTGGGTCAGGGTGGGCGCACAGCGCACAGCGCAGCCTACCTCCTGCTGCGGAGTCTCCTCTTGCAACATTCAAGCAGTTTATTCTGAGAGGCTTGCCGGCTTCGGGGCAGACCGGCATGCGGTATGTAGTACAGTGCAGTTTGCACCCCGCCATGAACGCCAGCCCGATGCTGTGCATGCTGTGCATGCCAAGCCAGGAATGCAATATGGAAAGGACACAAGCCTTGCACGCGCCCCGCCGCCCAGCCGTCGGCCGTCAAATCGGGCGGCGGCCGTGCGCGGTCACTGCGCGCTGCCATCGCAGCCATCCCAGCCGGACGTCGTAGGCCGTCTTTGCCTTTGAAGGCTATCCGTCGGGGATGACCACCTCACTTGTCCTGCACGTCGCCCTGTGAGAGTGACTGTGCGTTGCGGCGTTGCGTGTGTCAGTCCCCCATCTTAGTCGACTGCCGCCAGGCCACGCCGGCCACGCCAGGCGCGCCCTTAGACAGGTGGCCGCTTCGGGCCGTCGGGGTCTGGGAGCGTGTCGCCAACGCCGCCAGCAACGAGTCGCTCGAGACGTGGTCGTCGTCGTCCCGCCGCTCGCCCCGCACGGCAAGGAGAATTAAGTATGGAGTACATGTGAATGAGCGTCTGACCCATTTCGGCCACCCCCGCACCGGCTCGCGCCGCCCTGGGCCGGGCTGCCGGGCTGTCCTGGGCGCGGCCAAGCGGCGTGGCGGCCAAGTCTGTGGTTTGTAGCATCGTGGCGCGACTGGCGCGGACACACAAGGCTATGCACGTGGACGAAGAGGACGACGTGTACCAGTCGGGGGCATTGCTTTGGCTGCTTTCTGGAGCGCCATGGGGCGGGCCGTGGGGCGGGCCGTGGGGGGCGGGGCCGACCGGCAATTCGGCATACGACCTCGTGGGCGGGCTCGGCTCGGGCGGCCCGAGGCTCGGGTCAGTGCACTGGACCGAGGCGCAGCGCAGCTTTGGCGAATGCGGGGCCGGGCCTGGCCGGGCCCGGTGGCTCATTCACTCATTGAACTCTTTCACATCTTGTTCCGGGGGAGTGGGGCGTGGGGGCGTGGGTCGGGCAGTCGCGGGGACTTGCCGCGAGGCCATGCGGCCATGCACTTGGTGGCGTGCACGCGACGCCGACAGCCTCGCGACAGCCTCGCGACAGTCGGGAGTGGCTGCTTTATGGGATGGGGTCCTTCCGAAACGAAGAAGGCTGCGGCATCACCGCATTATGTCCCTGTGCCCCGCACTACCCGCGTCAGTAGAAAGGGGGCCCCTTACTGCTCGCGTCAGTAGAAAGGGGGTCCCTTACTACTCGCGTCTCCCTCGTAAACTCGCTTCGGCGTTCTCTTCTGGGTGCCTAACCGTCGTTGGACAAATATTCCCACGACGCATTAGTGATGAAAGGGTTGCGAACCTCGGTCTGCCTACTAGGCAACTTCTCTTGAGCAAATCCCAGGAATTGCCTGGTAGGTGGGTTGGGGTTCCCAACCCTTTTAAAATTGGTGCATCGTGGTAATTTTCGCCAATTTCGCCTACTTATGTGGCAACACTGCTCACCACCCGCTCCAGCGGAAGGGCCTGCTGGCAAAAAGAAACCCTACGCGGCGACCCTACGCCTTTCGCCCTACGCGGGGAGAACGACGAACGACCGGCCGGGGCAGGGCGGGGCGAGGCGGGGCGAGGCGGGGCGAGGCGGGGCGTGCCAGCCGGGGCATCGTCCTATTCGCGAGGGTTGGCCAGCGTGGACCGAAGACGAGGCAAGCGAGCAAGTTATGCAAGCCGGATACATGTGTCGTCCCATTAGGAGGTGCATGCTCGCCCCTCGCCGACGAGGATCGTCCCGCCGCCGAACCGCCCCGTCTCTCTCGCACCCCTCCGGCCGCCCACGGCACGCCCAGAGCACGCCCCGCGAGTGTGGAACAGACTGGGCGGCGATCGACGAGAGGAGCACTGTTCGCAACCTGCGCGCCGGACGCCGCGCTTCGAGGACCAGAGGGGGGTGGCCTCAGCCCAGTTTCGGATTACGCGCACCGCCACTCGCTGGTCGCGGTTTCTAGTAAACCAAATTTTCCAACGCGGAGCGCCACCAAAAAACCAAATGAACAAAATGCAGACAAGCCGGCTGCGCCGGCTGCGCGGCCCGTCGCACGGCGGAAGGACGGGGCAGGGGCCGGGCCGGGCCGGGCCGGCAGGCCACGGACCAGCAGAGGTCAGTAACTGCCCCGCCCCGCGAATTGGGGAGAGGGGAAAGGGGGCCTAAAGGACTGGGTGCCGTCGGTCCTAAGGACGACGCGGCCGCGGCAGGAAGCAGTTAATGTCCGTGCTGCTTTGCTGCTGGCCCCAGGGCAGCCCCAGGGCCTGGCCGGCCTGCCTTGCCTGGCCCCAGGCACCGCCGCCGCACCGCCGCCGCACCGCCGCCAAGCCCCCGAGCCGCGATCGGGGCATGCCTTGGTGCCTCAGCCTTGGCGGCGGCGCGCATGCATGCATGGCGAAGACGGAGTGTCATCGCGAACCGTGGTTGTAGTGAGCAGCATCCCCAGCCCCAGCGTGCTGGTCGCGTGGCAAACCATCGACGAGGGCCCGGGGGCTGCGCTCAGCCGCCCGCTAAGCCTGGCGCGCGAGTAAACCAAGCTCTTTGGGGCCTTGGGGCCAGCACTGACTTTCCGCACTGCCTTTCGTCGCTCTGTGTCTCTCGCACCTACTCGGCAGGCCAGACAACCCAACGCGCTCCACCGCAAGGCCGCGGCGGCGCCTGAGTCTTCCAAGTCCCAGTCTCCCCGACTCATGCATTGCCCATGCATGGGCATGGACGACATATGAGTCGACTAGGTTGCCTGCAGTTGCCCGCCTTCCAGGCGTGGCTCGTGACTGACTTGGCCCATGGCTGCCCTGCTCATGGGCCCCTTGAACCTGATTCCCATTGTTGAGTCGCCGCAGCGACCGCCGGGCTGTGGAGCTGCGGGGGCTGTGGGGTGGCTTCCGACCACTTCCGACGCGACGCGACGCCGCGCGCCGCCACCCCCGCAGCTGCAGCGCCTGCAGCCCGCCCACCACCTGCAGCGCTCGCAGCGCACACCTGTACGTACGCGCCAGAGAGAGGGAGTGAGAGAGGGAGACGACGCCCGGGAACTCGCCGTGTTCGTAAATGTGTGGTAAACGGCGACAGGTGGTGCGCAGCGGCGCTGCGTCCCGGCATGTCGTTGCCCGGCGCGCCCCACAGGCCTGAGGTCCAGGACGAGGCTGAGGCCACCCAGGACGGCGGGAACAGCGAGGATGAGGACGGCACGGAGGACGACGCCAGCATGAGCGGCAACGACGGCGAAGTGCTTGGCGACGCGCCGCCGGCCGGGACAGGGGCGCGAGAAAGGTGCTGTCTTTGGCCGGACAAAACTATGGCGATTCAAAAATTGATATTACGGCGTTTTTCTGCGATTTCTCGATTTCTCGCAGCCTGGAGTCCTTCCCCGGCAGCACGAGCGGCGACGAGGACGCTCTGAGGACCATGTGGACGCGGGCAGAGCCCATGCGGCCCCTGCAGCTGGACGGCGGCCCCGGCCCGGGCGGCTGCAGCTACTCCGCGGGCTCCGTGCCCGCGGCCTCGGCCCCGGCGTCGGCGTCGTCCTCGGACACCACGGTCGCCGTGCAGCCCGAGGCTGGCGGCAGCGGCACCCAGCGACAACCGGCCGCCATCCCCAACGCCGCGACCGCGCGCCGAGTAAGGCGAGAGAGAGACAGAGACTGTCGGCGCGCTTGGCACCATTCTCAATCTCTGTCTTCATGTAGGGGCGCAGGGCCAGTACCGCCCGCCGCGGCCCCAAGCGCTGCAAGCGCTGCGGCCGCTTCCTCCCGAAGGAGTCCTGGATCCGCTCCATCACCCGCTCCGTGTCCAAGACCCTCACGACCGCGCCCTGGGGCCGCAGTCGGAACTGCCGGGGCTGCGACCGGCCCATGAGAGGCTTCCGGAGGGGCGCCAGGTGAGTATACTTGCGAACATCCTTCAGACCGGTACCGGTTCAAGCAGGAGCGCCCTAGAACATCTCGCGGCATGTTCATGTTTGCAGGGGTCGCAGTCGCAGCCGGAGCCGAGCTCGGAGCAGAAGCCGGTCCAGGCGAGCAGCCCGGCGGAAGAGGTAAGACACGGCGAGGCGATTGTCGCCAATATTGCAGTGTGGAAGTGACAGGCTGTGTGCAAGGTCCTCGACGCCGTGTCGTACAAAAGTTCCAACGACACACCTACGTTGAGAGGGCTGCCTAACTCCGCCTGCCTACTAGGCAACTTCTCCAGCAAAGCCCGAAATAATGCCTAGTAAGCAGGCTGAGCCCTTTGACACTGATACACTGATGTGCCGTGGGAATTTTCGCCCACTTGTAAGGGCAAACGTGGATGCTTGGGTGTGCGATGGGAGGCCTATCCTACAGGCGCCCTGGCTGCCATTCGCGTGCCTGATCATGCAGCGTGATGCGAACGTAGCTCCATGCCATGGCGATCAGATAGCCAGTCGGCTTAAGCCGGAAATGCCTCACGGTCTTGCAGTCGGAGCCGAAGCCGGAGCAGCCGCCGCACTCGAAGCGGCAGCCGCCGTCGCAAAAGCAGCAGAAGTGGCAAAAAGAGGCGCCGGCGCAGAAGCATAGACGATCAGAAATTTTTTGTGTGCTGAAAGTGTCAAGTGTCTGCGTAACCCTAAATTCTAAGCATCGTGCACGCCCCAGCAGCGTTTACCCCAAGCCTTAATCAAGACAATGAGATTGAAATTAAAATGTTGAACATCAAATCGGAATCCTGAATGCATCTCTCAATCCCCAGAGCTACATGTAAGTCAGTCTGTAGACTTGTGGTCCTTTCATGCCAGGCAGGAATATGAAAGAAATGAAAGATTAAGTTTGATACGTATTATTTTAATGGTCACAGTTCAATGTTCAATACTGGCACAAACATGACGCGCAATAACAGCAAAACAAAATATTTGCTAACTATCCTACAATAGAGTTATAGCTTATATATTGAGCAAAATACAAAATAAAATATTGCATTTAAAAAATATTCTACAAAAACTTAATAGGAGATGATTCATATGGCTATACAATTGCAATGGATTTTAGCATTGGAATGCAAATTGCACAATGAACTTATTTGATGTAAAGTGTGGTGTGGTCAGCTAGGAAACATGAAAAAGAAACTATAGAGATAAAAAAATTTATATAACAAATTTAATTTAAAATAAATAAAATGTCACAGGTATCAAAGTTAGCATGCTTAAACTATTTTTTCTTTCTGTCTGCAGAACATTTGGGGCAGAACCATTTTCCTTTTGGCTTTGTTGTGAGCTCCACACAAGGAAAATGAAACCATTCCACTGGGCACTAGAAAAAAGACACAATTGTAAAAATTAGTCATTTTTGAACACAATTGACACCAAGTCTGGATGTTCATTGCCATGGAAAAATGAACTTACATCAGGGTTATCACAGCCAATCATTTCGCCATAAGACACTTGGTGACACAAGCAATATGTGGGTTCGTTGGGGTCAACAGGCATGTCGAGGACATCAGAAGGATGAGCAATTCCAGCTGCTCCACTGTCCACCCCAGTATTACCAGCAGAACCTGCCCCTGCACCTTTGGCTGCAGATTTGGCACCAGCTGCTGCCTTTGCTCCACCTGTCACAGAAAGAGGAAGCATTTACAACAACAGAAACAAAAACTATAGCTTTAAGAGATTATCACTGTGACAGTACCTTTCTTAGCTTTCTTACGAGGTGCTTTGCTTTCATCTTCACTACTTGCACCTGCCTTCTTTTTGACATCTTTGTCCTTAATTTTTTTCCTTCCTCCTGAAATACAGTGAGCTATGAAAAACCACATCACCCACATAAAGTATTATGTTAATTTCATTCCTTGTTAGAAAAAAGGGCTATACAGAAATGTTAGTGAATTTATCATAAATGAAGGCGAATACAAAAATCTTACTCTTCTGCGAACCAGCTTCTTCTTGACTTCGTGTGTTGCTTGCAGCTTTGTCATGAATCTCAGTTTCAAACCGAGCCAAGTCAGAATCTAGACGTCTGATGTGCTTGTCCACCTGAAAAATATTAGCAATGCCATTTGTTAATTGCTGTAGATTTCAGAATTAAAGTGCAGTTAGACAGATTGTTGTTTAGTGCATGCTCACCAATTCATAAGTTTGAATAGCAAGTTGAACCTTATCATCTCCATACTCTTTGGCTTTGTTAAATTGTTCTTGAATTTTATCCATTTGGTCTTTACGTTTATCGGATCCCATGCTCCGTACATTTGACAGGTAGACGCTTGCCTGACGGTCAATATTTTGCATGAGCTCCCTGGCTCTACTATCTAAATCACGCATAAGCGTGAAATTTCTTAAAAGCTCTATAGGGAGATGCTCCAAGCCTGTAAAATTAATTATCATTAATACCAAATAAGAATACTGTCAAGAACTTAGGTTAAGTAACATGTAGCAAGACGAAGCATACGAAACCCTGAGGGTTTCAACAAAATAAGACTGACTGTGAAAAAAGTATATGTAATAGACAAAGTACTCGATAAAAACGAAACTGCAATGCATAAGCTGAGATGGGTATTTACGCACTGTCCAGGTTGTGTTCCAGGTACACAGCCGATGTCATGTTGGTGCTGTTCTTCTGTCAAACGAAGGGAAAATTGAATAAATGGGCTTCAAATATGTCTTGAATTTATTGCAGAGATTCTTCTACCGCTTGACAAGAACGAAATCATGCTGATTTCGGCCAAAACAATAACAACAGACTAAATAACTGTCAGCGTCAGCGCAGCAAACAGTTCTGGAGGCAAAGCAAAAACGAAAACAACACCCCTCCCCGCCACTCCCCCCCGCCCGCCAACAACCACAATCAATCGAAGTAGAAGGCTGTGGAGGCGCCAGATTTCGAACGAGCGCGCGTGGCTGGCGAGACGTGCATCAGCGCGGGTGCTTCGAAACAAATCTTTCGTTAAGGGCTGTCGCAGTGTATGAACCACAGTGATGATCGTTTACTGCTCAAATTTGATCTCATTCGAACGAGCGGCCGGAATGTGCTAACGAGTGTCCAAACCTCGCGAGGTCACCGCGCGGGAAGGGAAGTAGTTCTCTGCTTCAAAGGGAACGATGGCGCGACGCCGACGCCAAAATACGCGGAAAAAGGTTTATCGAGGCGCTTTTCGCTTGAGGGTGAGTTTGGAAGGGCCCCCTGCGGTTCGGGGACGCTGCACTGAGGCGCAACGATTCCGTGCTACTTGGGGCTCTGAGCGCGGCTCGCTGCGCGTAGCTGCGCGCGGATTGGCGGCCATTACTCCCAAACTGCTCACATGACCCTGTTGTTTGCCCCCGTGATCACTGCTTGAAGCTACCTGGCAAATTCAAAATACATTCTCCATCACCCATGGATGTGATCGACCAGGACTTGGACACCAGGTAAAGTCGAATTATCTAAGGTGTCTGACAGTGTCTCATGGCATCCGCCAGTTTTATTTGACCGAGAGAGATTCATAACCTGAAGGTCACACATTTTCATTTCATGTGTGATACGTCGGTATACCGATGAAATTGTCTGCTACGACAGATGGTTGACATTTAAAATTACTGGATGGGTCTTGTAAAATTATTTAGCAACAGTCTTCCTCACTGCCATTCCTGCGGAATGCTGCGTTTTCTGTTGTGAAGCATCTTAAGTTGTAAACATGATGTTGATACCAAGACTTTACATATTTCCTATTTTTTCACCCCTTTCTAGTAAGATAGAAGCGTTTTTATTTCCATCTTTGAGTCCTGGCAGAGATTTCAGTCTCTGTCAGTTAGCCTTTCAGATTAGTATGATGGTTATGGTTGTCAAATGGTCCAACATACTTTGGAGCCATAACCTATGTATATGAATGCATCATACATAGCATGGAAGATAATAAATTGTTAAATGTTAAAATTTGATTTTTCTTTTGCAGTGATGACAGGGATGTAGATGATGCTCTTATGGACAAAGACGAAATTCAGGTGTTAGCATCTCAAAGCTTGACGATAGTTGAAGATGACGCCTCACTTGGGTCTTCAGAAGATCAAGCTGCGGTTGCAGGCCTTGCCGAAAGTATGTTGGATGGTGATGATGATGTGCAGTACTTCAGATCTGGAGATGGTGGTAATTATCCATACACCTTGGATTACTTGTAAATTTTGTTTCTTTCTACTCTTTTCAATCAAACTATTACTCTGATATGCAGGTACTTTGACAACATACCGAGTTGTGCAGGTAGGTGATTCAGACCAACTACCTCAACTCGTATCTTCACCAGCCTATTCGCCAAATAGTAGTTCTCAAGGTGTTCTTACTACTGCACCTCTCACAGGTTTGTTGAAGCTTTTTCGATAGTCATTTGATTTTTGTTACAACCCTGATGCAAATATATGACTTAATTTTTCAATCTAGGCCAGTTTTATGTTATTGGATCACCTCAAGAAGTGTTTGGAACCTCCCAAGTTCAACGCTCTCTTGCACCTAGAATGGGTTCTGGCTTAGAGGGAGGACCTAGGGCTGTTCGGGTAAGTTATTTATTTCTACTACTTATTTAGATTATTTTAGCATGATTGCATGCTTGTAACTTACTGTATTTTTATTTTATAGAGAGATGACAAAAGAAGAGCAACACATAATGAAGTAGAGAGGAGGAGGAGAGATAAAATTAATACTTGGATTGTTGAACTAAGCAAAATAGTTCCTGATTGTGTACCGGAAAGTACGAAGAGCCCTGGACAGGTAAGTCTTTCTTTTGATAAATTTGTTTGTTCAAAAGTTATTTCCTTTGTATTCATTTGTTATTTTTCCTTCCAGAGTAAAGGTGGGATTTTGTCAAAAGCTTTTAAATATATTATGGAACTAAGGACCCAAAATTCAAGGCTAGCTGATGGTCACAAACAAACAGAAACATTAGCGCACAAAGTCAAACAACTTCAAAAGGAGGTAGAGGCATTGCAGGCTAAGAATGCTTCCCTTGAACAAGAGGTATCGTTACTTCGATCACAAATTGACGAAAAGTAACTGCACCACCATTTTGTCATGGTATGTTTAGCTTTTTTATTATCATTATTATTATTATTTCAGTTGTTAGGTGTCTGTTTTGTTTCTGTGTGAGGCTTTTACCTCTGGTCATTATCTTAATACCTGGTTTCATCCTGCCATTGGCATTGGAAGTTACAAACTTTGTTAATGTTTTTTATATAGTTACCAAATGGAATCTTAGGTAGCCTGGTTGTTATTTGACAGACCAATTTGACAGAATAACGGGATATGTATGTCTTTTTACTAATAAATATTACAGTGTCAGGGGCAGGGCCTGGGTAAAAGTTTCTGAGGAAGATTGTAATTTTGTTTTGTTGCAATTTTAGAAAGTTGTATGATCTGTGCCAATGAACTAGCGCTCGTTGTAAATTATTTTCTAACTGGTATTGTAAAATAATAATAAGGTTAATTTTGGAAAATGTCCTGGCACTAGATCTCCTGGAATGTGTACATTTAGTATTAAGTTCATCTGTGTGAGAATTGACTGATGGTAGTTCATAAGGAAAGAAAGCTGTGTTTTTGTTCTCTCAAAATTACTGGCCTTACATTGTTTCTCCCTGCTTTAGTTTCATTAACTGATAGTATCTACTCAAGCCTTTAAGGTATTCCTCACCATAGTTTTCATCAAGTTTTTCCAAACTTGAAGTTCTACTTTTGTTCTTTCACACAATACAGTGCTGTGTCTTGTAACAGTGTTCCAACAGGAATTTGTTAAAATGTTTTGTTTTCATAACATGAAGAATTTCTTTGATGAATTCTGCTCAGTTATTGTCCATTTTAAAGCTCTGTGGCAATGTGAAGTGGTTTCTTTCTTTCCCTGGGGTATGAAAACAACCATCCTCAAGTACCTTAAAGACATTTTATTGCATCACTTCAATAAACAACAGTTATCAAAATATATCACCTATTTAACAGAAGAGATTTTCACATATAACAAGAATAATTTAAAGTTGGAAAACATTAAAAACAAGGTATAAAACTCAATAAAATTATACAATATTGGAAACAAGGACAAATAACTCCATGGAAAAATTAAGTGCTTTCGGGTAAGTCACAGACATCAGACCTGACAGGAATGTGCAAGTGACAATGCCAATAAAACTAATTAAATAAGTTAACAACATGAGACATCTAAACTCTGTCATTTCAAAAGATAAATACTGCTGTTTCTTGTTCTAAGCTCAGTCATAGACAGCCAAATGTTGTACTATAAAACAGGTAATAAGAGACATAGAGTTTGATTAACTTCATAGATTGGCTTACCAATACATGGTCTCTCTTAGCCACCCAAAAATGCATTGTTAAAATGAGCAACAAAAAGGGGGCTCGGTTTAAAACATTCTCCAAACATTAGTTTACAGGGTGCACCTTTGAACAGGATATGGAATGTTCCAAGTTTGATGGAGCTATGACAGCCTTGGGTATCCAAGTTAAAACTGTTATGTTTAAGCTTGGTAAGTACTGGCTGAAACGTTTCCTCCATGACCAGTCCAGTTGGTGTGGATGAATTGACCAGGACGTGTCAAAAGTTCGTAAGTATGGGCACCAAAGTAATCACGTTGTGCCTGAAAGTTTAAATAACAGGATATAAGGTACAAAAGTCAGACACACTCTCAGGTCTCAACATAGGTTGAGTAAAAAGTAACAACTCAAGATTACCATACCTGAATAAGGTTGGCGGGCAACCTTTCGGAACGGTAACCATCAAAGAATGCCAAGGCAGTGCTGAAGCATGGGACTGGAATGCCAAGCTGGGCAGCTGTGGCCACTACTGTACGCCATGAAGCCTGGCACTTGTGAACGGCCTGAGTGAAGAATGGGTCCAGAAGCAGGTTGACAAGGTTTGGGTTCTTCTCAAATGCAAGCTTGATGTTGCCCAAAAACACACTGTTCCAAAAATTTAACATGTTACTTAACGTGAAATGTTTCAACTGGATTCTTATTTTAAAAAGTGCAATACCAACCTCCGGATAATGCAACCACCTCGCCACATGAGAGCGATGCCTCCGTAGTTCAAGTTCCAGCCATGAACCTTGGCAGCTTCACGCAACAGCATGAAGCCCTGAGCGTACGATACAATTTTCGATGCGTACAGTGCCTGAAGATTAAAGAAATATTCAGTTAGCATTTCTCCTCAGAGAAGGATTTCCTTACTCCAGCAAAACTATTTACCTGTCTGATGTGTTCTAAAAACTGCTTCTTATCTCCAGTATACTGAGTGTTCTGAGGACCTTTGAGTACCTTGCTTGCCTGAGATCGCTCCTCAGTGAGGGAGGACAGACAACGAGCAAACACTGATTCACCAATCAAGGTAACGGGCTGACCATAATCCAGAGCGGAGATGGCAGTCCACTTTCCAGTGCCCTTCTGACCAGCAGAGTCACGAATCTTTTCAACAAGAGGAAGCCCTGCAAGAGACAAAAGATGAGAACCAACTTATTCCTTTTGCCTCGGCTGATTTAATAGTTGTAATTAATTACCGTCATTATCCTTGAATTTTAGAATATCCTTGGTGATTTCAATGAGGAAAGAGTCCAATTCTCCTTTGTTCCAGTCCTCAAAAACCTACAGACCACAAAAGATATTAAGAGTAAAATTTCTGTCCTCATAAATGTCAAACTTAAAGTTTAAAAAAAAAAGGACTTACACGGCTCATTTCATCTGGTGACAGACCCAAAGCACTTTTCATCAGATGGTAAGCCTCACAGATGAGCTGCATATCACCATATTCAATACCATTGTGAACCATCTTAACAAAGTGACCAGCACCATCCTCTCCAACCCAATCACAGCAAGGGTCGTTGCCAACCTTGGCTGAAATGGACTGTGAAAGAAGGAAAATGTTAAAACTTACAATCCCGTACTGCAAAAAAATATTTAATCACAAATTAAGCTAAAGCCTAATTACCTGGAAGATATCCTTGATGTAGGGCCAAGCCTCAGGGTTACCACCAGGCATGAGAGATGGTCCATAGCGGGCTCCGTCTTCTCCACCAGAAACACCAGAACCGACAAACAATAAACCTCTGCTCTTGAGGTCCTTGGTGCGTCTTTGGGTGTCTTGGTATTCAGAGTTGCCGCCATCAATAATAATGTCACCAGGCTCCAAAAGGGGCTCTAGTTTTGCAATGAAGTCATCAACAGCAGAGCCGGCTGCAAATTCAACAACAAATACAAAAATTAAAAATAATTTCGACAGTGAAAAAATAAAATCTTTAAATATACACAAACCTTTGACAAGCATCATAACTCGGCGAGGTTTCTTGAGCTTCGCCACCATTTCCTCCAGGCTGTGGGCTCCAACAACTTTAGTTCCCTTGGCTTCATTGGCTAAGAATTGATCCACCTTCTCAGTCGTACGGTTGTAGGCACAGACAACAAATCCATGGTCATTCATGTTAAGGATAAGGTTCTGGCCCATGACCGCCAGGCCAATCAACGCAATGTCTGCCCTGCAAAATAAGAAGACAATATGCATCATTTCACAGTTGCAATGAAAGATGGAGATGGAGAGCTGGAAGATCCTCCCCCCCCCCTCTTTTATTCGTCATTTTTCCATAAGTGATTTTATTCATTTAAGACTGCAATAGCACAATTCATAATGCAGTAGATAAGCCTCTAGTGGTAACTCCAAATGAGGATCTCTGTTAAGCACTATCTCCCCTTTGACCTTGACCGCCAGTGCTCAACACGAGTGAAGATATTGTGAACAAGACAATACCATAAATTACCTGAACCGACATTGCAACTGCAAAACAACAAAATTATCCTAAACAAAGACCATCTTACTGCGTAGTTTTCAAAGCTCACCCTCACCGCAGGGAGTTTTTTTTTTATTGACAGATAATTACTTAAAAATTAATATAAAAATTTGTGGTATATCAGAAAACGAAAGGATAAGAGCTTTTGTGGCCAATGGGCAGATGTGAAAGACTGATGCCAATGCGTGGCTAGTGCATGATTATTTCATGAGATGACAGTGCATGTTGCAAAACAGTAAATTTTCCTCTTTAACAGCCAAAATTACGCGCCATAACCTTCATAAACCGGTCGCAATAGTCGTGAGGGCATCAGACAGCGCATTCAGTGGCGTCAATCACGAGAAGCCGCACCCTTCCTAAAATCGGGAAATCCATACACCTACGATGAACTCTTACTTTTCTGCCATTGCTGCGGAGTGCCGGGTTCCGTCGCCGTCCCTAGGAGTCGGTAGAATGCCTGCGTAAGTAGGTCTGGGCTAGCGAGCTCGCAGCTCAGCTCGCTCTGGTTCGGGTAGGGGCAGCGAGGAAGGCAAGGGAAGGGGGCTCCGGAAGGTCGCTTTGAAGCAAAGCAGTTTAGAAGTGATCGGTGCACGAGGGACGAACGAGAGCCCCGTCACCGCAGGATAGGGGGGGGGGGGGGGGGGGGAACGGCCCACTCCGGTCCGCGGCCGCGAGGTGCCCCGCGAAGCCCCGCGAAGCCCCGCGACGACGTCCACGCCCCCCTCTCCCCTCCCCCTTTTCTCATGCCGGCTCGAGGAGCCCGAGCCCGCGATTACTGGGGCCGGCCTTGGCGGGTGCCGAAAACGTCACCTCAACGCGCCCTCCGTCCAAATTTGGAGGTCAAATATTGGAGTAAGAAGTGAGCAACAGTTGGTACCCGCCGCAGGGACTTCCCGACCGCTTCGCGGAGCTTCGCGGAGCTTCGCGGAAGTGTGCGGTGCGGCGTCTTCCCTGTGCGCAACGACCCAAAAGACTTCACTCGTTCTTTGGCACACCGCCGCGCTTTTGCACATTCACTGCAAATGACGCAACGCCGGCGAGATACACTTCGATACTTCCACAAGTTACGTAATTCGGTCATAATCTGGCGGCGGCTGCTGGCATGACTTGTGGGGCTTATCGGTGAGCTGTGGCTGTATACAGCGCACCTTTGTCTTTGTCGGGTGTCCGCTCCGCGTCCGACGTGCGCCAGCGTGCGCACTCTTGGACATGCCGCGGCCGCTCGCAGCTCCGGAGACCATTTTCAGGCTCTACTTGCAAACGCGCAATAGCGGAGACAGGGGCTTTCTGCCTTGGTGCACACAAGCGCCTTGCGGGTATGCAACCCATCCTGCACCGTGGCCCGGGCCGGGCCAGCAGGCTCGGAGTCCCTCGCGCCCGGCTTGAATGAACCGCGGAGTGCCTCCTGAAACAGGGCAGCAGAGCCCCCGGGCAAGCGGGGCGTGTTGACGCGTCAAGGATTTCTTCATCTTTGAGGTGAAAAGTTACTGGGAGGAGAAAAGAAAGTCTGGGAGACCTGTGACGCGCCGAGGCCAGCGGCCAAGCGGTCAGCAGACCCACCGCGATCAGCTGATCGTCATGGCGCTGTCACTGACCGCGCCAGTGATCGGATCGGGTGGGCGCCACGCCACTACACACCACGCGCCGCGCAGCGCGCTGCACGGGGCGTGGGCGTGAATGGGTGGTCGCTCCGCGGGGACGTCACTACTCGTCATCATCGACGTGAACAACCGGGCGGACCACCTTTTCATCGGTCTCCGCCTCTTCCTGCATCACAAATCTGTGTCTCTCCTCTGACCGCGGCGCTTATCGACCTGTCTCGCGTGCCTGTGGATGTGGATCAGTCGGGGCGGGGGGCGGGGGGGAGGGGGGGCAGAAATCGGCAATGGGAAGGGAGGGAAAAGGGGGGGAGGGGCTCCAGGAGGCCACAAATTGAGGGCCGACACGTAGGCAGGACAAGGTCCTAGTAGCTGCCAGGCATAACTAGCAACTAGGCCGACCGACCATAGCGCCATAATGACATTTCCGGTCGATACCGACATCGACCCCGGAGTCGCAGGACGGGGAATGACTAGTCGCAAGAGAGAGGGAAGTGCCATGGCGGCACGGTGGCGCCCGGCGCGAATTCTTGAAGGCCCGAGAAAACTACGTACTTGGATCCAATACTACGCCCCTCTGCATCCGTAATCGCCCGCTTCTTTCCCATATCGCAGCTCGGAGAGGATCGGGGTGGGCCGATAAAGGAGGCTGCGGTTGGGGAGAGACGATAAAAAGAGAAAAAGTAAACAAATCTGACGACGGGAATCAATGAGGAGAGCCACAAAATTGTGGCAAAATCGCAATGTTAAACTGCATAAAAAAAACATGTACAAATTTATTGTCAAATTTCATTTTAAAAAAATATACCATACAACAAGAAACAAATTTAAAATTACTGAACAAATTAACAGATTTAGAACTAATGTTAATCAATGTCAACCTCCAAACTTCAGACTTCCTTTTATTCAGAGATACAAAGGCAATTCAAAGACATTTATTAAAATAAAAAGAATTTTGTGGATTCCTCAAAGCCACTTTTTGGTGAAAGGGCCACACAAACAAAAATAAATATGGTACATCCGGACATTTATCTCTGAACTAAAGCACTTAGGCTATATATAACTGGCTAATCAATGCACATTTAATAAAACAAACAAAACACATCAACTTACAGATAAAATTTGTTTGAATGGAAATGTACATCATGCATATTTAAGCGAAGTGGTAACACAAAGAGGACTAAAGTAATTATGAACCTATCTATAAATTATTTTTTTACAGAAACGAATACTGACAAAGAAACAGGATGTAATAGAACATACATCAAGAAGTTCCCCCTCTAGCAAACAAACAGATGACACTAGTTTCAACCATGTACAACATCAAGTTTAATAATGGTGGAACACACTGCATTTAATTTGAACCACCTATATGTAATTAAGTCACAATACTTGACTTTTGTCTAATGATCAAATCAATCGCACAGTGTTTTCAGCTCCTTTGATAGCTCTGTAAGAGGGTGGAGCGCAAGTAGGGAATGGTTTGGCGTAGTCTAGGGTCTACAGCTACCATTCATGGTGACACAAGTAAACTATTTTAAAAGACTATTGAGGGGGAACACTAACAAAACTTTTCAACATCAAAAGAGAACCGTCAGTCTATGCCACTTAGATCCTCATTCTTACTAATAATTTACAGAGTATTACACACTTTTTTGAGCAATATGGTTTGCAAGATAAACTTTGCAGTCCTACCAACAATATTTCTCAAAAATACTGTTTCTAGATATTACAACTAGGGATAGCTCCATGAAGATTTGAAAATTGTCACCAGAGTGTGCCTGGAACAACCTCACTTCTAGCTATATTTTCCCAAAGTAGGAAGATGTGCTAAAAAGCTACAGATGTGACAAAACTATATGAGAAGGGCCACACTTCTCTCATGACATTACAAAAACAATATAAGATTTAGCAGTCCATTCTTTTTGGTATAATGTTAGAGTAAGTGAAATATTGTTTTAAAGTATACTACAAGAAATTATATACTTTTGTGTATTAGTTTTTGATTTTTAATTATACTATTGGTACATATTTTTGATGCTGCTATTATCAATAATCCACTATATATTTTGATATGCGAGATGGGCTTAGAGAGTGAAAGTGAGCTGTGCCACCCATGAAAAGATCTGAAGGGACTCATCAGGGAAGAATTTTGTATCATAACTCACCCATGGCAACAATTATATTTGAAAGTGCAGTGCGTGCATCATTCTGCTCAAATGCAGCAAGGACCTCCATTGCCTTTTGAGAATGCTCTTGCCTCAATCGCTTTGTCATTGCCAGGCCAGGCCCTTTGGATACAATACTCTGAATCTAGGGGGAGAAAAAATTAAATTTATTAATAATAAAAGTTTGGCTTTCATTTGAATATTTCAGAATTTTTAAAAAATATACTGCATAGTCTTTACAGCATACCTCAGCATAATCCACATCATTAACATTTTCAGCCCCAGCTTGAATTAGCTTGTACAAAGATGAGTCATATTCTAAATGAAAGAGTACAGGGGCAGAAACAAGACTGAAGCCAACTCCAGATGTATGCTGCGATGATGGCATGAATGGTTCCATATCAAGACATGCCTATAAATAGAACATGGAAACAATTAAGTTTGAAATGAATGCAGCACAATGTTTCCTAAACCATCACACTGACCTGCCAAGCAAGAGCTAGATGCTTTCCAAACTTGTAGCCTTCCTTTGAGAACTCTTTACTGTGCCCAGCCAATCTCAGCGTACCTTCACAAGATTTTCCCAGCAATCTTCCTCCAGAAAGTTCACTTCGAAGAGTCCATTCCTCAACAGGGGAACCTTCCAGAGGATTTGTTGGAAGGGGATTATTCTGTTGGTCTCTTTGGCCAACAAATTCGCTTTCAGTTAGATCCCGCACAGCGCTACTCATCAACTCAGTAATCTGTACACAGAATAAAATGTTACTCCTCATATGCTGATATAATGCAGGCGCTATCATGACTAGGGAATGGAATGGAATGGAAACGCCTTTAAGTTTCTAAAATGCTATAAATTTAATATACCTCCTGATTGCGGAGTGCAGCTAATTCAACACAGCAATTGCTGAGCAGATAATCTCCGCTCAGCAGAGCAATCTTATTTCCAAATGTCATGTCATTCAAAACTGCTCCTTCTTGAAACAGTCCAGGATGAATGTTTACGAGTCCTTTGTGAACTAAATGAGATGTCCGAATCATTTCTGTCACTTCGGCCAGGGCACGCTGACTGTAAATTAAGGACAAGTGAAAAAGTTAATTGTTATTTACCACAATGGTGTCCATGATATTTATGAGCTTCAAATAAGAGGCTTGGAATATATACCTGTACAAGACACCTGCAGCTTTATCTTCTTCCATTTCATTGACATTAAGATGACCAGCAGCTTTGGACAACAGCAGCACTATAAGTCCCCAGGCTTGCATGTTATTTTTCCCATTGTATAGCAGCCCTCTAAAAATTTAAAACCAAACATATCAATACAGGCTTAGTACAACACAAATGAACGTGTTGTCAAAGTAAGTCAAAACATACTTCGCTGTCTTCAACAGTGGATGGTTGGATCCCACAAGTTTACGGAGGTGCAAAGCGACATTGGCAATTTCATCACTGAGCAGCCAGCGTAAACTAAGAAAGGATGTCGGGTACCCAACAATTTTCTCAGCTTCGGAGACAGCCTTATTCCAGTCTGGCTTGGTGTTGTGGGCATGTTGGGTCACGGCACCTCGCTGACCCCCATCGGTATGCAGCAAGGCTTGGCAGGCTGGACGAGCTGTCAAGGTGCGAGCCACCAACGCGCCTCTCATCGCCACAAACCCGCTCACTTTGCTGCTCAGCATTTTCAATCTCACCTGATTACCTTCTGGAACAGGGCACCTTTGGCCTCTTGTAAGGACGGCGGTAAAGAAATGCTTTGAGGCAGTCCTGTCCTACCTCACACGACAAAGTGTCACGTCAAGGCTGAAAACCAAGCCTGCGAACACAGGTGAAAGTTCTCACATCATTCTCCCAGACCTTCAGAATCGCTTTCACTTGCTGCTGGAGCGCTTCCCCAGATGTTTGTTGTTGTGGGGGTATTCGTAAAGGCACTCGGGCCATGTCGTCTGCTAGCACTTCGAGCACAGGAAGAGAAGAGAAAAAGAAGACAAGTCGGTCTCTGGTTGGCCACTGCGAGCGCAGCCACCTTCAAAATGCGTTATGTTCTTGTCATCTTCTTCTTCTTATCAGGCTAGCCGTGTCCTTGAGTCGATGCTTACGTAAATTTAGGTACGAACTTGTAGGCAAATGACATGATAATCAGATTATAACACTTGGAGAACAGAAACACTCCACTTAGAACACAACGTCGCACTTAGAACGCGACCGCACGAGACCGGAGCCGAAGTGGATAAACCTGATAACAGTTAATCCGAATTTCATACACAGCAACACCGAAAAAGAAAGCTACGAAAAGGTAAATCCGCTCTAGAAAATAGATTTTTTCATATTTAAGACCATGATATTAATGACATCAGTATTAACAGAATGACTACATCCACAAGTTTCTAAGTTGAGAGATTGGTACTCTGTGCTTTCCCGCCTTCGATTCAAACTTGTCGCGGGGAAGTGCTTGATTTCGCCGTCATAGCTTGTTTATTTTGTGTCAGTTTTGAAACAATTCTGTGGACAGTTAGTTTTCAATGCATTTGAGCTTGACCGAGTCCAAACATTAACCAGAACCTGTGGCAAATGGTGTATACAGTCACGCGAGGCCGATACGTACATTTTGAAAGGAGGTCAACATCCTTTTCTTTCCTGATTATTCACCTCGATAAATAATAATCTTATTTCTACACATAGAATCATCTATTTAGGGTGGTGCATATTTCACAATTTTTCAATTCACCTTCTAAACCTCTAGTTTCTAAAAGTGGGGGCATGCGACTGGTAGGAGTCAGTTTCACATCCAAATAAAAAACCACGTAGGTTTCCACGCAATTATCGCTTATGGTAAAAAGAGTGTAAACGTATAAATAAAAATGTAAAGAAAATTGCGGGTCTATCTGGCAGCGTAATGATTATATTTAACTAGACCTTAGTTGTTAGACACGCAGCAGTCAGTGGTGGTCATCCCTGCGTCAGCTGACAGTCTTGTGATTGTAACTTGTGTCGGCCGCGACAGGGAGGATTCTTTACTCTTGCTGGTGAGTGTCTGCTCCCTTCCTCAGTAGAAATTGTGTATTTCTGGACAAATGGTTAAATTTTAATTTCCTACAGTGTTGTAGATTATACTCAAAGGTAATCTAAAGCTGGAAGCTGAAATATCTCAAGAACACGGGGTCTATCCCGATTCTGCTCGGAGAGGCTATAGCCCAGTCGATAAATTGTTGAATTATTGTCATTCCTAGCTTATTTCACAGAATTATTGGTTTTAAATCTTTTTACTTGTATCTAAATACGTTTTACATATATTTATTTTGTGTGCCTTTGTCTTGTTAATTGGTTACTGACTGCTTTATTGACCTATATTGCATTGAAGCAGACAGCTTTTCAGCCCTCCTCTCAATGGGGTTTTACATATTGCATTTTGTTGCTCGGTTCCTCTACCGTTTTCATGTCTTTAAAGTACTTTTGTTACTACATTTGACAGTTGAAAGTTTATTCCGAATAAATGTTTAACGTGTTACCTATGTCAGTTTCAGTCATCCAACGGTCACAAAATGCTTCCCAAAATCCGAGATGAGGACAAGGAGTCCAAATTCGGCTATGTCTACGCCGTTTCTGGCCCTGGTGAGTTATTCTTACTAGATAATGTGTTTTCACTTTTTTTAAAGTTCGATTTACATATTGTCCATTGTCGCACTTTTCAGTCGTTACCGCGGAAAAGATGTCCGGGTCAGCCATGTACGAACTCGTTCGTGTAGGCTATCATGAACTTGTGGGTGAAATTATTCGTTTGGAGGGTGACATGGCCACCATTCAGGTTAGAATTCTTCCTATTCTTCCTACATTGTCGTTTGTGACACAAAATTTCTTCTAGTATGGTGGTATGCTATTTTCTTTGTAATGTGCTCAGGTGTACGAAGAAACCTCAGGAGTCACAGTTGGAGATCCTGTACTGCGAACTGGCAAACCTCTGTCAGTTGAGCTTGGACCTGGCATTCTTGGTAGTATCTTTGACGGTATCCAGCGTCCTTTGAAAGACATTTGTGAGCTGGCAAAAGGAATTTACATTCCCAAGGGTGTCAATGTGCCTGCTCTCAACCGAGACATTTCATGGGACTTCAACCCACTATCAATCAAGGTAAGGTGTTTGATGGCATGTGTGAGATTGTACCATAATAGTGTTTTCATTAATGTTGCTTATTCATTCATTCTCAGGTCGGTAGTCACATGACTGGTGGTGACTTGTATGGAGTTGTCCACGAGAACACTTTGGTGAAACACAAGATTATTCTGCCTCCGAAGGCAAAGGGTACAGTCACCTACATTGCTGAACCTGGAAGCTACACAGTCGATGTAAGCAATTCGTCTCATTATCCTGTTCATAATAATAAAATTTCATCTAATCTTTCTTTGAATTCTTGTGTAGGATGTCATCCTGGAAACTGAATTTGATGGAGAAAAATCCAAGTTCACCATGTTGCAAGTGTGGCCTGTGCGTCAGCCCCGGCCTGTCACTGAAAAACTTCCTGCCAACTACCCTCTGTTGACTGGCCAGCGTGTATTAGACTCTCTGTTTCCGTTAGTACTTACGACCTTCATTATTTTATTCCTATAATAGTTTTCTATATGATTTTAAGTCTAATGATGTCATTATCTTAAATGTAGGTGTGTACAAGGAGGAACCACAGCTATTCCGGGTGCTTTCGGTTGCGGTAAAACTGTAATCTCTCAGGCTTTGTCGAAGTACTCCAACTCTGATGTCATTGTTTACGTTGGTTGTGGTGAACGTGGTAATGAAATGTCTGAAGTATGTATTTAATGCTGAGATCTTTTTTTTGTAAATATTATTCAGGCTCAGGAATGTTCAATAATTTTGTTTACTGTGTTTGTCATAGGTATTGCGTGATTTCCCGGAGCTTTCTGTTGAAATCGATGGTCAAACAGAGTCTATCATGAAACGTACTGCACTTGTTGCCAACACATCAAACATGCCTGTCGCTGCTCGTGAAGCCTCCATCTACACAGGTATCACCCTGTCTGAGTACTTCCGAGACATGGGTTACAACGTATCCATGATGGCTGATTCTACATCCCGTTGGGCTGAGGCTCTTCGTGAAATCTCAGGTCGTCTGGCTGAGATGCCCGCTGACAGGTGTGATTGTGTGCCAATTAAGTAGATATCTATCATGTTGTATTAAGAGTAGGGCCTAACCCAATAATGTCATTATGTCACAGTGGTTACCCCGCGTACCTTGGCGCTCGTCTTGCCTCCTTCTACGAGCGCGCCGGACGCGTCAAGTGCTTAGGAAACCCAGACAGAGAAGGCTCTGTTAGTATTGTGGGTGCTGTATCACCTCCTGGTGGTGACTTCTCTGACCCTGTCACCTCTGCCACTCTGGGTATTGTTCAAGTGTTCTGGGGTCTTGACAAGAAATTGGCCCAACGCAAGCACTTCCCCTCAATCAACTGGCTTATTTCCTACAGGTGGGTCTTACAACTATTCTTGGGTCCTGAGTTTAATGAATAATTTTTGTGGTAGTTGCATTTCTTAGAATGGCTTCTGATTTACAGCAAGTACATGCGAGCACTTGATGACTTCTATGACAAGAACTTCCCAGAGTTTGTTCCCCTCCGTACAAAGGTAAAGGAAATCCTGCAAGAGGAAGAAGATCTTTCTGAAATTGTGCAGCTTGTTGGTAAGGCCTCCCTTGCAGAGGCTGACAAGATTACCCTTGAAGTTGCCAAGCTCCTGAAGGATGATTTCCTTCAGCAGAACAGGTAACTTTGTGTTCAATTATTTCCAATTTGTTTGATCATCTGTTTCTCTTGACTCATATCTCTGACATGCTTCGTTTCCAGCTACTCTGCCTATGATAGGTTTTGTCCATTCTACAAGACATGCGGCATGTTGAAAAACATGATTGCCTTCTATGACATGTCACGTCATGCTGTTGAATCAACTGCCCAAAGTGAGAACAAAATCACATGGAACGTCATTCGTGACTCAATGGGCCAAATTATGTACCAGCTTTCATCTATGAAATTCAAGGTTTGTTGCAACTCTTCTGCTTTTCCCATTTTATTGTTCAAACCCAGGGCACACATTCAATTAATTGTTTGATACAGGACCCTCATAAGGATGGAGAGGCGAAAATCAAGGCGGACTTTGAACAGCTGCACGAGGACCTCCAACAGGCTTTCAGGAATTTGGAAGACTAAATCACCTTTGTGTTTCATGGCTCGCCTAATGATCAAGTGATATCATATTGAAATGTTTATTTTTGTGTCCAACTGTTCTAGCCCTTCAACTAGAAGCTTTCTTAGTGTCGATGTGCTGTGCCCCAGTGTTCTAGACATAAGGAAACACTGACAGTACACTGTTCTGCAGACATTTAGTTGATTTTTATGTTCAGCTTCATCTTACCATTAAGTTACCATACCTGTAATTAGTCTCCTCCTTTTTTTTCCTGTTTTTTGGAATTCTTTTTGCATTTGTCCTTTTTAAAATTTTTATTGTGCTTTTACCACATTGCATTTATTTACCTTTTGAGTTATTTTGTAGTGATTTCCTACTAAAAGTCTGCAGGACCAAGGGCACAGTTGTCATGATATTAAATCTATATCAGCATTCCAATTCTTTTAAATATTTGTCTTGTGTTGGGGCAGGAATTTGAGTTGTATATGTATGCACCACAACCAAAAGATAAGTTTGGCACATTTTTTCAGTTCGATATTAAGCTTATTTCATGGTCTCAAATTTCTCATTTGATGACTAAGTGGCAGGTTGATCTTTCAAAGTTGTACTTATAGTTGTGGAAATAACTTTCATGAAGATTCTGATATCCTTTACATCACAGTATTATCAACATTTGGCTTGCCAAAACGTTTGTTTTTCTAAAAAGATGTGGAGGATTGTATCCGCAACCGTCTTCAGTAAGTGGTTATCAAACTTTCCTTATGATGTTATTCCTGTACTCATTTTACTTTAGTATTAATATTGCTTGCCATGAGTCACTCAGGAGGAAATGTGTGCCATTGTTGCTCCATTGTTCGGCTCTGTTCAGCAATGTTTTATCACGTAGATGCTTTGTACGTACTTACCATTTTGCTTTCAAATCTTGCATATATGTACATTGAACTGTTCAAAAGGCAGTTTCCCCATTTTTATTTGAGTAGTCCTGTGAGATTGCTCTTCATGTTTTGTTGAGGCTTGGATACATGATCTTCCATCTTCTATCCTTAGTGTTGCAATAAAATGAAAGTTATGAGATTGTCATTGTTTTATGAAAGACTTTTTTTTTTTTTAAAGAAAAATGAGTACAATAATAAAGTTCACATTTAGAAATTGAACATTTATGTAGAATTTTAATGTTAGTCTAAATATATATATATACATGAAAATATATCTCAAATCTATTTGACAAGTTTGTTTTGGGTTGAGTGTTGCTTTCTGGCTGATTTCTTCCTAGATGACATTGTAGTTTAATCCCCTCCATTTACATGGAACTGTTATGTTGATTCATTATTATAATGTTGTGTAAGATATTTAAAGTATCATGTGTCATTCACGTTGTGCAATGTAAATTCAATAATAAATATTCTCTTGTATAGAAGTGTACAGTATAACTTTGTTGGTGCTGCATTGACATTCGTTAGCTTTAAACATCGTCCACCGTTACATATGGGTTCATGAGAATCTAAGGGGCTCCATTGGATCATTGTTGGCTATTATAAATTAAGTTAATGAACTCATCAAAAACATTCCTTCCCCTAATAGGTTGTTATCATGGAAAGGAAAATGTGTTCATTTTATAAAAAATTACTTTAAAAGCTGTTTTTCTGTTAAATTGTAAAATAAACTGGTCTGTTGGATCCTTAGATTAACATTGTTGATTTCAAAGTCACCTTCCCAGTTATGTAATACCCACTGAAATGATCATGCGACAGATAGATGATGATAGGAATATGGAACCAACTGTTAATAGAGATTCCACAAGTGAGCAACTGTGTTGAAAACTGTTAAAGGAAAATTATGAGGGGGAAAAAACACACAATCATGGCTGTATGCAGCTAATTTATCAATGCGAAACACATACACACATGTCAGTCATTCATCCTTGCAACTAGTGACCAACCCATTAGGAAGCTGTAGAATCCATAACAAAAATACTATACTAGATAAAACCTTACTCAGCATGCAATATTTACACTTTCTTTGTCTTCCATCTACAAACCGAAACAAACATAACAACTCAGCTTCGGTGTGAATTTGGAAGTTTGTGCATTTCTTTACATGCCTACAACAAAGGGAGAGCCATACTCTCCTTCCACAATTTAATCAGAGTGGACATGTTAACTAGACTAAGGTTTGAGCCCACTTGTAGCACTTATCTAAGCATTGATAAACCCCCTTAATTGATCTTGATTCTTCAAAGGGGAACTTTCTATCTTAATAACAGCATGTACGAAAACATTTGTATATGTTCCTAAATGACTTTTTTTAAAATTTCTAGTTTGTAACAGTTCCTGGCAAGTCTCATAGTCATGACTAGGCACAATGTAGATCAGTAACATGACTTTATAAGTTGCAATTAATTTACAAAGGCAAAAAAAAGTATCAGCAACTGTTACAGTACTGGTGAATGAGTATAAGGAAATGTTAAATTTCTCAAAAATTCGATGTGTGCAGAAACATGTAAGAGTAACACTAAAGTTCATGAAAGTTAATACAAGTTGGCAGACAAATATCAAGAGCACTCTGTATAGTTTGACTTCATCAAAATCAAATATAAAGTACTTCTGATTTTTTAAGGGTAAAGGAGAAAATTTGACATTGTCACCAGACAGACAAGCAGTAGCCAAGTACTGTTACGGGCTCCACGGCTCCACTATCACACTAACATAAAATTCTAGAGGCAATTCGTAATAGGCACCCATGGACAATATATTACACAACAAACTTGTCCTGAAAATCAGATCTTCCCAAATAACACATACCAAAATGTTTTACACCCATATGCAAAGTCATCAGTAGATACTAGTCAAAAATACAATCAATAATCAATATTGTGCAAAGAGATTAACAGGCTGATTAAGAAAAAATTGAAATGTTATTATGAAGATTTTCATGTACTCTGCAATACATGGAAGATGCTTCTGCGGTCTTGAATAATCAGTTTTTCATATTATCGTGTACCTCTATTCGGCAAGTCTTTCACTTTGTAAATGCGCACTAACCAATGATCCGTGGTGTAGGCCTCTTCTAACACATCCAATTCAAAATCTTTATTACCTATTTCAGCTCCACGGACTCTATCCCAACCTGCAGGCCTTCCCATTTCAGTGAATTGTTGTCCAAACCGATAGTAGCACATTTTGTACATTAAACAATTCAGCAAAGTGGGAGAGCCTTCCTTGTCAACTCGGAACTCCCCTGACGATGAGTAATAATCTGTTTCTTTGATGTGGCTACCACTTTCTGTACTACCACCAATACGAACCATCCACAAGAATTTGTTAATGTCTGGAAAGAAGAATTTGAAAAAAACACAATTAAAATGCAGCTTTGAATGGATGAATTAAACCATAAGAAAGAATATTTCACTTACCATCTGAAGAATAACCTATTACTCCTCCAAATATGACAAGCACATAATCAACATCCAGTTCCTTCATTATTTCATAAGCTTTGTCTTCTGGAGATGCCATGGCCTGACCCACTCGAGAGATGTGTGTATTATTCCAAGTGTTGTTGTCCACTAAAATCGTCCGGTTGGCCATAGCAGTAATTTGATAGCCGTAATCCCACCAAGACATAATTTTAGCATCTTCAGGTGTGTTCATTTTCAACCAGTAATAAGCTTCTCTGAAGTCATCAAAAAGTACCCTAGAACCATCTTGAGAACGAGCTGACAGAACAATACTGGGAGAGCTGTAAGCTTCTGATGTAACCCAGGTACAGTGGAAAGTGTAAGAAATTAACAAGAAGGTTATCATTCCCACAAAAGCAGTAGCTATTTCACTCTTCATTGTAAAGTGTGAGTCAAACTTCTTAGATTTTTTGTCAGCAACTTTAGAAGGATCCACTTGTTTCATGTAGATGGTGAGCATGGCAGAGACAGCAATTCCCGAAAGAATACACATAACAGGAGCCAAAACCAACATAAGACGAACCATCACACCCTGCAAAGCAAATAAAATGTTGATGAGTACAAATTTGACAATTTAGTCAAATCCAATGTCACAACAAACATAAGTTACTTACAGCGAAATAAATGCTGGTAACACCATACAGAATGATAAATATGTTAGAATCAGTTAACTTGGAAAAGCAGAAGTACAAGCCCGTAGGAAACAGGAAGACCATTATCTGAAGATCAAAGTAAAACGAGCTCCAGGATGTGGGCTGATGCTCAGAAACAGAAGCAATGATTGGAATATTATTTTTGGCATATGAGGGGTCTAGGAGAGAGTAAAAGCGTCCAGTCCATGGGGCAATCTTGCCACTCATGGTGAGCACTGCCGCAAAGACAGTAGTGATGCCTGCAATAGCCCAAATAAGGGCTCTGAACAGCACCTCAAAATCTTCCTTATTTAGTTTACTCTTAAGGTATTCAACAGCAGAGAAGATTTGGCACAGACCAAAAACACCCAAAGCCTGCAAAAGAAAAAAGAAGACAAGACAAATTGTAAGTTTCCTCATCTGTCTCAGTCATCTATCTTGACTTTGATGTTATTAATCTTACCAGCATGTGCTCAGATGTCTGAATTGGCTGGAAACCAACAAAGCTCACTTGCATTGACAACAGCGTACCAACACAGTATAGAGTGCTATAAGCTGAGTAAATGCGATGAGAAAACCGTCCAGTAAACATGAGCACCAAGACATGCAGTGGGATAAGATTTATAAGGAAAACATAGCCTCCCCAAGATGATACCTGCAAAATAGATTTGGGTAAATTTTGCTATGTTTGAAGAATTAAAGATTAACACTACCTTTACTAACCATGTAGAAGTAGCTTAGTGCAGCCATTGTACTCCAGTAAATGGTTCCTGTTTTGACTGCCTTGATCCACATGTAGTAAGTTAACAGCATACAAAATATGGCAATTCCTACAAAACATTACATGTGTTGAAAATATAAAAACATTTAAAGATGAGAAACTATTTGTGTATTTTTAAATACCTTCATTATCATAAGAGCCGGCCACCGATCTAGAGATGTAGCCTGGAACTATTGATATCATAACAGCAGCTACCAAGCCAGCACCAGAATCCTGAAATTTTGGAATGTTTGGACAGTTTAAAAATTCGAAAGTGTTGTAAGTTATATTCATACAGAATTGAGACATATACATACCCACAATTCCTTTGTTAGACAGTAAGTAACAACTGTAGTAAGACTGGAGAAAAATGGAGCCAAGAAAACACAAACATTTCTGATATCAATAGTAATGTTGACAAGCCACATAAGTCGGAAGAGAGCTGCAGAGGTGACCATCAATCCTGGGTATATTGTGCCTGGAGAGGAAATTTAAGTGTGATGATCAAACACAACTACAGTTAAAGTTGGAGATAAATTGCCAATGAAACATACCACCAATGATTCGACCCAGTGGGTACCATGCTCTATCATCAAACCAATTGTGGAAATTGTAGAAGCCCTCTTCGGTTAGGAATTTTGTTGTTCGGTAATTGAAATAGGGATCAAACTCGTGGATAACACTCTCATATCGTAGAACAGAGAAGAGCCTCGTCGCAAAAGCTGTCAATGAGAAAATTAAGGGTAATCAAAGTCAACTAAGTGAAGTCCACAATTCAACAAAAACTATCAAAATATATCGATATAATTACACAGAACTGCTGCTAAGGACAGAATACTTAGAGTCAAAAATGTCTCTTGTTTGTCCCTTGTCAAACGGAGCAAATGAGTGTTCAGACGTAGAATTCCCATGATTCCCATGGTCAGAATTTTTTGGTCTGGAACAAAACAAGAACAGTTACATATGAAAATTTATGACACTGTCTGAGTTGTTTGTAGTGAGAGCATTAACAAACAAATATCAACTTTGATATCACTATGATAGATTGAAATTTACATTGATTCCTCTAACAAATTGACATACCAAATCAGTTTTACCATTAAGAGTGACACCCTGTACCAGTACAAAAGATTTCAAGCTTCCCAATTTTACAAAACGACACAAAATTTGACATTATAATAGACGGAGGAAACCAAATAGGGTTTGGGTCCAAGAGGAAATCAAACAATTTGGTTCATAGACATGGGCTTAACCTTAGAAAGTGACACATAGTTCTGAAGGAAAAGAGGAAAAGGTGAAAAAATTGTTGCTGAGAGTTTTCAAAGATTCTTGAGATAAAAATGTAAGATAATTTGACTGGATGAAACGCATGGTTGCAAATATTTGATTATCAGAATGTACTTACGTCAACACAACATCTACCCGGCCGGCGAGCCAAAGTTGACTACCCCTCCCTCCCCTGTCCCCTCCTACTCCCCCTTCCTCTGCGTGGCAGTGGCAGCGCACCAAACACCAGCGATCAGAAGGCGGTGAGGGCGGGATTTTTGATAAAGAGGGGTGTTTTGAATACGCCCTCACGTTAATTTCGTCCCCCGATATGAATTTGGGTGAGAAACCATCGATGTTGCTTCGTAACTGGCTATTGATAATGTATCGTGCCAATGGTAAGAAAGGTAGAAATAAAATTGAATGCAAATTACAATTTAAATTGGATTTTTTATTTATAAGAATACGATAGAATAGGGGAATAAACACAATTGGAATTCTAAGACAGTACTGTTCCTTATGCAGGAGAATTAGGTCATACAAACAAAATCTACAGTAATCAGGTTATATTCGGTGTTGGTACAATAGAACCAGAATTAGCTGGGATCTCCTCCCATTGGTTTGCTGAAGAGCTAATGACGCTGTTATGTTGGCCTGTAGATAAATCCGGAGGTAAGCTATGTTGCTGAATTCCATCCATGTATGTTTCAATTTTCTCCAGTAAATTGGTAGCTATTACTGCAAACTCTTCCCATTGCTGATATATCCCAGACAGGGCATTTTCATTAGAATTGTTTTCAGCAATAAAATCTCTAGTTCCGAAGAGGCGCTCATCATCTGATGAATGAAAGTGGAAATATAAATCCAACAAACCAATACACCTTTCTCTAGATAGTTTTAAAAAAAAAAAAGGCACTTACCCAGAAAATCAACTAAGACTTCAACGAGCTGAGAGGTATGATCTGCACCAAGCCAGTTCAAATTTGTCATGTCAATACAAAAGTTCCATAACACCTGGCATATAAGGCTTGCCAGTTGCCAGTCACTCTCGCCATGGTAAACGAGCAATGCTATAAGCCTGGTGTCAAACAGGTCATAATTTTATTATGATTTAATACCATCAACTATCACCTCATGAAACTAAGTCACTACCCAGTAATTACCTAGAAATTCCTTGGGTATGCTGCAAAGCTTCTCTTTTGTCTGCATCAGCCATGAGATTAACCAAAACTCCAGTTGTAGAACGCAACAATTCATGGTTATCAGTTTGCAGGAATTTTAGAAGCTGATTGAGACCTGGAGAAAAAGGAAAAGGTGAGAGATTTAATAATAATTTATGCAAACAAAATAATTTACAAGTGAAACCCACAAACCTCCAGTTTCCAGTAGGAAATCCCGTGCTGGTTTAGATCTAGTGAGATTCCCCAGCACCTTAGTAGTCTCTACCAGGCATTCATCTAAACTGCTCATGAGAAGAGTGTATAAAGCTGACAGGAAAAAAATTGCAACAGGGAAGAAAATTAGTCATTTTATAAATTGACATTAGTCATTTGAAAAATCATAGAGGAGAATGCTCACCTTGAGACAGATCCATGATGTGGACATTGAAAACCGATTGCTCGGCACCGCAAGGATAAAATGTAAGGTTGTTTAAAGTACTAAGTGTTGACAATACAAGCTCAGCACTTTCAGCTACTGATTTCCGTCTTAATACAGTCAGTAGCAGGCTCACAGCTCGGTCTCCAATCTATAAATAAGTAAGCACAGAAGGAAATTAACATGAGAAAATAAATATCATACAGCCGAATAACTCAATATTAATCATCTGAAGTTGCATAGCAAATACTCACTGAACTATCCTTTTCATTTAAATGATCACCCCAAGAATCATTTCTAATGCTGAGATCAGCCCCATCCTTGATAAGAGCCTTAGGAGTGCATGTCAGACGTTCACCCACCTCCATATTCATACTCATGTTAGCTATTATCCTTATCATCTGAAAAATTTGAGGAAATAATTGAACATTTTAGAAAGCCCCTTAACTTAACACAAGATACTGTAAGAAAAAAGTACACATTTTACCTTGACAATGACATCCTCAATTGATCCATCTGATCCTGATTCCAGTGGCAAACTCTGTTCTTTTTGTGGGTGGTGCTGAGGGTCTTGACTTGCAAGGTCAAGATCTTTTTGCAAGTACAATTGCAGCAAATCCATCAGAGTATCCATGGCTCCATCAGTTTCCAAGAGCTTAAAAAACATAAAATAACAAATTAATTTTGAATTTATGGACTAAGACGGATGAGGGCGGTGCAATCTCGCGCATTACCTGCAAGCGTATATCATCACTTTTGGCTAACAGATTGCCCAGGGCATAGCCCAATCTCACGACAATGTCTTGACGTCCAGGATACTTAGAAAATAATTTAGCAAAAAGTTTGGTACAATTTCTGTATTTTGCTATGGCCTTACAACAATCATCATTGGTAGAAATGATACTGTGAAAAGAAACTTTAGTTGCAGTTTGAAGTACATACAATAGGATTCATATTAAGAAAAATTACCTGAAGGTTCGAGCTATGTTAGTGACAAGATCAAGGTCAGTGCTGAATAGCTCCATGGACTGACACAGTTGAGAAACTGCACCATTGGCTACTAGCATGGGGAATGTTGTTTCCTCTCCAGCAATATTTCTGAGAGCACCAGTCAGTTGAAATATGGCATGACTGGTTTGCTCTGGTAGCCGACCTCCCTCTGAGCGCTGATAAAGAGATTAATTGAACAGTAGTATAAATTGTCAACAACAGGTACAAAACTGTTCAATGAAGTGCAATACATAAGTTTCAGTTCACTGCCAGGATTATTTTTTTTTTTAATTACCACTGAGTTGACGATTTTAAGGTGAAGAACCATGAGGTCAAGAGTACCAAGATCAAGAATATGGCTCAATAGTTGATTGTTCATGGTGAGAAACTTGAGAGCACCATAGCCATAAACACAAGCCTCTGCATCCTCTAGAGGGCTAGCTGTGCCCAAGGCATCAATAAAGAGGTCTAAAGGCAAAAGGAATGAAAATTGTAGAAAAAAGCAAATGTTACGAAAGACATTGAAGATATGGAGCAGAATTAAACTTACCAAGGATATTTCCCTCTAAGAATAGATAATCATTCTTGTCGGTCCTGGCAACTTTGAAAACTAATTTGCACACTCCTGCTAAATTACTGCCAGTAACTGGCAACTTCATGACAAAAAATTACAAAAAGAAAAAAGGAATCAAATTACCAAAGAGAAACAACAATCAAGGTAAGAACTCTCTTCAGAACATGGTAACAAGGAGCTTACACAAAATATGACACGTGCTAGTTTGAGCAGGAGACTGTCTTCAGAACGCTCCACAAACCTATAAACACACTTTAAAACTTGGGTTTTAAGTTTTGAACTTATGTCTCCTTTTCTTTGAAAGACTGATCCATTCAATGCATTATAGAGTTCATCCAAGTTTTGCATCACCACTGCATCAGCACCTCCTGTTGAAAAAAAAAATTAAAATAGTTTAACTGTTAATTCCATGTGAACTCTGAAAAAAAGTTAATGTTTATATTGAGGGCAAATCAGCTTACCATTAATGGCAAGCTCAGTTAATTTGTTGATGATCTGTTGGGTTTTTGACGTCATGAGATTTTCCTCTGGGTACTTCATTTCTTTATTCACATTGGCTAGCTTTGCTTCATTGATACAGTTATCATAAATAGCAGACTCCTTGTCAGGCTCAAATTTTTTGGACACATTAGCTGTGAATTAAATATGTTTTTAATATTCAAGGTTTATTTTTCAATACATGTTGCAGTATGATGATAGGAGTATGCTGCCAGCTCAAGGGTAGAAATATACTTCTATTGTTAAAGAATTAAGAGGACTGACCCAGATATGAAAAATATTTATAGAATGAAAGTTACAAATACAACACTGGTTTTGAAAACAACACACACCAAGCTACGTTCAAAACACTCAATTTCAAAACTCACCTGGCAAAGGAGTTTTAAACTTAAAATAAGCAAAGAGAAACTGCCCAGCCCTCACTTTGCCATTAATTTTTCTTTCCTAACAAAACAAAAAAAAAAGGAACCCTGACCAATTTTTGCCCAACCCAATTGGTTATATCAGATTATTTGTTTTCAAAAGCCAATTTTCTATTTCCGTCCACTGGTCTAGGCTCACAAAGTGAAGATCTGGAACATGTGAAAGAACCCTCTGAAGGAATTTCTCTTTGAGTAAAGTGACCAAGATTGCCTTGAGCAGCAGTAAACTTCTTTCTCTTTTAATGTTTTTACTTATGAATGTGACTCACCATGCAGATTTTCACCGAAGACACCACCATCCACTTCTGTGAGTGGGTATGAGTCTCTTGCTCCAGTTGTAATGTTTGGACCAAACAGATTGTGTTCGATTTCCGATGAGTTCATTGACGCTTTCTTAGCAATTTGACCAGTAGTAGCTACATTTTGAAATCTCAACATTTCACTTGGAAGATTACCTACATCTAAAGAAAGCATTGATGGCTCTGGTGGTTTCTCACTAGATGACAAGCTGTTATTCTTTGGAGAGGGGCTCATAGTATTAACTAAGCCATTATCATGTTTCATCTGTTTCCTTGGTGTTTTGCTAGTCTGCGAGCTTAACTGAGCACTACTTTCTCTTTGTAGATCAGCAATATCCAAGCAGTCTGAAAGTCGTTCAAAGTGCTCTTTAGGACTGCTGTAAGCATTTCGAACAGGAGTCTCATTTGCATGTAATTTTGATGGGTTATCAGTGCCTTCCAGCTCCTCTGGTACTGAACATAAAAAAATTGGTCAGAAACACAAATTATCGGTATGGAACAAAAAAATATATAAAGATTCATATATCTCTCAGTTTCTTACAGTTGTCGAGAGATGCAGATGCCCTGAATTGATGTCTACGTTTACGTCGCAGTTCCTGGGCATCAACCATTTTACTGATAGATGGCAAGCGAGTCCAAGCATTCGCCAATGGGAAAGAAGCATCGCCTGTGCTTCCAAAATCACCAATGGAACCAAACTCTGAAGTGAGATGCCGCTCTGTGTAAGAAAGGAAATAAGGATGTAAATCCGAGATGCACATCCACAGTGGTGAACTCAGCAATGTACATTTGTTTTAAAATCACCTTTCACCATATCCAAAGTTGCACTGTGTGTGTGGCTGCTTGTTGACATTGGCTGGAGTTGTGCAGTCCTTTTTGGAGGGAAGCTGTTTGAAAAACTTGCATCCCCAGAGTCTCCATCTTGGCATTGTAAGTAGCGCAAGCTGCAAGACAAAGAGTCAGTTGCCAAAGTAGTAAGATTTTAAAAACGAAAGAAATGAAGTCTTACCTGAATGAGCTTGGCGGTCTTTGGCTGGTGCCTCTTGACCGACCAAATAGCGTTCTCTGGCCATCCCGTGGAGTGTAAGGTCGTTTTGTGTTCACAGGCTGAATAACTGTTGAGCTCGACTTGGAGGTGTTTGCCACTTCACTGTGTGTAATTGCAGCCCTAGCTTCACTGATAATTTCTGAGCTTGTTTTCTTCACACAGGCAGGTGGTTCATAAAATGCAAGGTGGGTTTTACTTTTACCACTCTTCGACTTTTTCTCCATGTCAAGGCCTGGTCGAAGAAAACAATTTAATCAAAGGTCACACAATTAATAATTAGTTATTCTCAGCTGGAGACAGTTTACATAAATAGCTGCCAACTCCTGCCAAAACAAGAGTGTGCTCTGACATTCCTCTACTGAAGTGGCCACTACATCATGTAGCGAGTTTCGCAGGGGGCGGGAGGCGGGACCGACTGCCAAGTGCGACGGAGTAATTTCGAGAAATAGGGCCGAGGCGGGGCGAGGCGGGGCGAGGCGGGGCACCCCTAGCCCCGCCTGCCCAGCCCCTACCGCCGAGCACCGCTCACGCCACCGCGGCCTGGCGTGGCGAGACGGCGACCCGCAGAAGTGGGTCGGAAGTTCAGGGTGGCCAGCGACGGCGAGGTACAATAAGGTAACGCAACGCGCAACGCGTGTAGTGGCCGGCCCGGGGGTAGGACAGGACCTGGGTGACCCCCACCCCGTCGTGGCTGGACAAGTGGAAAGGCGCTTGGTTCCACTCGAGAACCGGCCCACAGAAAACAATGGCTAGGCTTTCTATCCAATCCACCCCCAAGAAACTGTGTCCTGTCCAGAGTATGTCACTACGTCCACCCGAGTCCATAGGACTGCGAGACAGACTGCCTACCCACTGGGCCCCGTTGCCCCTGACGACGGCTGGGTAGGCAATCCCGGATAACACAGGGGAGGATCTCAAACAGGAGCCCCACGGCTCTTCGAGGCGAAGGCCGACCTGGACAGCCAGACTTTGCCCGGGCCATAGCCGAAGTGACAGGCAGATAAAAACACTCACCGGCAATGGAAGTCCAATCAAGATCTCATCGGCCGGGTGTCCCTGCCCTGGCTCGGCTCGGTCGCTCGTCCTGCATTGAAGACGCTCCGCTGCGCGCCGCGCCTCGAGCTTCACCCCGACGACGCCGCCCCGCTATGGCTGGCAGTAAACACTACGCGGCCGCCAAGCAACGCAACGCAACACAACGCGGCGGGGCGCGGCGGGGCGCGGCGGGGCGGGAATGCCACCGGAGTGCTTCGGCACGGCTCGGCACGGCAAAGCACGGAGCGGAGGATCGAACTTGGAATGGCGCTGGGCGCTAGCGGCCGGCGCGGGTAGGGTAGAGGTGGGCGTGCGGGGCGGGGGCAAGGCGGACTTCCCCGTCGCTGCGCCGGGCCCGGCTGGGCCCCGCCACCGCCCTTCCCGCGCCGATTGCAGCGAGGGGCCAGAGCGGGGCAGAGACTGAGACGGCGGGCCGGCAGGGCGTGCATGCGTCCCTGTCCCTGCAAGGGAAGGGGTGGGGCACTGCTCGGCCGGCACTACGCGTAGCTACGGGGCTAGGGGCGCGGCACCTGCCGAGTCGCACCAAGCACCAGCGACTTCAGCCCGCTTCAGCCCTACGTCGCACCGAGCAGCGCCCGGCGGCGCCCTGGCGGCCAGGCACGACTGGCCTGCATCGATTTGGACGCGGCGGCTCCACTCCCCGCAGCTCGTCTGGCCCCTTTATGTATTCAGTCACGCAGGGTCTGCGGCACAAGTAAAGGACCTGACCCAAGGCTGGCCCAGCTCAGCTGGTTCAAGGCGGCTCCAGAGTAAATTTGCACTGTTGGGCTGGAGCTGGCGGCTCGCCACCGAGAGGCCTCTCTGGAACCGTCACCGTGTACGACATGCAAGGGAAATGCCTAGCACGTGGCAGGACCGCCATCGCGTGCGAACGCACGGCACGAACACACCTGAGGCTCGCTCAGGGCTCGGGTGGCACTCTGGCGGCACGCGGTCCTTCCCTCACGTCGCACTGCGAGAGCGGGCAGCCTAGCCGCCTAGCCGGCAGCGGGAGTGACGGCGTGACAGGTAGTCCGGGTGGCGGTGTGGCGGTCTCCAACGCTCCAACGCTCGAACGCAGCCCCGGGTCGCGTCGGGTCGATGGAGCGCGCCGCGCCAATCGGATGGAACCAGACGTTAGGCTTGGCTGATAAAACTTTTACCAAGGTGATTTCGGGTCAAGGCGTAGGAGGTTTCAACCGGCCATGCCGCCGTGCCGCTATCGCCGAGCCCAGTGCTGCGGTGCTGCGGGCGGCGCCACCCGCGCCACCATAGCGCCACGGCACGCGACGGCAACCTTCGGGCCTTCGGGCTGTGCCGCTGGGCGGGGCGCGGGGCAAGCCAGGGTGACTAGGGTTTGCACTAGGCTGCACCAGGGGCTGGATCCGGACACGCGCCCCGCCTGCCTCGCCTGCTGGGACTCGGTTTATCTCAATCTAAACAGACACACAACATTATACAACGTCACTTTATTAAAGCCATGTTCCGCCATATGTTGACCTCAGTGTTCACGCCGACATGGCGAATTGAAAGTCTTAGCCTATGATGCAAGGTGCACAGTACCTTCTTTTCGTGACACCAAAAACAAAACATACAAAAACACCTAGCGGATTCAAGAAAATTGTCATGAACAAACAGAGGAAATAGGGTGATAATGCTCCAGTTTCCAAGCTGAAAGCATCACATCTGACAGAAATTGTAATTTCCTACATGGATTTGTTTTGAAATTTCACTTGTATATCAGAGTGAATGGCTAAAACAAAGTCATTGTAAATAGAACATCTGTGTTGATGCTAGAAGTTAAAGTTAACAAAGCCCTTCCTTCTTTTTTTCATACCCTACCAGAAGGCTTATAACAAATTGTAACAGACAAAGTAATAAATTACATTCCTAAAAGCTGTAACATCCAACACTTCTGTGAGAAAATTAGTCAATATCACAAAATATATATGCTCTTACGATACATAAATAATTTTATAAAATCTGTACATTAATAAAATGTGCATTAAGAACTGGAACTATCATTAATATATCCGAGAAGAATGCAGCATGCATAATAACAAATCTGAAATACAATGCTACCCTTCTGTTATCATCGTTATAATTGTAGATATGACCTTTCTGCTTTTTGAATTAGTAAATAGATTGAGAGATGGATCTTCAATTTTGTCTTGTAAAATCTTGTCTAATTCCTGTCTCATGTGAGAAATCAGCTCTGCAATCTTAGAGGAGAAAACAGAAAACGCCATGATTAATTTTGACACAAACCAAAATTTTCACAGCTCATGGCAAAACAGTTACCTGATGTGCTTCAACAGAGAATATGATCCAGCCCTCCTCTAAAGAAAGTACTGTAGTGCCACCGTGCAATTCCACTGCAACGTCTTTTCCTGTGAACAGCACCAGAGGCAACATGGAGACCATGGAGCAATCCCTTACAAACACACGGGATGTCTTCACTTTCTCTTGATACACCAGATATGGACTGGTGAAGTTGATACAATTGTGGTTGACAGATGATGGATGAAGATGAACCTGAAGAAAATATAAGATAAATTAATCTAGTATAGGATCACACTGATTTGAAATCTTATTATTGAAAGACGACATAATACACAAATCACTTACATAGCCATCTTGTTTGGTTTTGAATGAAATTTCCTCTGGTCGGAATTGTCTGGAAACACAGCCGACCGCACTAGTTGCAAAGGTTTTGGCCGGAGTCAGAACTTTCACAATGTTGGGATACAGAGCTGCACAAAGTATGGCAGCAAGCAACTTGTGATTTTCTCCATGTTCATTCAACTGCAAAAGCACAGTTTGTATAGTGGTTTAAAAGAGTAGTCAAATAGTACAAACAAAAGCAACAACTTGTGGGTGCAGACAAATTTTACCTCACTTCCACTCAATTGAATAACACTATCTTCACCACTTCTCCTTCGTTTGGATGTCACAGAAACAAAGCCTATATCTGCTAATAGCTCCAAGAATTGATGTTTCATGTCAGCAATTGTCACAAGTGTGCGCCATGACAAGTAGTTTTCATCAGCAAAAGTATCACCAGCGCGCTTACTAATCTGGTTCTTTTTCAGCCAACTCTGTTGCACATTATTTGAAATAGAATTAGGAAAAACATTAAAAACGGCTTGGGACAGGATAAAATAATAGAATCAATCTACATACAGTGTAAGCTTTCAGTGATGTAAGCTGGTCACTGTTTGCAACAGCAAACTCTTTCTTCTTGGCATCAGCTTCATCTCTCTTATTAAATGGTGCTGAGAAGGGAGATTTGTAGCTCAAGCAGGCAGCTATTGTAAGTGCAGAATCCAGACAGCGAAAAATTGCACCAAAAAGCATCAACTTTCCAATCCTGAAAGGTGATTGATAGTTAGTCAACAATAATAAATTAAAAAGAGCACATCAGTTAATAAAACGAGGTGAAGGAGTACCTGACATCAACAGGAAGCTGAGCAAGATGGCAACCCAAGGGGGTCAGAGTTTGCTTGTCATCTAAGGCCCCTATATTTTGCAATCTTAGAAGTGCCTGATTGATGCTTTCACTGTCAGGAGATTCAAGCATGTTGCCTGTAAAATTTTGTATTCAACAGTCAATAAATATATTACAAGAAAAAGAAAATGAATGCCATTAAATAACAGCCTAAGAAAAAAATGATTACCAAATATATCATGACTATCTCTATCACAGAAGTGCCGAAGCACTTTCATCCTCAGTATGAGCTGCTCCAATGGAATTCTGAGAAGCTCCGGAACAGGTTGTGCTAAGAAATTATTGTCATGACGATACTTTGTATACAAATGGACACAAACGCCCGGCATTACTCGACCCGCTCGCCCACGGCGTTGCGAAGCGTTTGCACGAGAAACCCAAGCAAGTTCAAGACTTTCCATGTTCTTATTTGAGTCAAACCTGAAGCAGAAAACACATTATCACAAAACCCTGTGATGAACCCCAAAACCAAGTTGTCAGATGGTTAAGCTGCAACAGCTCACCTCTTTTCCTTCATTCTCCCTGCATCAACAACAAACACACAGTCATCAATTGTGATAGAAGTTTCAGCAATATTTGTGGACAGGACGATTTTTCTTGCACCACCCTTGGGTTTCCTAGAAGCCAGACAAAAAATATTGATGAATAGGAGAAATTGACCAAAAGTATGTGAATATAATATTGAAGGTAAAGGAACTTGGAGGTACCTGAATACAGCAGCTTGTTCCTCTGATGTTAAGGAAGAGTGTAGAGGAACAAGGACAAAATTGCCATGGCGAGGGCTAAGCACAGGATTATCCTGCAATTGATTGTACAGTGCTCGAATCTCAGCTATACCTGGTAGAAAAACCTTTCAAAAGAGAAAAATAAAAATGAAGTTTCATAAGCTATTTTACTTTAGACAAGACAAAATTCAATTTAATTCTTTTCAACAAGTTTTTGCTTACTAGTATGGAGCCTTTCTTTGGATAGTCATGATTTCCTGTAGCAATCCATGTGACAACAGTTTCAATGAGATCATAATTTACTTTTTCAGGATCCATCAAATACAAAGACTTCACAGTAGTCATATTACGATCTGCAACACCAGAAAACCATAAAGAAACTCAAGCAATTCTTTCTAAAAAGCTGACCCACATTATTAAAGATAGACAAAGCTCTTACCACTGTAGCGAGCCATGAGTTGTGGTAGTGACAGCACCTCATCCCTCACATTGTCTTTGGGAGCCAGTGCAGTTTGAGTCAAAACATCTGCAGTGCCCAATTCACATTCAATAGAATTAGGATCAATGTCAGTAAAGTTACGTTTCTTTTCTTTGATTTTTCGAGCAAATTTGGAGTCCTCTTCAAGGATGTAATTGGTTTTTTCAATAATTTCATCCAAGAACACTTGCTGAACAGGAAAAGTTCTTCCTGCATTTAACAAACAAGAAGAAAGAAATGTTTAGACTGTTGACATTGTGGACTATTAGAGGTACCTGCGACAGTGACATAATTGTGCAGAACTGACCAGGTATTTCCACTGTGGGAATTTTGTTAAAATAAGCTGAAAACAAGTCTGCATTGATAGTTGCACTCATAAGAATAACTCGAAGATCAGGCCTTTTTGGAAGAAGCTCTCGAAGAATAAAGAGGAGAAAATCACTTTCTTCACTCCTTTCATGAACTTCATCAACAACTATGTGAGAAACAGACCTCAACTCAGGATCATTTTCAAGCCTTCGGAGGAGAATACCAGTGGTACAAAAAAGGAGGCGTGTCTGAGACGAGAGCTTACTTTCCAAACGAATCTAGAAAAATTACCAAGATTACCTCACCAAGCTTATGTACAGGTGTACAGATCAAACAAATTTATCAATTTTAAAGAAGGCTTACTTGGTATCCTACTGTACCACCAATTTTTTCAACACGCTCATCAGCAACTCTTTCAGCAACACCAATAGCAGATAACCTTCTAGGTTGGGTGCAAACTATTTCACATGTTTTACTTTGGTCCATTGTATAATTAAGAAGCCACTCATCAAGCAAGAATTGGGGAACCTGTGGACGAAGGATTTGGTTAGCCACCTGAAAATTGAAAAACATTGTACAAAGGTACTCCTCAAACTCACTTGTGTGCTTTTACCGCATCCAGTTTCTCCACAAATTACAACCACCTGAAAATTTTTTACTGCTTCTAGAATTTCTGGCATTTTCTGCCATGCAGGAAGATTTCGCCTGTCTTTAAGACTCTTCTCATACAACTCGTTTTTTCTCTTGTCTAGAAAGGTTCTTGCAAGTCGCTCATCTTGCCTTTAAGAAAAATTCACAAAAACAAATCAGGCATTTAAAAACTGGAATTATTGTCTCTTATAAAATGGAAAGGGGGGAGGGAGTGTTAAGTGAGTTTACCTTTGACGTTCAATCAAATTTGCTGAGGTTCTGCGCTGTCTTCGAACTTGAACCTTTTCTTTTGATTCTTCGATGGCTTCCTCTACATCATCACTCTCCTCTTCAGACTCAACACTTGATCCCAAAAGTGGTTCATTGGGATCAGGAAATGCTTCTCCAATCTTATTCAAATGGTCCAAAATTTCACTAGGTTGATTTTGCAGTAAGTCAATTAGGGTATAAATTGATGGGAAACCCTGATATAAAAAATACTATTGTAAAATGGAATAATAGAAAAGTGCAAACATGTGAAAAAAATGTGATAAACTTGGCATGGCATACCTGTTCAGCACAATCTCTTGCTTCAGTAATCAGCCTACTGGTTATTCGCAAGCATAGGGCAGGAGGGAAATAGTGGAAAGGTGTACTAATACACAGCAGTGGACACTCTAGTGGATATTTGGAACCTATTTGATAGAACAATACAAATCCAAAATTAAGCAGTTAAAATGGTTTTAAGAAAACATGACAAAAAAAGGGTGAGTGTGTTCAATATAATTACCAGGAGGAAATCTTATTTCCAATGTAAACTCATTATCTTCAGGTTGAACAGTTTCAGCAGAGTTCTCTTTGGAAGTTGAGACTTTATGAGAGAACCTACACTTATCACCATATTTGCATGGCTTACCACTAGCAATAAAGTTGCATAATTCCTTAGATCGGGTATTCCTGTTAGCCTTTTGTTGGCGGTTTCGACCATCACTGGATTGTGATTTACCATGTTGTGGGACTTTACAGCGCTCGAGGAGGTAAGGTAGATCCAATTTTGCTGCCCATACTCTATTGGGCAATCTCTCTTCAAAAGCTTTTTCATAAATTGATTCCAGGGAGGCCTTCTCATCTGTCCTTTGCTCTAGTATGTCATCAGGTATGTCAGACTTTGGTGCATCAGATGAGGGTAGAGGGAGGTGAAAATAATGTGATATCAGCATTTCTAAGGCAGCACCCAGGTCACCTTGAGTTGCTTGAAGAGTTTCTATGCAGTGGGATTCATGGAAACCATACCTGAAATGGAATGGTTAAGAGAATGAATTAATTGCACCATAATCACTTAATGTAAATGTGTAGACTAGAAGTGGACTTACCCCTTGAGTTTGCCAATGGCAAAAGCATTTTGTTCAGCAAATGTTTTCTTGCGGTTTTTTTGAGAATAGTCTGTTCCACCCATAACACGAAGACCTCCACTGCCTATCCAATAATGTCGCCCCAGATTGGCCCCCTTGTCACGATAGTGCGACTGATTTCTTAAGGCAAAGTTCTATAACATTCAAACGACAAAGACAAAAGAAGAGCATGAAATCAAAACAAAGTCTTCTGAGTTGCAGTTGAAAGACCAATCATACCTCTCCATATAGATGCCGTAAGGTATCCAACATTTGAGACTCCAAATTTTTGGCAAGGCGCAATGTTTGCATTTCCACTTTAAGTGAAGGAGAGTTATCTTGATCTGGAACGCTGACATTGCTGAAAAACAAGTCAAATTCGAAAACGAAATATGAATGGGTTCAAGAATTGAGAACCATCTGATGAGAGCTTGAATCCTATATATGATGAGTTGTCTCTTCATCTTCCCCATTGACAATCAGAGATAGAGGCTCGACTATCACAATCCTCAACCATAGTCATTCAAACAATTTTCAGAAAAGACAAATTCCATGATAAGAAAGCAGAACGACGAGTCAAGTTTAAGGTTAACCTACCCTTTATTTTTATCTTGCACCTTAACTCTGTAATCTTCGAGACCCGACACTAGGTGATTGTTGTGTTTTTCACTGGGCTTGTTAGGCTTTTCAGCCTTCTTCCCTTTCTTGTGACTGCTCATTGTGGTTTATTCCGTTCAAGCAGCGAAACAAGTCTCTGACACATTTGCCACATTGGAAGACATTGTGGACATCAAGCAACAGACAGAACGGAGGGGGAGGGGGGAGGAGGAAGGGGGAGGGGTGGAAAATGGAGGGAGGGAAAACAAAACAAAAGACTGCGCACAGCAACAAACCCCGGGAGTGTTTGTCTGTCTTGGTATCGTCCCTACGATTTATATTGGCTAGTTGGATCTGGTTCAGTCGAGAGCAGGCTCTCCCGGGATTCGAAATCAAGGCATGCAGAAAAAAGAAACGAGTTTTGACGCGAGAGATACAGAGATAAGCGAGTCCGTAGACGACAGTAGGCCCAGCGACGATGACGAGGTGGGTTAGAGCTTGGAGTGAAGCGAAGCACCATGGTTCGGGTTGAAACAAAAAGAGGGACGTTCGACTCATGACGAGTAGCAGGCCCAGCAGGGATCCGAGGAGGCGACTGGCAACGACGAGGTCTGGGGCACCCGGGGCAGCCAGAGCGAAGGCCCCCACCCAGAGGCCTCCAACAGCGGTCTGGCCCATGTCAACTTCCACCGAGACATTGACCGCTGGAAGGACCTGTGAGTACCTTCAAGGGTCCCAGGGGGGCTCTCGGCAAGGCAACACTCCCAACGCCTCTCGTGGCGCTTGCAGGTACGAAGCGTGCCAGGCCAAGCTGGAGTCCCTGCGCGACCTGCAGACTCAGATCGAGGACGCCGAGGCCTCTGGCACGGGTGCGAGTGGCGCGAGCGGCGCGGCGAGCGAGGCGAGGCGGTGCTGGGACGAGCTCCGTGCCGAGGTGCGCGCCGCGACGCGCACGCTGGAGCAGGAGCACGCCTACGTGGAGAGCGCCCTGGAGAAGCACGGCGCCGTGCTCGTGCGCCTGCTGCAGCGCCTGCACGCGCGCGACGCCAGCAGCGCCAGTCGCTTGCGGCTGCAGCGGCTGCAACCCGAGCCGAGCGGCGCCTCGGACGCCGCGGACGTGGACATGGACGCCCCGCTGCTGCACTCGCGGAGGAGCGTCCTCGGCGACGACGCCGTGGCCAAGGCCGACGCGTCGTCGCCGTCCCTGCGAAGCGCGCCAAGCGACTCGCACGCCATCACCAAGGAGACCATCGGCCAGCTCAAGGAGCTCATCCAGGAGCACGAGCTGCTGTTGGCCCGCGTGGAGCTCGGGCGCGCCAAGTGGGTGATTCCGAACAGCGATTCGTGACTGTCTCTCTCGCACCCAAGCGGAACGCCCCATGAGTCATCTGTCTGACTTAGGCGGAGAGAGAGGGACCCCTTCGTCAAGGCGTGCCGCAGCGTGGTGGCCATGCGCGCCACGGAGGACAAGCTTCGCCGCACCTGCGGGCTGCTGCAGCACCAGGCGAGGCCGGGGCCAGCGCGACGGGGAGGACGACGACGAGGCCGAGCGGTGTCTCATGGGGCGTGCTTGGGCTGTGCAGGTGAAGCGCCTGCAGTACGAGCTGTCGCGGCAGACGCAGGCGCAGGCCCTGGAGATGGACGCCGTCGGCAAGCTGCGCGAGCAGGCCGACGCAGAGCACGCCGAGCTGCAGCTCACCCTGGCGCGCGAGCAGGAGCGCGCGCGCCAGCAGCTGCAGGATGCCGGCCACGGCGGCCACAGCCACGGCCCGCGCGGCGCGGCGATCTCTGCCGGCGGCCAGGAGCTGTACCGCCACGGCTCCAGGAACTCGTTCGTCGACAGCCTGGAGCACCTCCAGCGCCGCAAGGAGCGCCGCGAGAGGCTGGAGGGCAGGCTGTACAGTGACAGGGTGTACCGCGAGGTGGACCAGCTAGACGACCAGGCCGACGAGCTGCGGCGCCTTGGGGACCACCTCACCACGTACGTACGTCCGCCCCGTTCCTCGTTACGGCGAGCGCCTGCGAAGCGCGCGATAGGCAACACGCCGCACGCGGCAGCGCTGAAGCGAGCAGAGTTGCCTATGAGCCGGGCGCTCCGCGCGGACGGAACTTGAAAGTTAGCGTAGGAAGAGTGTATATATGTTTGTAACATCTGATAAATAGAAACCTTTTAAAGCTCTCCCTCATCCCCAGGGAGATCGAGGAGATGAGTGAGGCCGGCCGGGCGCTGGAGAGCACCTGGCAGTCGCTGCGCCAGGAGCGCGACGAACTCACGGCACATTTGTATCCGGACCTCCAGCGGCTCCAGGAACTGCAGGCAAACCCACACTGTAAAAAAGAAAAGGCTCTCGAACCAGAAAAAGCGCGCGTGGTTTGCGCAAACCGATCGGTGCTGAAGTCGGTGATGGTTGTCACAGGAAATAGCCAAAGAAAAGCTGGAGCTGGAGACGAAGCTGCACAAGGAACGCTTCCTCTTCAAGCGGCAGTTGGAGGAATTCCAGAAGGACCTGCTGGATGTGGAGACGGACTTGCAGACGGGCAACACCAACAAGAAGGCGAGGGCCACCAAGAACATAGTAAGTTGCCGCCAAAGAGGGTGGAGTAGGCGAACCCGTGCGCCGGAAGGGGGCACCTACAGTGTGGAAGCCCTTTTGTGACATGAACGACGCAGGTGACCCAACTGCTGGTGCTGCGGGAGTGCATCACCAAGCAGAACGGCGAGCTGTGGAACGAGCTCAAGGACAAGCACCTGACCATCAGCAACACCGACTCGGTCGCCTCGGCTGCCATGGGCGAGGAGGAGTTCCGGCAGCATATCACGGACAAGATGAAGAAGATGGAGCTCCGGATCAAGGAGGACCTCGACAAGCGGGTGCTGTGGAAGCCCAAGAAGTTCGAGTTCGAGGCGCCCGCCCCCGCCGCGTCCAAGGTGCCCTTCCGCGGTCAGCAGAACGTCATCAAGGTGCCGTCCAAGGTGGGTAGCCGTGGCCTTGGCCGTGGCCTTGGCCGTGGCGGCGAGCAGGCCGGCGTTGGCGTAGAGCCTCATGCTCGTCACGGCCATGCCACTCCACTCGCAGGTCGACTGGCGGAAGAGAACCACCCAGCAAGAAGCCCTGGACCGGCAGGTGGAAACCCTCCGCAGGGACATCTTGGTAAGCGTGCGGACGTGCCGCTGGAGTGGCGCGAGGGTTGCCTTGGTTGCCTGCCTAACAGGCGCGTTTGCGAATCGCCTTTGTTCAGAACAAAGTGGCCCAGGAGAAGGAGAAGGCCAAGCAGCAGCTGCTGCAGTACGAGGCGGACCGGGTGGCCGCGGGCACAGCCTCGCCCACGGCCTCGCCCACGGCCTCCCCGGAGGGCGTCAAGGCCTCGCAGGAACTGCGCCCCATCCTAGAGCAGCTGGGCGCCTTTCTGCAGCGGGCCACCAAGGGCAAGGTAGGCCAGGGAAGGGAGCCTCTCCACCCGCAGACGCTCCGTGTTTGTATTTTCTTTGTCTCTTTCTTTCTTTTTTTAATTTTAAATTGAATATATTCCCTTGCTGAAGGACATGGAAACGAGTTCGTACACCCTGGAGACCCTGGAGGAGGCCGCCCCGGACCCGGAATCGGAGGAATACGACTTCGGGCGGGAGATGCGGAGGCTGGTGATGCAGCTCGAGAGGCTCCAAACTGCTCTCGAGGGTGGGTAGGCTTATTGCCTCGCTTGTCCGCTTTCTGGGCCTCGAATCTGAGCCGCTTGAATGCAAATGCAGGAAGCAAAGAGAGGGAACGAGAGCGGAAGGCCACCGCTCTGGAGCGCGGACGGGAGCTCTTCGACCAGCTGCCCGACGCCAACGACGCCGACTCCAAGGACCCGGCTCGGTGAGCCAGCGAGGAAAGAAGAAGAAAAAAACACACAAAAAAAACTCGAGTCTTAGTTTCTTAGGATTTTATTAATACTCTCGGATTACTTTTAACAGTCACATATTACACATAATAAATTCAGATTCTTTTTACCTTGCTCTGGTAGAGCACAAACAAACAAACATCTCGGAAAGAAAGAGGGGCAAAAGCGAAAGTGATGCTTATGGGGAAACCGCATCTAGACAGGTAATAACCTTCTATGGGCAAGGGTTTGGGTTTAACTAACAGCATATCAGAGGGTAAAACTACCACAGTTAAACTAAGGCCAGAACAAATGCCATCAAATAATGGTGTAGATTCAAAGAAGACTTATGTACCACAGTAAGTACAAACTAATTTTCTACACACCTTTACAATCTAGTCTTACTGTGAACAGTCAAAGAATTCCTTATCTGAGGTTCTATAGCAGAAGTTTAGGGAAATCTTTATACCCCAAAATAAATAGGAGGAAAATAATTACCTTTACTACTATTAACCTATTAAACCACTATCTTACACATGTTGAGAGGGGAATTTGATAAAGCAGGCAAGACTTGTCAAATCAAGAAAGAGATCTCGACAAAGCAGACACAGCACACACAGTCAGAAAATTAGTTACTATAAATATTTGACATTTGGTAACAAATTTGATAAGTATGTCATCCCAAGGAAGAGGTTGGACCAAAATATACAAATTTGAATGAGTGACACAATGTCTGAGTTGAGCTGAATTTTAAAGCACCCAATTTTTAATTACTAATTATTATATGTTTATCATGTACACAAAAATAAAATTACCTATCCAATACTGAACAATACAATTTATAAATACTTTTTGATTTTAACTGATATAAATTCTTTGGCAAGCGAACTTGGCTTGATATGAAAACACATGTACCGAAGATCTTCCCTTGAATAAGTGTAACACAATTCAGTTCAACCCAGAATACAATAAAACAATACCTCACTAGGATAATTTAATATATAAATAATACAACTTTGAATATCAAAACAAAGACTTTTTCATAGGGCTTTTGGGAGTGACACACACATAGTTATAAATCACTATACAATAACATGCAAAAATATACAACCACCGAGCTTTTATTACAGTTGGGACTGATTGACAGATGGACACTTCGGAAAAGGTAATTTGCAACAGTTAGATACTATCCAGTAACAATTGTCACTTTTGATTTTAGCTTTATTTTCCTTATTAACATGAACTTCAGGTGATTCTAAATTAGAACTCCAACTAATGATTTCAAATAATGACAACAGAAATTTATACACCCGTATTGTTGCCCTGCCCAATCTCCATGCAGTGGAATGAAACCTTGATGACAGAATCTAAATTAAAAGTCTATTTGGGTAAGATGATAAAGGTCAAGCATTTAATAAAGACATTTTCTCTCAAAACAATAATACAGTAATATTAAAACACATAGAATTTATGAATTTTTAAAAGCAACTGTGGACAAAAGGAAACATTAAAATAGACATGGAAAGACACAATCATTAGTCAAGAGCGTCAAAGCTACAAAATGTGAAAGACTTTCTTCCACAAATTTGTGGGAAACACAGAAACAGCACTGATGATTTTAAACCAATTAACAAAAAGCTCAAAAGTTATCATCCAAGAAAATATGTGGTGTAGAGAATCAACATAATACAGCAAGAGAGTTTAAGTTTTCCAAATTTCAACAAATTAAATAAGGACTGGACCAACAATACCAGTCTTACAGTAATATTTAACGATTAATGAGGCAAGCATCAAGCTACCAACAACTGAGAAGTAAGCAGACTACGCTTGCCTCCATCGAAAGTTCATACACACAAGGTTAAGATACATAGCACAACCAAATGTTTAAGGTCCAGGTTCCATTACTATCAGTCTAAACCTAGCAGCACATGTATACAACTCCTTTGTACAAAAGGCTGCCAAAAGATATGACAAATTATCAATAGGCCAACAGATTCAAATAGCTTTTGAATAACACAAAACTGTTCATATTGTCACTACACTGAAGCATTTCATAATACACACTTTCTTATTCTTAACCATCCAGATTTGATAAAATTTGGCCTCTTGAAGACAATTTGTAATGCAAATACCAAAATCATCAGATAATGAGCCTTGTGAATCACACAATACACACACTAACATCTCACCTATAAATATAATCTCTGTGAACAGTAGATTCATTTATTGGCTAATAAATGAACTGAACTGAACTCAAGGAAGAGAAACTATCCCTTCATCTCACAATGAGTAAAAGGGAAAAATTAGGATCACTTTTCCTGTCAGATCTATCCAATGCACAAATTATCAGTGAGAGACGCAAGGACACCATCACTGAGGATGAACTGCACAAAATGAGTGGAACTGAAGCTTCACAGCCACAACTCTTATCACAGACACACTCAATGCAACATCTTTGAGAGATGGCAAAGATAAGAAAATCAGATGCGGCAAATAAACTGAAGAGACAATTAAATGTACCATGGAAAAACCAATGGTATTCAGCACATAATTACTAACATTTTTTTTTTGTTTGTTAATACATTGCAGATAATGTACAAAGAAAACACTAACTAGACGGAAAGCTCAGTAATATTTACACAAGAAGAACTTAAAAACAATACAGCAGTAATTCATAGAAATTGAAAAGAGTGAAGAGTGCCTTAAAACTTTCGAAGAATGCAAAGCAGTCCCTTTAAAAAGCATCAACATCTCGATGATTGGAGAAGTAACATAAATTGGTACTTTGCTTGAACACGAGTACTACACAAACCAAAGCATCAGGGCACTCACCTCTCTTTATTTAAATCAGTCACATTGTTTGAAACTGTGCTTCAGATCTGAATATACAGAGCCATTTTAACAGAAGGCAAGAAGTGAATAAAATCTTAGATTAGTCATTTGCAACAACAATAAAATAATAAGGCCCAATAAAGCACTACAATACAATACAATACAACACAACCAAATTGGGAACTTTGGCAGTTAACTCATAGTCTTCGAAATGATGACATACTCAAAGAAGAGCTTTTGTTGTGCTTTCGTCTGGGTTGTACTGACATAGGTGGTTTCAAACCTTCAGGTTCAGCAGGTGACCCAAGCTCCTTTGAAAACAAAGTCATGTTAGACAAATTATTCTTTCAAATATTGAGGATCAGACCTGTTTTGGATGGTGTTGGTATGATTTCTTACATTTAAATTTGTACAAGAGGCCAATCGCATTTGAGCAAGCTGTGAGGCGGGTGTAAGGTTTGTGGTACTTCCAAATGGACTCATCATGGTTGACACAGCCCTTTTCAGCTTGCTCGGAGTCTTGTTGAAGCTGAATGTACGCCCTATTTTCATCCGCGTCCTTGATGCCAATCTAAAAAATAATTATTGCAAGTCGGTGTTAAGTCAGTTACAAGGCAATAACAATAAACTTGGCATTAAATAAAATGGTTTGAACCTTACTTGAATGCTTTACTCAATGTGCCAAAAGCTGCATCATTCGATGCAATATCAAGTTCTCCATATTCAAGAGGTGACAAAAAATAAGCCTGGAAATTAAGATTTACCATGAAATCTAATCTACCCATAACATATCATAGAAATTCAAATATGACCACTTACAGCATCAGCTTTGCACACTGTGTTAGCCAGCTGCCTGCAGAGTGTCTGTAGGAAGTTCAATTTATCAACATCATCATCCACAAGTTCAAAGGAATAAAGTTTCTCTTTAAGCTCTTGATTGCTACGACACTTCAAGGCAAACAATTTTTCAGGTTCTGCAAGATTAAAAAGTATTTGTTAGGAACAAATTCCCTTGAGACACTTTGCTATTAAATAAAATCCACTAGGTTTGGGAAATAAAACTTGCCTTCAGTAACTCCTTCTCTATCCTGCACATCAAAGACACGTTTTATGTCAGATAAAGGAATGAGCCGTACATGCTTGAAATGTTTAGTGTTACGTAATGTGGCAGTATTTGGACTCTTCAAAGATCCTCCTGCTTTGGACCTCTTTTTACATACCTGTTCATTATATAAAAGGAACATTTAACAAGCTATCATGCACAACATGTAATCACAAAAATATGACAATCATTCAAAGCAATACATACCTCCAAAATGTCAGAGAAGAGAAAAAAGACAAGAGCATCTCCCCGGCCACTGAGCTCATGACTCAACTCCACAACATTGCATCGTGCGACAAAAGCTCTGTGCGATGACACAAGGTGTGGAGGACAGTTGTCTATATCATTAAAAATTGAAAACATATCCATGCAAGCTTCCATTCTCCGCTTGTCTTCATTGATGTGCGTCATGACTTCACGAATGGCTTTAAGTGCCTCCTCTAGAGCAGCATGATCAGGATTATTCTTGCTAGTGTGCTTGAGGATATCTCCCAACAGGAGGCTAATGCTTGGTAATCTTTGCACAGGGCGAATCAAGAGTTCACCTAAGGTCTGACGTCCACATTCAGGTTTACTTTGACACACTTTCAAAAATGCATGAAACCTTGGTTTTGATTGATCACATTTGTGCAACATTTCTTTTGTTTGTTCAAAAAAATTTACAAATGGAGGATAAGCTTTGACCATATCACGAGAATGCTTTAGGATAATGTTTCCTATGCTTGTTGTATCAGCCCAGTGAGAATTGGCCCAACTAAGTTCTTGCAACATTTTAGAATGCAATTCGTAGATCGGTGGAAGATGTCCAAAAATGGTTTTTAGCTCTGTGTTGTCTAATAAAGGGACTTCTTCGTCAGTCATTTCTTCTAAAGGTGCCTTGATTAGGGTCATTATTGTGTGTAAAATACCAACATAATTTGTTTCAGTCTGTACAAGTTCATGGAATACTTGTTGCCTTGGACTCAAACTTTTCAATGTAGCTGACTCAACTTCATCAGTTGCTCCTTTCTCTGACACAGCGGAACAATCCAAAAACGAACCACTCAAACTAAGAAGACCCGCATCACTAACAGACGAACGGCGCTTATGTAAGCTTGGGGACTCTATAGGAACCAGCCTTGATGCAGCAATACGTTTTCGTTTCCTCACACGAGATGACGTTGGAGTTCCTAGGGAGTCCCTGGATGTTGCAGGACTCAAAACACTTTCAATGCTCTGTTGATGAACAAAAAGAAAGCCAAAATGTTACAAAAGGAAATTTAAAAAGAAAGGAATGTTCACAGAACAGATGATCAGAGGACCCTTACTTCAAATTTGTACTCAGTCTCATCTGCAGCCCCTTCATTTTGAACTGATATCCAAAACCACTCTGGCTTCACTATATGCGAATGGCCAATGGCGGTTTGTGGAACTTCTGGAGCTTGAATTTCATCAACCACCTAGAAATAGACCAAAATTTAAACAAAACAAATATAATGTAATACGTACATACAGTATTTTGTTAAACATTTACATAAAAACAAAACAAACCTTAAAAAAACAAACAAAAAAAAACCCCAAAAAAAACAAGAACAGAAGAACAAGGAAAGTAAAATAAACAACTTTCAAACAAAAACAGCAAAAATAAGGCCCACCAACATACAAATTTGGAACTAAAAACAATCAACCATTAGAAGGCCAACAGTCAAAATGACAGATTGGTAGGAAAATGAAGTGCATGCATGAATGAATAAATGGATGGCAAAGAAACAAAGGCATGTAGACAGGTTATGCACAATTTTTTCTGTGTTAAAAATTTAAGATGCACAAAACCAATAGAAAATAAATAAGTTTCCAATAGTCTTTAATTTAAAAAAAAATCATGCAAATCTCCCTTTTGAAACAAGAACTATGTTATGAAGCAAAGAAAGTGAACATATGACAGACATCAAAGAGAAAGATATTGAAGAAGAAAAGCAAGTACCGGAGCAGAAGCGGCTTCCTCTTGATCACAGGCCATGGGATCATCCACCGCTTGAGCTGGTTGCTCCAGTATGGTCTCTGACCCAATTAGTTTGATAGAATGGTCACAAGGACCATCATCCATATCCCAATCCTCAGCAGTGACCATATCATCATGAGAGCTATCTTGATGGTCAACCACATCAATAGGTGTGGAGGTTGGTAATTCACTTATGCTCGGAAAGAATGGAGCATTGAGGGGCAGAACACTGTTCCTAGGCGTTTCATACAGTGATGACGAAGAGGGACTCTTAGGCTCTGGTGTTCTTGGTGAACTGGGACCTTCTTCTTCACGGATGGCTGGATATTTATTTGGGGAAAGTAGGAGGTGCAGAAAGGAGGATCTCCTCCGTTGAGGAGGGATGGGGCGCGACGGGTCGGGCGACTTGGAATGTTGGGGTTTGTTTTCAACTGCTGTGGGCACAGGAGCTGGCTTTCCCTTGAGCAGGTTGTAAGCCTTGTAGCTCTCCACCACCTGTAAACACACCCACTCCATCCCTGACAATGTGCACCAAGCATGCTCAATGATGCTGCCATTCATGGACATGCAAAGTATCTTTTTTTGAACAGAGTGACAAGAGCACTACATCTACAAAGAATGGAATGTTAAGTAAATGAGTGCCAGAATGATCGAGAGATAGAAAGACACCGGCGCTTATCTCACCTGAGTTCATCCTTTAGGAAACATGCACAAATACAAATAAACTCGTTATTAAAAAAAACTGAAAGGCAGCAGGAATCATATTAAAGATTTAACAACATGTTTTTTTTTGGTCCAATTCACAGATCCTAAACTGATCTGAGCAAGGCTACCTAATTGGCACTGACCAAAGACCAATTAATTCTCATTTGAATTCATCAAGATAAACAGAGACCAAATTTGGCCAGTGCTAAATGGACATAATGTAAAATCTCTGACTCAAAAGTTGTTATGTCTACAACCCAACAGTAAAAGATGAAGAGCTTAACAACTACCAACCACCATATTTAGAGAAAAAATAAGAAAGTAAAACAAAAACAACTCACAATATGACTGCTTTCAGCAGCATCTGCAACCTCTCCCCCATTTTCAACAAGGACTTCTTCCATGTGCTTCTTTTCATCCTCTGGAAAACCCAAAAAACATATTTTGGCTCCCTGGAAAGGCTTAAGTTTATGTTGACTCTGTAAAACAGAAAAAGAAAAGATTATTAAAAAGAGATGTCTTAAAGGACATCAATTGCAAGGTCTATTATTAATACCATAATCATACTCACGGTAAAGTCTGCCGAAGCTGCTCCAAACCCTACTTCTCTACGTCTTTCCCACGCTTGAAATACCCATGACTCTGACATTACAGGAACTCTAAATGTGATTGCATACTGATATTTCTTTCCTCCAACTCCTTGAGCAATCAAATGAGTCACTGAAGCAGACATCTCCTTTCTAATACTGCCTCCCATATATTGCACTAAACGAACCAGTTTCATCTAAGAGAATAATGGAAAATTAAAGGACCAAATTATTAAATAGCAATCCTCACGTGCACACAATGGCCATGATAGAATGTCAGTATAAATGAACTTACCAAATGTTCTCTTTTACGAAATCCTGTGAAGCAAACCACTAAGCCCGCCATAGCATGGTTGAAGAGTGGCCTGCTGTTGGTAGGAAGGCTTCCTCCTTTCTCTACAATTTCAATTAACGCTGTCCTACCAATGACACTGCAAAACAATATCAAAGTCATCTTCCATTAAAGCTACAGGCCAGGAGGAGTGGGTTTCTACATGGAGCACGGTATGTGGCAAACTTACCGCAAAAGAGGGTTGTGGGTTGGTGATATAGGGTTTTCCATGTCTTCTACAATGAGAAGGGTGCATATGTTATCTTCTATTAATGTCTGAGGCGTCTCAGAAATAACGGGAAGGCCAAGTGTCTGCAAAATTCAGAAAAAAATAGGTTGTAACTTTGTACATATTTGAGAATGCTTTTCTCAATGAATGTTACTTTCTTTAGACGTCGACTCACCTGGACAGCATTTAAGACTGCAGGGTCTTCAGCAAGTGTCGCCCCCACAAGACATATCCTGGCAGGGGCTCCGCCAAAATCTATCAATGGGAAATTCAACTCAGAAAAGAGAAAAATAATTGGAGATATGATGTCTACTTAGATTATAAGAAAGTTAGATTTAGTAACTAAATTAACACAGTATACAGAGTTGAAGAAAAAAAAACTAAATTCCACCAAACTATTAAAAAACAAAGTCAAAACTGAATTTAAAAGATAAAATTTTCAAAACAAAAAAAATAAGTAAATTTGGAAGTAATTTTTAAAGCCAGCAAACAAATTAGGAGAACAAGCAGGCAGCAGCCATCCTTCTGCTTTTGTTTACAAAAGTTAGGGAGGTGTTCAACCCCCAATAGGATGAAGGCGAATCGGGAAACGCTACATAATTTTCAAAGGCTTTGCAAAGAGTTATGCGAAGAATTCCGTGTTACAAGCCTTCAAGCAAAGCCAAGGATCAGGATATGGACAAAAATAGGCCTAACGTATAGGGTCTAGGTCACCAAGGAGTTAGGTTGGGTCGGACGAATCCTTCCTCGAATCAGAAGTAACCAATTCGTATCTACCATGTATGTTAATGTTACGTTAAATAGCACGGCGAAAATTTCCAAAATACAAACGTATCGATTCAATGACACTTACCCAATTTACTTTCCTCTTCATCCATGGTCCAGGTCCAGGTTTGAACGGTTTGAATAAAGAATTCTTTTGTTTTTCAGTGAGTGTGTGTGCGAGAGAGAAAGCGAAAAGAGAGAGAGAGAGAAGGAAGAGTGGGCTAGGGACATTCAAGTTAGCATAGGGACAAATCTTCTTTCGACCAGAGATTTCCAATGGAAAGGAAGGAGACGCTTATCAAACCACCGTGAAATACACCTTATTCTGATTCGAGAAGTACTTTGCAAACTGACCGTCAAATCTAACCAATCAATCGAAAACGGATTATTGTTGCTGCAAATAACTTCCAAGTTATTTGCAGTGAGTAGGGAGGGAGGGGAAGTTCAGATAACCGAGGGTTCAAACACACGTGCCGAAATCCCCTGCAGCAGTAAGTGGAGAAGAAAAGAATCTTGTAATAACTCTTAGATTGATTTTAAACGTGTCTTGATTTTTTATTTGTACTGCGCAGTTGCCGGCAGTGACCACACCACACAATGGCGGCGTCCTCAGTCGTCATGCCGGCAGCAGAAATCACCGTCAACGGCCAACCGAAAGAGGTGGGTATTTTGGACCTGTATTTTAACGCCTCTGGGAGAGGAACCTCCCGCTGTACACTCTCGCGCCCATAGTACCAGGTCACGTTATTTGTGGGCTAATTTCCGGAGAAATTGGCGAACAACGGGGCCGTTGGGTTCGCGCTGTCCGCAGTTCCATTCCCCGCACCCCCCTTGCCTGTCCTTCGTTTCATTGCCGCACCGCGCTCCACTCAACTCGTTCGTTTCGTCGCCGCCGCGGGAGTTCGCAGCAGTTCATCTCCGGTCGTCCACCTATTTGCTCACTGCTGCAAGCGGCAAGGCAATTTTCGTCCCTCTAGTGTCTCTGTAGACTCGCCACCATTCCGAACGTTAACAGTTTGAAGTCTGCGATGAAGGTAAATGACGCTGCTTTGGCATACAGTCCCGGTGTTCTGGCTCGGTGTGCGGGGTATCTTCGCCGCTTTCGGATGCCGCTATCGGTGATTCATTCGCTTTTTGTCCCTATTTGGTTAATTTAGTTTCTTTATTTCAGTTCCCTGTCGACTCTCGTGTCGATTTCTTTTGACATATCCCTCACGATTATAGAATGTCGCCTGGCCGCTGAATAGTGTATTTGGCCTTGGCTAGTTTTCAGGTTATCCCGCGTGGTCCGTTGGCCGGGGCCGTTGTATTTCTTTGTTCTGATCTGTCGTCGCTTTTCCTCCAGTTCGAAGATTCCGACATGTTGTCCTTAGCTTCTGCATTAAATGCGGCGCGTAGTCTCAAGGAACCTCTCACAGGGCTAGCTCAGTGCGGCTCGACAACGACGTTTTTGTTTATATACAGGCAGGCAGCATGGCCTGTACATTAGCAACTGCCATGGTCCCCCCCCCCTCCCATCCCCCCGTGATACATGTTAATGTTAACTCTTGCAGAGTTTATTCCAAATTTTTGAATTAATGAATCGCCCATAGCTAAAATTTTTTAATAGGATAATTTTTTTTCCTTTCTCTCAAATTGACCTTGTACTAGCTTTTTTTAAATTATTATTATTATTAATTTCAGGGGTGCAAACTAGAAGAGAATATGGAGGTTGCGTCGGAGGTCAACACTCCTACGAAAGAAGAAAATGGAACAACCAAAAAGGATGATGTCAAAGTGGAAGAAATGACATCTCGAGACTACTATTTTGACTCTTATGCCCATTTTGGTATTCATGAAGAAATGTTAAAAGATGAAGTTAGGACACTCACTTACAGAAATGCCATGTACCACAACAAGCATTTGTTCAAGGTACAGTTTAAATGCAATTCCGTTCAATCTTGTGACTTGCGGTTGGTTATGAGTGAAGATAAAACAATGTTTTGTTTTTCTCCTTTAGGACAAAATTGTTCTTGATATTGGGTGCGGTACTGGCATCCTTTCAATGTTTGCGGCTAAAGCAGGAGCAGCCAAAGTTTTTGGTATTGATTGCTCTAATATTGTTGAGTATGCCAAACAAATTGTTGAAGCTAATGGACTCAGTGACGTAGTTTCCATTATTAAGGGAAAGGTGCGTCATGTCTCTATTCACAGATATACATAATATTTGAATTTGCCTTGTGTCAGTACCTGCATATTAATTTTTTTTTTTTTCAGGTTGAGGAGGTGGAGCTTCCTGATGGCATTCAGAAAGTGGACATTATCATTTCTGAATGGATGGGATACTGTCTTTTCTATGAATCTATGTTGGATACAGTTCTGTATGCCCGGGATAAGTGGCTGCAGCCTGATGGCCTTATGTTCCCTGACAGAGCTAACTTGTTCGTGTGTGCCATTGAGGACCGGCAGTACAAGGATGAGAAGATTAACTGGTGGGATGATGTCTATGGCTTTGACATGAGCTCTATCAGGAAAGTGGCAATCAGTGAGCCATTGGTTGATGTTGTTGATCCCAAGCAGGTAAATATAATTAGTCATCTTAAGCTCCCTTCAAAGATCTTTGCCAGTCAAATAATCGATTTTCTTTCTCCATTCTTAGGTTGTCTCCAATGCCTGTTTGGTAAAGGAGGTGGATCTGTACACAGTGAAAAAGGAAGATCTGGACTTTAAATCTCCGTTTCAACTTCAAGTTAAGCGCAATGACTATGTTCAAGCACTTGTGACTTATTTCACCATTGAGTTCACCAAGTGTCACAAGAGGATGGGCTTCAGCACAGCACCAGATGCGCAGTACACTCACTGGAAACAGACTGTGTTTTACTTTGATGAGTACATGACTGTCAAGAAGAACGACGAAATTAGTGGTTACTTTTCGATGAAACCTAATGCTCGCAACAATCGTGACCTGGACTTCAGCATTGAAATTGACTTTAAAGGAGATTGTGGTGAAATGCATGAAGTTAACCATTATCGCATGCGCTAATCTGTCTTCAGCTGTGTTTTTATATATTTAGTGGACCCTTAAAATGAGAAACACTAAAAAGAAAAAAGAAGAAAAAGATTCATTTTGCATCCTAGTTAGCCATTGCACTTGAAACCCAAGTTGTGACGTTTCCTTTTTTTTATGTCAACATACTCTCATTGTGATTTATTTTTTGTTGTCAACTTTGCCTTTAGTGTTAAGTAACTAAGCTTTCCCTTTTATAAATCATGCTCATATGTACACTATTGTAAAGTTTTTATTTTAGTCTTTGAATGATGTCAACTTTCAACTTTGTCTAATAATAAAAATAGGAAAAAAAATTGAATCAATGATTTGTCAGTTACCCTTCCCCATGAACATGCAGTTAAATTTGCAATGATGGAGTCAAACTACAGTAACAGCCATTTATTTTATTGCTCAAATTTCTAACAGAATAACAAAGTAATTTCTCAAACTCAACAGAATACAGCTTATGTTGTCAGTCCTTTGAGTGATGCTGCCAATTTCTGTGTCTTGTAATCTGTGCGAAGCTGGATGAAGTTCACCAAAATGGAGTTGTCTAGACCAGCCTAGAAATGCGCAGAGAAGACTTGCATTAAATTCCAATGTCTAAGCGACTCCATAGCAAACCACAAGTAAAATTTGCACTGACCAAAGTTTCACCAGAACACACTTGCTTCAGGTTTTCTGGCTTGACTAATAACAGATTGCACAAAGCATGCAATGTGTCAAACAAGGTATTAACCAATGGGATGTTTAGATCTTTAACACACTTTCGATATTCATTAACATCCATGATAGCAATCATGGCACCAACAGAATTAAATTGGAACTGTTGCAGGTGTTCATAAATAACTCTGTGAAGACGTATACCCAATTCCAATAGAACACTTTCAGCATTTTTTCCATCCAAGCATGATTTAATTCGCTTTATGGTATTGCTTATATATTGGACAACAGCCAAACATGCCTAACAACAAATATAAGATTTTAGAAATATGACTGTTATTAAAGGATGCAATTATTTAAATAATGATAGAGACTTACCGGTGAAGCCATTGTATCAAGATCAGCTTCTGGTTTAAAATCTGATTTTTTCTGTTCTGTTTGGAGATAAATTTTGACCCATCCAACAATTGCACTTAATATTCTGAAAATGAAGATATGGGAAGATGAGTACAGTAGTTTGAACCTGCATAAAATTAGATTCATATTTATAATTATCATACCTGTCTAGTCCTGTATCTAATTTGGTTTCAATCTGCTCTAACATTTGTCGCTTTTTGTTCAAACATTCAGTATGTTTTGGAGTAGATCTGAGAAAAGCAGGAAATCACAAAATTGGTTGATTTGAAGAGGAACATATTTTAGCTATATTCATGAAAGAAAATTATCCCTTACACTATAATCGGCAGTAAGCTGTGTAATGTTTCCATGTCAAGATAATGAACAATTTCATTGGTCTGACTCGCCACTTGCAGAAAGTACAATTGGGGCTGGACTTTAGTCTCTGGTATTGGCACTGCTTGCAGACCCAACTCTAAAGCATAATCAACGTATTCAGCCAAAAGTTGATTGAGAAGAACATCAAATATGAGTTGTGCATGTGCTGCCTGATCAGTTTGCTTTGAAAGCTTTGAAACAACAAATACACCAAAAAGATTAAAATGATATCATGAATAGTGACATAGACAACTGGAAATTATAATCTACTTACAACAGTGCAACGTTTGAAGGCCTGCTTTCCTGTTTGAAGCAATAATTTTGCCACCTCCATTGATAAAAATGTTTCTCCTCCATAGTCATCTATCTGAGCAATATTTATGTTGGTCCGTGTTCCAATGACAGCCTGTAAGTCTCGGCGTAAATCCTGAAATCTAAGACAAGTTTCATGAAAAAATTTGTGTTTTTATTTATCATATTAATTAGGTGGTATCAAAGGGGTCACTTCATATTTTACCCTCCAGTTTGAATTTGCCGCTTGTGATGGCTCTTGCTGTCATAAAATTTTTGGATTGATGCAACACTACACTCCTTTAAATTTCTTAGCTCCATTCTGAGAAAGAAAATGATAAATCAAGACAAAGGCAACAAAGGACTTATGTGTCAATAAGGAGAGTCCACACACCCAATGTAGTTCTCCAAATATTTCTGGAAAATGTTCTGAGTCAGCTTTGATAGAAACATTTCATCATTACCCATGTCAAACATCATTAAATCATTAGAGAGCTGAACAGTTCTGCAAAATCAAGGTAGTATTAATGATCGGAGCTGTCAATGATTAAGGAAACAAAAGAGGTTGTAAATCATTACCTGGAATATAAATCATATAGATTCTCGAGATATAAGTTAGTATCTTTTTTGTCTGATAGTATAGTAACAATGTGCGTCTGAAAGAGGAAAAAAATTGTCAACAGGCTGAATTTTGATGAAAGCATGAAAGACATTTCAGACATTTGAGATATTACCTGAAGTTTGCCATGATAAATGTTCAGTATGAATTTTGCCATGACTTGCTCTGGGTTAAGGAAAACTTCTTTCATGATTTCATAGTTTTTTCTACATAGAGGAATAACATCCCTAAAAACATTTTTTCCTTCAAGAGTGCTCTGTATAAAGAAAGAGTCACAACAGAAAAAATGAGAAGAGGACAAAAAAAAATATTATAAGATTATAAGGGTTTAAGCAGGAATTTACCATTTGACTTTGTTCAATGAATGCATCAATACATTGTGTATAGCCCTTAAAGTGTGACAGAATGGCAGCAATTTCTTTCATTCGAGCAGTATCCTCTTGCATATGAGCAGTCACAAAAGCTTCAATGAGCAGTTTCTCTATTTCGTCATACTTTGATGCTATTTTCTTCTTTGCTCCTTCAAACCTGAAACATGGATTCATGTGATAATATTGCCTGCAATTTTAGATTTTGTGCTAGACAAATATATGACCTCCTTACTTATCTGAGGGTAGTTCTTGTGCAATAAGATGAAGTTTCTGAATGATGTCAGCTGCCTCATCAATCTACAAAATTAATGGGGAAACATGAGCAGAATTGACAAATGAAGTTGTTTAATCCAGTGCCAAAAAGAAACAAACCTGTGATTTATTTAATAATACATCCAATGTGATCGGCCCAGAAGACAAGAATTCAGCAAAATGTGACATAAGCCTCTGCGCTTCAACAGCTCTAGAACGGGGCGTGTTCACACTCTCCAACTGATCTCCAAGATGAATAACCTTAGTGGCTACATAATTGATCCTTTCGTCCAATTCTTGGAACATCCCTACAGCAGCCTTGAAAGAAGAAAATTGTTAACAAAATTTACAACACAGAAAGTCAAATGATACTTTCTTCTATGGAACCTTGTTCTTGTCTTGGAGCTGAGCAACTTCTTGCCAATGCCCATGCTCTTCTTCTTGGCATTGCTGCTCTAGTCGAGCACATTTTCGGTACTGTCGCTCTTGGAGCATTTGTAAATCTCTGTAGGGAGGAAAAATGAATTTTCATTTTCTTGAAATGAGAGCAAATGGATCTCACGGTTAAAGTGGTCAAGGTTCTTGAATAGTCTTACTTTATAGCCTGAAGAAATGTTTCCTGAAGTGCGATTGGATCCAATTGATCTTTATCACTATCTTTGAATGAAACTTGCATGGTCCTTTTTGCCAATTTTTCGACAAAGGCTTCCGGATCAAATGGCTCCTAAACACACCAGAAACTTTAATAAGCCCACACGTGTGTAACAACTATACCAACAGAGCTCATCTTTTCATTCAAACTAATTAGTTAAAGATGGAAATAAATCAAATACCATCAAATTAGTTTAAACAAGGGCAAAGCAGACAAATGTTCCAAAATGAAGGCCAATTAAAATTGTGAAACAATTTAAAGCAGAATCAAATGTAACACTTTTGCTCACACAGCAGAATTGAATTAAAAATGAAACAAAGACTCTAAGCCATAGAGTTATCACAAATCACAGACAAAATTGTCAGCACCAGGAGGTTAGGTATTCACAGCCTAATTTTTATCATTTCGAAAACTTTTAACGTAGAAAAACACTAACACGGGCAGATAAGTCAAATAAAGATTCGCACCTGTTCCAATTCCTTCATGTAAATCATTGTTACAAATTAGTTGAAACTGAGCTTGACAACTGACACAAATGACAGGGACGTCACACCCACACACCCACCAATCTCACACACACACATACAACTGGTCCCCACTATGAGAATATTGTCAATATTGTCCTATGAGAACTTCCTATATCAGAAAGGGAAGTCTCGGGAAGTCAAACTTCTGCCACTTGGCTTCTGGCTTGAATGGCATGTTTGTTGAAACGTGGTGAGAAGCTAGTAACATGACAGAAACTTCACATTAATCTATTCGTCGATATCGGTCTTGCAAGAGTCGATGAGTGGCGCCACTTTGGCTTCCTCTTTCCTCCAACCTGGGTCTGCCGCCGGCAAACGGTGTTGGTTGTATTGTGTCGCGGCCCGGTGTCATATCATGAGCAACTCAACAACATGATTGCGTGTTTGCAGCAACAGGCTGCCTGCCTAGGCGCGTCAAATAAATAGTGTTGTCGAGTTCGGTCGGCCGGCGCCTCCCCTTCCCCACCCTCGCCTGAGGGGAGTTGTGTCCTGGAAGCAGCTTCCACGGCAAGGTGTCGTGGTGTCGTCTGGGCTGGGCTGCATGGCAGGATGGCTGGATGTCTCACGCAGATGTCGCTGTGGGAACGCGTCGGGCAGACGCCGACGAGGTGGCGCCACGGCCAAAGGATATAAACCCCTCCCGTGCCCACCCCCTCGAGTCGAGCCCTCGGGACCGTCTATTAAAGTCGCCAGAATTCAGAAAGGGGGAGGGGGGAGGAGAGAGTGCCTGCACGTTTGAAATATGGGCGGTTCCCAACGGGTCCCTTTCGGGGACTGGCGATTTTTAATCAGAGATATGATGATATGAGGGTCTCTAAAATACCTGCACGTACCTTATACGGTGACAGTGAAAGCGCATTTCACAACCATACCTCATACACTCTCAGAAAAGTTAATTTAGCCCAGCTCAAATTGTGATGTGATTTTCTTTGTAGAATTTTTTATGACTAATTTTTAGACTTATTTTTACACGTTTCAGTCAAAAGTTGCAGTTCAGTTGCCTCAATTCTTTTGAGAGTGTACGAGCATCGTGCCCGAAAACTATTGTTTGCTGTTCGGCGGGAAGCCGTTGTTGCTTGGAATGCCGCCGGCTTCCGCACTTCCCTCAAGGGACCACTCTCCGTGTCATCGTACGCATGTTGAGCTCGATCATAGCGGCCTCTTCCACCGGGAAAGAAAAGGGGGAGGGGAGGAGGGGGCATTCCTGTTAGGTACCTGAAATATGGCGCCTGGCAGACAGGGATGAAGGGCGTCCACCACAGTCCACTGCCCGTCACCAGTAAGTCACTCTCAGCTCAAGCGGCAAGTCGGCGGTTTTCCAACCCCGTTCGCTTGGCCGGCCTGGGTGACCACTGGGTAGATCGCGTCTCGGCGCGGACGTAACGCGCAGACGTGGTGCATGAAAACCTGTCACGGCCACTACCCAAAGCAAACGCCGCGAGGTCCATAACCAAAAGTTTATTTATCTGGGCGTTTATTTGTTTATTTATTTGTCCTTAAGTAGGCTCGCACATTACGGCGGCGCGGAGCAGGGGGCGCAAAGACACCGAAAGTGAGTCTGAGGGGAGGGGGTGCCCAGGGGGCGGGGGGCGGCGCGCGTGCCGCCTGGGCCCACAGTCGACTTAAAAATAGGCCTATCCACGCCTTCCACTTTACGGCTAACTTATTGCCCGGCAGGTGTGGCGCTGCGGCCGAGGCAGCGAGGGGCTGCGAGGGGCTACGCGCCGCTGGGGCGACAGACAGACGGCTTTTTAAATCACCCCGTAATTTGTTGACGTTCTGGTGTATTTAAAATGCCGTGTCAGCGGAGATGGCGGAGATGTAGCGAGGGTGGGGTGGGGGTGAGGCCCACGTCGGGGGCGAGGGCGAGGGCGGGGGTGGTCTATGCTACTCGGGTTTGCTTTTAAACTGTTGCGAGTCTCGGCTCAGCTCCTCGCGTCCGGTCGGGCGTATCGTCCTGTGGCGGGGCCGGGCGTGGCGTGGCGGGGCGTGGCGGGGCGTGGCGGGGCGGGGCGATGCGGGGCGGGCGGAGTGCTGGTGACGCGTCCACGAACGTGTCCCCCTTGTCAGTTCCTTGCCACTCTAGTCGGGAGCGACACGTTCGACTCGGTTCGAAGAAAGTCGTGACACTACCGGGTCGAAGTGCAGCAACTTGACCGCATTGGTTTTGTTACTCGTTGGTTTGTTTCGAAAACAAATTGAACAGCTCGTTTACAAGTTTAGTGAACGTTTATTAATATTTTTTTCACCTGAGATTTTCTGGGATTTACATCACATTTTTAAAAAGGAATAATAAATACAACATGTATGGTGAGTATGATTGCAGGACAATAATACTGGTTGCTGGTCGTTCAAGCTAATTATGCATACAGTAAAATGGAGAAATAAAATGAAAAAAGAAACACCAAAACTGGCAAAACAGCAAAATTCACCCAATTGAACAAATTACCCAAAAATTGTTAACAAACGGTAAAAGTCAAAATTTTGCTTACGAAAATTTACACAATGTTATGCTTCTACAAAATTTACAAAAGTAAATCATTGAAATATAATACCTCCACGAAATGAATAGTTGGAAGAGAAAAGGGTCGCTAACATAGCTTTGGTTTTAATTACATTAACATCACTTCTCGGACACACAACATTCACTCCCTCTTCAAAAAATAAAAAATGAAACACTTCTCACTAAAACCACACGCACGCATCATCTCTCACGCACACACACTCACACAAACACACGCGTCAGACATTTACTACGAAGAAAGGCGACAGGGAAAAAATGAAACATGTTTCGCTGTCGTCGGGTACATATCACACAAAGAGGCTTACATATTCGTGGCACCGGCGGTCGGTCGTGGCGCTACCCTGCGGCCCTGCGCGAGGCTACAATCGGGGGCCCTGCGATGATGAGTGCCGCGGCGCTGCTGCACTGGAGGGACTCCAGAGAGGGCTCGCGATGGACCGTATGGGCGCTACGCTGCGCAACGCGGCGGGGCGCTCTGACCGGTTCAGTCTTATGGTGAGGGGGCCTGGTCGGTCCCTGGGACGCTGTCGCGCGGTGGGCGCGGTGGGCGCGCTCTCCTACATGAAGCACTTGGGCCGGAAGTCCATCCCCGAGAACGCCGAGTTGGGCTCGTCCTTGACGACTGCAACAAGCCACGAGGGGGTTGAGTCTCGGAGACATAGGGACACTGCAGTGCACTGGGCGCTGGAGAGGGAGGAGAAAGGAAGGGGGCTCACCGTCCGTGGCCGGCCAGTAGGGGTAGCGCGGCATGGCGTCGGCGGGGGCGTCGTACTTCCTGGCGGGGAAGCTGGCCGTGAAGCTGGACATGTTGCTGGGTCCGGTCGGCCCTGCAACGCGACATGGTCAGCACCAGCCGGCTCCCGTCGAGCTCACAACGCAGTGTCTGCTGTACGTACCTAGACTGGAACCGAGTTGGTTGTAGCAGTTCATGGACGAGATCTGCATGCTCTGCATCGGCTGCAGCTGGCTCTGCAGCTGGGGCGGAAAAACAGGTGAGATAAGAAACTGCAACTGTGGATGCGTTTTCGAGGGTGAACGAATTGTTCGTACCTGGGACGGAACCTGCGAGTAGGAGTGCGGGGAGAGCACCTTGCTGCCCTGGCACGCGGAGTACGCGAGCGGCGGCGACTGGACGGGCAGCCCCCACGCCGAGCTGCAAACCGCCACACTGCAAGGCCGAGGGCGCCGAGGGGCAGGACGTCACTAACAAGTCGCAGAGGTCCGAGCAGGCCGTCAGACTGCCCGGGGGGGCCCCGGGGGGGCTCGAAGACTCACCTGGGCTCGTACCGGGTGTAGGACGCCTGGTAGGACGGCGGCGGGAAGATGTTGCGCGCGTGCGGCAGGCTGCCCGCCATGGACAGCTGGTGGTGCACGCCGGCCACGCCCAGGCCGTGGTGGACGTGGTAGGCCGAGTCCCCGAACAGCCCCTTGCCGTAGTGGTTGGCGGGCCGGTAGGGCCGCTTCATGCGCCGCCGCCGCCGGTAGTTGCCGTTTTCGAACATGTTCTCGTACTGCGGGTCTGGAACACCAACAGAGGCGTACTCATCGCTGTCTCTCGCGCGCCGAGGCGTCACGTTTAAATCAGAGCCAAAGTGTTTCTTGGCCGGCGGCAGCGTGCCAGCAGGCTGATTCGGAACAGTGCTCCGTCGCTCCGTCTCTCTCGCACCCCTACGGGATCCGCCCAGGAAGTGGGAGAGGGACAGAGGCCGGGCCTAAACGCGCCAGTCATAACTCGAAGGGCCGGGCCAGGCAGGGCGACTCGCCTTGATGAATGGGTTGACATGCTAATTCATGATCGCTCCTTCGACTGGCCGTGCGAATGGCGAATGGGGTGCCCAGTAGTCTGGCCAGTCTGGCCCGGAATGTGGCGCCGAGCCGAGCCGAACCGTGCGTCTCTTCGCCGTGACAGATCGCCCCACCTACTACCCTTCCGCGCACGCGTGGGTGCTGCGATTGTCCGACGCACATCGCGAATATGAAAAATGACTTCCATTTATCGTTGAAACCGCATCCGTAGCCCGCGCGCTCTGCCTCGAAGAAAACTGATACTGCATGCCCCTTTTGGACAGACGGGCATCAAACTATAATCGCGCCTCCAAAGCAGCAAGGCAGGGCAGGCAGGGCGCCGAGACCAGCCGCCAGTAGCCCTTTCGTCCGTGCATGACCCCCGCAGGGCGTTACGCCCCGTCACGGCCCCGTCACGGCCCCGTCACGGCCCCGTCACGGCAGTCACGGCGCCGACACGCACGAGTCGCAGCGCGCTTTTACACCTTGGGGTAGGGCAGGCAGGCGCGTGTGTTTACGACGCGCAAACAAACAAGTCAACACGCACACGCACGCTGTAATTTGTCAGCGCGCTAGTGGACCGCTGCACGCTCACTCCGAACAGCTTTCTCTCTCGCACCCCTCCTGGACGACCCGCGAGTGCGAGAGAGACAGCGAAGCACCGCTCGGAATCAGCCCGCTGCTGGTCGCGCTGCCGCACTGCCCGGCACTGCCGCACTTCGACACGCCGGCCCGACATTGTTGCGACGGGCGGAGCGTAGCGGAGCGGAGTCATAGACGTGGACGTGCTCCGCCTCGGCCCCGCCCGCCTGGGCTCCGCCTGGGCTCCGCCTGGGCTCCGCCTGGGCTCCGCCCGCCGTGGAGTCGTGGAGTCAAGTGGGTTAGTACAGCCGCCACGACTAGCGCGACCATAATCCAAAAACACTAGATGATTCGGATTCAATCAGAAAAGCCGAAGGGAACTCCCCGGCCAGTGGACACCACCATTAGTCGGCGCATCGCTGCGCGCCTGCGCGCCAGAGGCCGCACTGACCCGCCAGACGGCGCTGCCCACCGGGTTGCCCAGGCCCACCTGTACGGCGCTCGCGCGCGCGGCGCCGCACCTGAGCAGTCTGGGCGGCAGGCAGCGGCTGGCGGGTGGGGAGGGGCGGCCATCACGGCGTTCACAGTGGTTCACTGTTCCGCGGCGCAGGGCGCGGAGATCTGCATGTCGCGAACAGTGTGCAAAAGGTGTGCATTGTCGTGGCGCTGTTGACGTTGCCTCGGCCGCCGGCCGATCGGGCACAACATCCGCCCCGTGACTCCGTGACTCACGCACCGCGCGGCAGCGCGCCACATTCAAACTCCGCGCGTGCATTGCTGCGGAAAAGGAGAGACTAGTTTTTGTAGGGAAACTTACCTAGCGTCCAGTAGTTCCCTTTGCGCTCGCCGCCGCCCTCCCGGGCCACCTTCACGAAGCACTCGTTGAGCGAGAGGTTGTGGCGGATGGAGTTCTGCCACGCCTTCTTGTTCTTCTCGTAGTAGGGGAAGGTCTCGGTGATGTAGCTGTAGATCTCAGACAGCGTGGCGCGCTTCTGGCTCGACTTCTGGATGGCCATAGCGATCATGGCGACGTACGAGTAGGGCGGCTTGTTGTTGGGATCCGAGCTGGACGAGCTCGGCGACGACCGCCCTCCAGAGCTCGTCGTCGTGGCCGTCCCGGAGGCCGCCGCCGTGGTCGACGGCGAAGCGGGCCGCGGCGGCTGGCTGGTGGAGGTGGGCAGCTGAGGGAGCGCGCCAGTGGACGACGTCGGCGATGCTGGCGCCACCTGTCGACTGTTACGAAAAAGTTGTATTTCACGCGTTGCAAAAAGAGGGTAGGTTGAAATCGGCGCCGCCGCCGTACCTCGTCACGATGTCCTTGACGCCCAGGGTGTCCGAGTAGGGCGACGGCGGCGACCGCAGCAGCGTGGAGACGTAGGGGTGCTGCTGCGCCGCGCTCGGCTGGCTCGGCCCCGGGGTGGAGGCCGTGGCCATGGCCGTGGCGGTGCCGGGGCCGTCGTCCACCGCGTCCACGGCCACGTCCACGGCGACGTCCTCGGCCTTGCAGCAGTCCACGTCCTCGGCATGCGCGGGGAGGCCGTCTTCAGGGTGCTCGGTCTTGATGGACGCCAGCGAGTACGCCATGGTGGACAGCGACAGCGCGGGCGGCACGGACACGGCCATCGGGTGGTGGAGGCCGTGCGGGAAGGGGTCCGTCACGTGTTGCGGGAAGCCTGGAGCGGTCAAACAAAACGGTTAGTTCGCTGTCGCGTTTATTTGTTTACGCCAGGCCACCCGCACTGGCACAGGGTCACAAGCCACTCGCCGCGTTGATTGACAACCACGACGCCCACTCGGCCATAACTTTTCAGTCAACCCATAAGTACAAATTTTCGAAATGAATCGCCTACAAAAAGGAACGCGCTCATCCTGAAGTGAGGCCCCGCAGCTCGGCTCGGCTCCCCTCCCCGATTTTGAGAGTCGATGAATCCGTTCTGAAAGCTGGTTACCCGGTCAGGCTTCGGCACGACCTCGGACTCGCGGACTCGGGCGGGCCGCCGCCGGGACGCCGGGCGTGCGTAATGGGTGGAAACCGAACCCCCGGAAGTTGTTGATGTGCCGCCGTGGGTGGCACGGCCAAGGCGATGGCGTGGCCATGGCGCGGCGCGGCCGAGGGGAGAGGGGTGGGGTGGAAATCACCAAACGGCCAAAGGACCAAGGACCAGCGAGATGGAGCAACAGGCTGAAGCAGGCGCTGCGGCCGCGTCAGCTGAAGGGGGCTTTAGTAGCTGACACGCTGGTAAGCGAAAAGCCGGCGAAGCCCGCCTCGACGCGACGACGCGACCGCCCAGGAGTGCCGAAGGGGCCAGCCTCCCTTTGATGTTTCAGCAAAACAAAACTGTGCTTTATGAACCGGTCGGCAGAAGTAATGTTGCTGATACGGAATCTCGAGCCAGGCCACCAACCGTTTTTGCTTGGGATGACTCTGCAACCTGCAATGACGCCGGCCGCGTACAACGGTACGATACCGCGAATGCGGAGTCAGCAGCCCCGCCAAGTGCTCGCCGCTCGCCACTGGGCGGCACAGTTGGCGCGCGCGATCTGCTGTTGCCCAAATTCCGAGGCCGGCGATTGTAGGTCACACATGCTGCGGCACATCGGATAGATAATTAAGTACGCGAAACCCACGTGCAAATGCAAAAGTAGGAAAAACGTGTCTCCGCACTCTGAGGAACAACCAATTTTCTTGCTACGTGGCGGACGGCGCCCGACTTCTCGCTGACAACTCGCACCCTATTTCTCCGCGCGTGCCTCTCACCTGGGATGGACGCCGTCGCCAGCCACGAGTCCAGCTCCATGACGGACGCGCCGGGTGTAATCCAAAGGGGCGGAAGTGTGGACCGGACCGCCAGGTGCACGCGCGCCGACGTCAACGAGACTCGCGCCGACAAGACACGCTCCGCGGCGCTGGAACTCCTAGCAGCGCTCTCGAGCCGAGGTGTGGCGACGCGCACCCTCCATGGCCCCGACTAGAGCCCCGACCCCCACCGGACTGGCGCCGCACCAGCAGCGCGTAGCAGCGCCGCGCCGCCGTGGAGGCAGCGGCCAGCAGCGGCCGTGGGCGAGCGGGGCGTAGGGGCCGTACCGGCCTCCACCTCGCCACGCACCGCCCGCCAGCCCGCCGCGCCACCTCGGCATTGGCGGCATTGGCGTGACGTGACACTTGCGAACCGAGTCCGCCCCGCCACCGCGCCTCGCTCCGCGTTCTCGGCGCTCGAAATCCGTCTCCGATTTCAAACGCCGAGCCGAACCGCGCGGCCTGCCAACGCCACAGCCCGCAGTCCGCAGGCGGCCCGCCCCGGCGGCGTCTGGCCAGTGCCGGACGCGCGGACGTGCCGGACCAAAAGTGGAGGGAAGGGGAGGGCGGCATTGTTTTCAGCGAGTGACGGTGCCGGTCGACTCGACTTCGCTGGAAACCGGGGGCGTCGAAGGCGTCGCGTCCCAGCGAGGCGGAGAGGGGATTTGGGGCCCTATGGCGCTCCTCGTATTTTGCTAGCTGGTCGGATTCTTAGACGCGAGCGGGGTGGGCCGATCGGACGGCAAAGCGATGCCGAACTTCGGTTTGTCTCTCTCGCACTCAGCGAGTTATTCCCCATATCGGTGCGAGTGGGACTGCGATGACAGTGGTGCGGGTGGGACAGGAGTCGGCCGCCCGATGGGCGTCCAGCAGTCTAGCCGCCGGCCAGCGTAATGCGAGACGCGAGGCGAGGCGTGGCGCGCCGCTTGCAGAAACCCACTGCCCAGACTGCGCGTTGGAAATTCGGGACACAAAAATAAACCATCAACACACAAAAATATTTTTCCGAACAATAAATGAAATCATTGCCCTTTCTTGGCTCCGCAGATTAGGGGAGAAAAGGTAAAAGTGTCGAGCGTGCGGTTGGCCCGGTGGGCCGGCCAAATAAAGGGCCGAGCACGCAGTGGCCGCAGGCATGCCGTTGACCGTTTTGCCAGTTACTTCGCGACGGGCCGCTCCATTTACGACTGCCGGAGAGTGATTTACCGCGGCCGTCGGGGGGATCGTCAAGTGTGGTGGAACGACCGGGACGCTGCCAGTGCAGTGGGCCCAACCCCCCACCCCCGCTTAACAGGTGGCGTGTCCCGGTGTCACTGCTTGGCCGCGGTTTGTCCGCGCTGTTTCCCGCAACACGCCGAAACGTTTTTCCCGGCTAGAGACAACACCAAACAGCCGCCAGCAGCGGCGCGGTGGTGGATGGCTCCCCAGCCCAGGCAGTCCGACCAGTCCCCGGCGCACGGCAGCACCGCGACGACGCGGCACCGCCAGCGGGTGGAAACTACTTTTCCGAAACGGGCGTGCAGACGTTTTGTTATCCGTTAACATCGGCTGAACCAAGCGAGCTAGGTAAAATCTGCTTACATTTTCGGAATCAGCGCAAATTTGACAGGGATAGGGTACTTCTAGATGGCGAAACCAAATTTCATGGCCTTTGAAGCCTAAAAACCAAAGTTTCAAAAAGGCCAAATCCCATGTCGCCGGTAACATTTCCATCTTGAAAACGTTAATGTGAACTCGGGGTGTCGTATCACAATTCACGGCAGATTGACCTCAAAAGCATTTGCCAATGTAGGCTATATAGATGGGTAGGTAGGCCTCCTTCTTATGACACGATCCCCGATAATAGCGGTCAAACTTGCCCGAATGTTTGCTTAAACGTAACGACTGAATTCCGCGACAGCTTCCAGGATGAATTCTGAATTCAAAAGAACGCATATAGCCTATACCGTGGTATGTCTGAGATTCACTTTTTGGATTTGATACGACGCTCCGTTCGCCCACATTAACGTTTCCAAATCGTCATTTTGAGCAAACCGCGACGTGCGACATGGGATCAGGGCCATATTTCGCAACACAGTCGTCTTAGGCTTCAAAATAACCATGATCAAGTTTGGTTTCGCCATCTAGAAAGTACCCTATTCCCTGTCAAATTTTGTGCTGATTCCGAAAATGTAAGCAGATTTTACCTAGCTCGCTTGGTTCGGCCGACGTTAACGGATAACAAAACGTCTGCACGCCCGTTTCGGAAAAGTAGTTTCCACCCGCTGGGCACCGCGCGGCACGCCGCCGCGTACAGCACACTGACCTACATAATGATTATTGTTGTTGAATCAAACATGCAGTTCGCAAGTCCAAACAGGCGGGCTAGCGATGTCACAACACCGAGCGCGCATGCTAGCAGACGCCAACCGCCCTCCCCTCCCCCACCCCGGCCGCGGGGAGGGCGCGGAGGCTCGCGAGTACGCCGGCAGGTGGCGCCGCGAGTCGCAAGTCGCGAGGGTGTGGCCTCGGATGCGATCCCCGATTCACGGTCGGGAGATTCCAGCGGCATCGGCAGTTTCGCCTTGCCGCCACGTGGGGCTCGTGGGGCCCGCAGGGGTGGCGCCTCACGGTGGGCCAGAAGACGGTGGAGGCGGCCAAAACTCTGGAAGCGTTCCGACCTCCAGAGTCGCTAAGCAGGACTCGAACCGAGAGTGCGACCCCTCCAATAGATTCCTCGTTCGGAGAGCAATCCCTTGGTGGGGTCACACGTTCGGTTTGAGTCCCATTTAGCGACTCTGGAGCTCAAAACGCGTCTAGAGTTTTGGCCGCCTGCGTCGGTCTTCTGGCCCACTGTGCGCCTGCTGCTGGCTCATTCCGGACAGCGTCTCTCTCGCACACCCTCGGGCCGACCCGTGAGTGCGAGAGGGAAGCACGGCCAGGCCGGGGGCTGGCCGTCAGCCCTGCGGTGCCGGGTACGCACGAGCTCCTCGCGTTTGGGGCGGCAGCGCTGAGCCCAAATCGGTGCCTCCTCGCTGTCTCCCTCGCGCACCCCTACGGGACGCCCCTTGAGTGCGACAGAGACGGAGCGACGAGGCACCGCGTCGGTATCAGCTGCAGGGGCGGCGGCGCACGGCGGCGCTGCGGAGAGGCCGGTTCGGTTCCGACCCTAATTCGGACACCCGAGCTGCCAGAGTGCTGATGCCGCTCGGGCCGCCGCGCCGCGCCCAGCCCGGCGGCCTGTGCAAGCGTCTGCAGCTCGCGGCCGAGCCACGCGTGTGCAGCGGCCATGTGCGGCGCCCCGCACAGGTCAGGGCTACGGCATGAGTGGTGACGCGGCGAGACGGACATCTGGACCACCTGCACGATCAGCAGCCGGGCGTAGCGCGTATAGCCGCAGAGATCCGGGGCCGTCCCCGCCGAGAACATCCACGGCCTCCGTCGCTCTGTCTCTCTCGCACCGAAGAAACGCCCCGTGAGTGCAAGAGAGACAGAAGCACCGGCCGCGAACGAGGTTAGTCAACGCGCCGGCATGCGGCGCCTCTCACGTCTAGGCCCGTCCCGTCCCGTCCCGCCAGTCCGTCCGTCCAGTGAGTGATAACACGAACAATGCTCCGACTCTAGTGGCGCCGTCAACGCCAAGAAGTGGACTAGGCCAAATGGACGCGTTGCGGCGTGTCCACGGCCTGCTTCTCGACGGCGACGGGGCTCACGACGACGAGGGTGGCGATGGGCTTGGCTTCCTGGTGCACTGCGAGTCGCTGCTGGCCAGACATAGCCGGAACGCTGAGCGCGGACGGGACTCTGGTAATTGAACCACCCCGCTACGCGCCGCGTGTGGCGGCTGCGGCTGCGTGGCTGCGTCAGCCCGCACGAGCTCTGAATCGAACCACCGACCACCTTCCCCTGGCCCGGCCCCGCCTCTGCCCCGCCTTGCACCAGAGTCGCTACACTAGTGCGTTTCTCTGAAGGCGCAGCACAGTTTCACACAACAGCCGAGGGGGGCGGCGTTCGCAGCAGCCAGCACACATATAGCAAGATGCATTGCTTGTGGGCGCGGAAAATATATAAGGCAGTGTTTTGTGCAAAGTTTATGGTGCTGCTGACTGGGCTGCGCCACCGCCACCCAGTGGGTCCGCTGGGTCCACTGTAAGGGGGCAGCGGGGCAGGAGTGCCACCACCACGCAGAGGAAGGAGAGGCGCGGCCTCCAGCCTCCGGGGCGCCTCGGCGCCTCCAGCAACAATCAGGCGCAGATTCGAATTCTAGCAACTCTCACCGGACCCAGGCCTGACCCAGACGTGTCCACCACACCACCGTCAGGATGCTGCCGCCTCGCACCCTTGAGGGAAGACCCTTGAGTGTGAGAGAGAGAGACCTCCCGCTCGGAATGACGCCCGCAGGCCCTGCCGGCCGCGTGACGCCGCCGTCGTCGTATTTGCGGAGCCCGTTCGGGGGAAGGCGCATTCGCGCATTATTGCAGTGGGACTCGCCGGACGCCAAACAGTTGGCGACACTACACTGTGTCCTGTGTTGCACGCCTGTAAATCACGCTCGGCCACGCCGACGGCCGACGGGCCGACGGACCGGAAGCGAAGCAGCGAGCAGCCGAAAGCAGCGCCGCGTATTCCGAGTCAGCAGCGCGCAAAACGAACAGCGCTCTCCTCGGTCGGTCTCTCTCGCACTCATGGGGCGTCGCGTGGGGGTGCGAGAGAGACGGAGCGACGAAAGTACGCTTAGCCCTGCAGTGCCCCGGCGAGTAGCACGGCAGCAACAAGTAGGGCCTTCCCTCGGCCGGCGGCGGGTGGGGCGGAGGGGCGCGGCACCATGGAGCCAGCCTCACTAACCAGCGACCGCTGTGCTGACGCACGTTTGGACGAAACGGACAAAACGACAAAGGACTCTGCGCACTTGCTTTATTTTTATGGACTGGCGGACTGGCCGGGACTGGCGCGCAGACGGCTCCCGGCGAGGGGCGCGGCAGGCGCGGCGGGGACACGCCGGGCAGGGCACGGCCTGGACCACGGCGGACCCGGAGGCACGCCGCGAGGTACGCGTCGAAGTGCCGTTAGTCCTAGATCGCTAGTGGAGGCTTTAGAGATCAGGAACTGCTTTCCGGCCGCACTCGAGTGTGGCGCCGCGCTGCACCGTGCTGCACCGTGCTCTGCGAGCCGCGCGGCCAGCAGGGCGACAGGCCGACCGGCCATTGAGCACGTTCAGACGCTGGGGGGCATGGCGGGCACGGCGGGGACCGCTGGCAGATTTGGATTGGCCGCGCTGGAAGCCGCACTAGAAACTAGAAAGGAGTGCTATAAGTGTGTGGCGGGCAAGCCTGTCCCTCGCGGGGAGGTACGCGCTGCGCGCCACCATGGCGCCACCGGTGCGCCCGCCGAGTCGAGCGTAGGCAACACGCTGGCCAGAAGCACCCTGTATGTGTTTATGGAGTGTCGAATCCGATCCAGCAGACGGACAACCAAACAAACATTGCCATCTCGTCGCTCGCGATTTTCATCGGTCGCGGCCGCGGGGGCGCTGAAAGACGTGTTGAAGGATGCCGCGCTAGCCCTGGGCCTCTTGTCTTCGCGAGGCTGGCCGCGTACAAAGTCGAGTGGGCCGAGCAGACAAACGAGGAGGATTACTGTGGCGGCGTGTGTTTTTAAAATACCCGCTCTAGGCCACACCGGGGGCAGCCAGAGCCCCGCCAGGGCGGCAGAGCGCCAGGCGACAATCCGAGTGCATGAGGCAGGCGGTGGCGGTCGAGGACCTCGTCGAGGACCTCGTCGTGGACCTGGCCAGACCACGCGGACTAGGACAGCGTCGCGCGACAGGCGACGGGGTCGCCGCCGTGACGCCCCCTTTCGAACGCACGCTCTAGACTCGGCCTGCAGGCCCGTTCAAAACAGCGCTCCGTCGCCCTGGGGTGCGAGAGAGACAGAGCGGAACCACCTTTCAGAATCGTCCGGTCGGCTTTGCAGGGCAACCCAGCAGAATGCTGAACGCCAGTCGAGTGCATCTTGGCCCCGTGCCGGCCGCGGTGGCCCCCCGGCCGGCGGACGGCGTGGACTTGGCGGACTCGGCGGCGGGGCTAGCGCCTCATAGCTTCTTTATGGATTTCGTTTCACAAAGCGGCCGTGTGTTGTTCTTGTTGCGGACCACCAATAAACAAGTCACCGCCGACCTATTAGTCCCCTACTCGTCCGTCGGACTCCATCGGAGTGCGCGCTGCAGCCCGCCACCGCAGGCCGCAGCCCGCCGCTCCGCCCCGCCAGTCAGTCGCCTTATATTACGTTTTTCTCTGGTAGCGATGTTGTTTCCAGGAACGAAAAGAAGAAAGAAAAGGAAATAAAATGAGAGCGCGCGACGCACGCAGCGCCAAGCCTGCCCTCCCCCTCCCCCCTCCCTTCCGAGCGGACATAAAAATCAGTGTGAAACCCTTCGCTCTGCCTAAGTGGCGCCCCGGTCCGGCCCGGCCCGGCCGCCCGGCCGCCGCCGTGCCGGAGAGTGGTTCAAATGGGCTGCAGGGGGCGCGACCGCTGCCACCATCACCACCACCACCACCACCTAGCTGATCTCGCCCTCAGCCACCCGCAGGCGCGCAGGTCCATCTTCGCGCTGTCTCTCTCACTCTCATACCGCATAGGCAATCCGAAGGCATTACAAAAGTGCAAAATTGAATCCACAGAGAGGACCAAAAATCACACGAAAGAGCATCACAGGTGAAAAATGTCGGTAACTTGGCCTGCAGGTACGTTTACGAATCACGTCTGCGGGGTTGGAGTGGTTGGAGGAAACGGGGCCGCGGGTCGCGCCGTCGTCCTCGCGAGGCCTCGTCTCGTCGCTGCTCCGCGTCCGCGGCTGGCGTGGCCGCCGCTCGGCAGGACGCTGCGACGCGGCCGACGTCCTGGGATTAGCCGAGACCGAGCGGAACACACGCGGGCCCCGAATTTATTTATTTATTTCTCGAAAAGATACACGAAATTTCCGCTGGCGCGTGACGCGTTGTTGGGCCCCAAGGGGCTCGTCCCTCTCCGCCTAGACGCCTCTCCCGCCCCCGCCCCTCCCGCCAAACCCTCACCGCTAAAGTCCCAACTACACCGAGAAAATCGTCAAGAAGCTCGGAGGTTTGATGACGAAAACAAACTGTCTGAAAGTATTCAAAGTGAAACGGGCGTTTGACGACAAATTTTGATGGAAGGCCGACTATTTACTCGCCTCTCGCCAAATTGACAACGAAGGGGTTGTCCATGGCCAAAGGGCCCCAGCAGGCCGAATCCTACGTAACGCTCTGGCCTTTCGCTTTCATGCAAAGGCCAACGGCACAGCGGGCACAGCGACACGTGTTTCTGGGACCGGCCGGCGTCTGTGTTTACAAGGTTGTGACAAGCGGGTCGCTACTCACCCACACCATAAGGGGGCTCCTGCTTGATGACGGCCCCCACGGCCCCCACGGCCCCCACGGCCGCACACACGGGGCTGCAGTCAACCTCCTGTGGAAAACAAACAAACAGCCATGGCTGCACTAACTTTCGGTGATTCAAAACGGCCCGTGCCAGCGCCCTTAAATTTCAAGTTCAGAATTATCACCAGCTAAGAAGTTTGCTACCGGAGTTACGAAATTTAACACCATTGTAAGTTATTGAAGTTTGGCGCGGACGACTACGGAATGTAAATCAGTACAAGGTGCTAATTTTCTTTCTACACAGCAATTTTTTAGAATCTTTTTCTCTTGTGTTCGGATGGGCCAAAAAGTTTTCAATTATACTTTCCGTTCAACAATTTTTGACCTCCAAGAGATCAACTTGGTAAAAATGACGCAGGAACGCAGTTTGCGAACCGCAAAAGCAATGGTTACACAGGCGCGTGTGTCGTGAGGCGTGTGCCCCAAAATAATGAAACGTGATAAGACCGAGATCATGACTGCGCGATAGTCCGAGGCGTAGAGGCGTAGCACAGCGGCGAAGGGCGAAGCACAGCGGCCATCCAAATGAGGCGAAGACCCCATGATAAGGCCTCCAGCCTCAACCAAAGAGTTACACGCGTTGCCGCAACAACAGTCATCTCCCACAATGTTTCCAATCAATTCTAATTATCATCAAATCTGCTGCTTCTTTTGGACATCATACATGCAGGAGGGCGCGGTTCGACACAGCGCGGCCGGCTCACTTCCGTTCTCTTCCGATCCGCTAGTAACGTTGCAAGCAGGGCGCCCGCAGGGCGCTTCTATCTCTCTCTCTCGCACTCATCGTCGGCACATCGAGAGCAACAAGGACGGAGCTATGAACCGGCGTTACGTGGTGAAGTGGACGGCCGCGTAGCGCAACACATCGAACTTACCGGCGAATTTCGGAGTTGGGACACCATGCTGTTGCAGAAGTACATGGAGGTGTCCTGTTGACGTGTTCACACAGAGTCCATGGCACTGTCACTGTCACAGATCCACAACACTAAACTGTCACGATGACGTCACGAGCGCGGAAGCACGCCGGTGACGCGACGACGCGGCGGCCACACTGGAAGGGACGTGTCACGTCCGCGCGTCACGCTGCCACCGGCTGCCACTGCACTGTGAGCACGAGCTGCACGAGCGCGGCGACGTGCTGCCGGGCCGGCGAGTCGGGCGGGGCGCTTCGGCGCGTCCGGCGGGGCGAGGGCCGCGAGGGCGAGGGCCGCGAGGGCGAGGCGTGCGACAGGGCGCGCGGCGGTGGCGGCGACGCGGCGAGGCGGCGGCCGCAGGACGAATGCCATGGAATAGGAATGGAGTGGTGGAGCGGGAGGCGTCGCGGCGAGTGCGGCGCGGCGTGGCGGAGGGGGCGCCGGCCGCACTCCCGCCCGGCCCTGCCCTGGCAGCCCTGGCAGCCCTGGCCCCGCCTCTCGCCGCCAGGCTCCGCCTCCTCCGCGCAGACGCCTCGACGCCCCGATCCTCGGCCCGCCCTGCCCTTCCCGCCCTCCGCGAATGCAGGGCCTGGCGGCCGTTCGCGGCGTCCGCGGCCACGACGCTGGTTGGCTGGGCCAGGACGCGGCGCCTCCGCCCTCCACGCCGGCCGGGTTGCCTACTTCCATCATTCGCGGGCGGTCGCTCCGCTGGACCCACTGGGCTTGAGTCTTGAGTCCCAACTGCCCGAGAGCATTTCCCACCCCTCCGAAATCATTTCCTCAACCCATTTCTGAGCATTTCTTCTGCCGGCGTGGAGACGGAGGCCTACCTTGCCCCTGCCGTCTTCACTTCACAGGGGTAAGGTAGGCCGCCGTCTCCACGCCGCGGCGCGCCGGTGTAGCGGTGCGGGATGCTGGCCTACCTCACAGGCGCTCGAGGGCACACGATGGGTGGCTGCCGAAACCACCATTTCACATTTAAACGCCTCGAGATAGGTGAAAAATGAAGTCCAAAATTGCTACAATGAGGCTACAGAGCGAAAGCGGGCAAAGCTTCGGAGTGCTACACTCGCTGCCGTGAGTGGGCAGGGAATGCCACTGAAAAGGGTTCGCGTCCGAGGGTCTCACTCTCAGTGGCATAAAGCGTATTGGACTCGGGGCAGCTTATCACAAAACAACGACAGATATTTATTGAAACTTACAACTTTCCAGAGGCTTCAATTTGCCAGTCTGCGCTCACGAGCACAACCCGCGGTTTTCTGCGCGCAGAAAACTTAGACCCCCTTCCTGGTTTACGCAATAAGCTCAGCTTGATTCTCAGATGATTCGTCTGGAATAAAACAGGCAATTTATTCAAGGGCCGAGTGGGAGGCGCTGGCGGTGTCCCAGTGTCCAGTATCCAGCCCCCCGCCGGGCTGAGGGTAGTAGAATAGCACTCGGTTAGGCGGCGTCGCCTCGCGCTCGCGCACTGCCGAAACACTCCTACGACACACAGTTGACGGTCTCCATGAGCGCGTTGATGATGTCCGATATTTTCTGCGGCACGTTTAGCTTGGCGAGGCACTTGAAGAAGTCGGTGGGGAACTTGGCCACGCAGCCCGTCACGTCGCGGACGATGGACATGACGACTCTGTACATGCTGGCCGCGGTCTTCTCCATGCACCGGAACAGTTTGTTGATGACGTCCACGATGGCGTTGCGCGCCGCCATGGACTTGAGGAGCGGGGGCGTGCCGGCCTCGGAGCACTCCAGGCGCACATCCTGCGTCGCCGGAGTCTGCGCCGACGCCAGCACCTGCAGGGCAACGAGAGAAGGGCTGGTCTCGGATCAACACGTCGGGTTCCGGGGAGGGCGTGCTGGCTGCTGCCTTCCCCACGCGCCACAGCCCGTGCCACTCGTGCCCACCCAACCCAGTATGGACGCGGGACGACAGTCAACGACAAAGACAAAGTCAACGTACGCAGAGGAAGCCCAGGCACGCGCAGACGCAGAGGGCGACCAGGGTCCACTTCATGGTGGCGGCCTGCTTCGGCGGGGCTGGGACTGCGAGTCGGGCCGCGGACCGGTGTGCCGGGGCCCATTGTGAGCCTAGTGCGTGCCGCGTGCGCCGCGGCCACGGCGCCACGGCTCGGCTCGGCGGCCCAGCACTGCGGCACCGCGATAGCAGCACCCTGCTCGCAATCGGAGTCGGGCTGCGACTTGCGCCTGTCTCACACCTGCGGCGAGAGCGAACCGCTCAGACGCTCACTTGGAACTGGAGTCGAAATTCAGTTGGCCTTTCCAAGTGAGAGTGGGATAGTGGCCTATGATGCACGCAGTACATCAATGTGTACATGATTTTAAATAAAGTGGATCGAATGAGAAGGATCGATAATCAAAAGAAACTATGACTTACATTGCCACAAAACTAGCATGATTTATTTACAAACTATATACAATGGAATGTACTGACACAGTACATAAGATAAGCTGTACATGTTATAACAGAATTGCAATGGGTTGATGGTATTTCATGTCACTTATGAAAAAAGAAAATTAAAAAATGATTTGATAAAAATACATAGCGGTCAAAATTTAGTACAATGGTATTACATCTCGTTATTCATTGCTATCGTCATCTTCAGCTTCCATTTGTGACTCTGCCTGCTCACTGCTATTTCCATTTTCAGCCTCCATTTGTGCTCCCGCCTCCTCAGTCTCCATGACCTCTGGGGCTATAGCTCCATCGACCTGTTGGTCTTCAATTGCTTCTTCTTGAATTGGAATTACTTCCTTTTTCTTTGATGCACCCTGCTCCTGCTCACCCTCATCTTCATCATCAGTGTCCCTATCACCGCCAGGATGTTCAGAAACATTCCTATCAGGGACACTTGATGAAACTGTCCCAGGCTTCTCCCAAACTTTTTGAGCATCCTAAAATGAAATAAAATGTTAAAGAAAATAGTTGATAATGTCATACTTGATTTTAAAAATTAGCCATTTTTAACTTACGTAAAATGCATTCTTCATTGCTTGAACCTTCTCAATGTAGTAGTCATATACAAACTGCGCCATTTGAGGCATATCTTGAACCTCCATGGGGGGATTAGCTGGGGCCTGATCGACTGGCCGAGTGCATGGGTAGGTCTCATCAACAGCAAGGTGAAGATTCAAGGGACGTTCCATAAGCTAAATAGCAGGAATATTAATTAATAATAATTAATACACCACAGAACAAATTACAATGATTTGACAAGATATGTTTAAGCCTACCTGATGGAAAGCTGGTGTCAGTTCAAAACAGTTTTTGAACAAGGACACTCTAGCAAACACATACAGTCCCAAGCGGGCACGAGACATGGCCACCACTAATCGGCGGACGTCTCGCAAGTGACCCACAGTTTTGGTCCTCACAAGGGACAGAAGGATGTAGTCATTCTGTTGACCCTGGTATTTATCCACAGTGGTGATCTAAGCATGATCAAGAGCACAAACAGTTAGTTTTTATGAAAAATAAAGTATAATTTAATTTTTAAGGTAAGAAAGTATTTACACACCTTGTGAGGCAATCCTATCAAGGGGTTCTTGGCACAGCGAATATTGACAACATCACGTATCAAGTGTTTTTGACCATTGTACGTTGTGAGAATTGAAATTTTCTCAGCAGGATATCCAATGAGTCGCATGTACATGAAGACTGCCACACAGTACTCAGCTTCTGCCAGATTCTGTTAAAGCAAGTACAATCAGTTAAAATGCTAAAATGGAAAACTCATCAGATACACAACACTTAAAGAAACTAAAACTTTACTTGGTAAAAGTTGGGACTGGGTTCTGATTCACCCACTCCATTGAAGTCTTCCACATTTATTAACTGGAAATCATGGTGGAAGCCAGCGTTGGCAACACAATATTCTGGCCATGTCTGCACATGACGTAAATTGCCCAGCTTCTTGTATCGCCAGTTATACAAATTGCAAATACTGGAATAAAAAATTTAAAGAGTTAGGTTTGAAAGGTACATACACAAATGTTACAGGAAACAGAATTAAGTCAAATTAAAATTTTATCTTGCACACCTTGGTCTGGCACGGCCTTGCTCATCCAGGTCAACTGTAGGTATACCCAATCTCACAATTCTAGTGAACAGTGACTGTTCCATATTTGAAAATTTCTGGAATGCCATATTCTTGATCACAGGTGGGAGCTGGTGGTGATCTCCTATCATGATCCACCTCTTTAAGCGAGAGAAGCCATCTTGAGGTGTTTGTAAAAGTAGGGGTATGAAAGTTTCAATTTCTAAAATTTGTGCTGATTCTTCCATCAAAATGTTGTCATATTTAAAACCTATCGGGAAAAATAAATGGTAAAAAAAATTAAAGTCTGTACAAATTACAAACAAGGAAAGACAATGAGGACAAGACAAGAAAAATAAATATTTACCTAAGTTTACGAGTTCACTACGTTTCAAAGCAGCATGAGTACAAGTCATAGCAATAATTCTTGCTTCTCTCACCAGAAGATACTTGGACCTATCCAAGCCACTTCTCAGTAACTCAAATGCTCTAAATTCTTCCAATTGAGTGAAGATCTTTTCAATATACCTAATTTTAAAAAAGTACATTCAAAATGTCAGTTTTATGTTTAAAATATCAAAAATAATTTTTAAAGAAAAGCACATAAAATTAAGAAATAAATACCTGAAACATCCATCTGCTATTTCCATATCTTCCTCATAGCTACGTTTTTTGAAGAGAGGCTTTGGAGCATCATCAAAGAATTTGTGGAATGGAAACTCATCACTGACTAGGTTGAGAGGAACAGCCTACAAGTTCAATAAAAAATAAGTACTCAGAAAAAATGCTCTGGATTCTGGATGACAGTTACAAACTTGAACAATAAGCTACGACTTACCTTCTTGCCAACTCGCTTCACACTAGCTAGAAACCGTTCCCATCTGGCAAGAACTTGATATAAGAAAAAGTGACCAGCAGTCTCACATGTATAAGCTTGATCTCCCGTAACTCCTAAAGAATCTTGAAGACGTTGGACATCTTGCAGGAGCTCTAAGCGTTTAGCAAGGACATAGTTTACTCGACCATATCTGGAACATACAGAGTGAAGCACTGCATTGGGAATTCAAAAAAAAAACAAGAATGATATAGGAAAAACAACAAACCTGCTGAAGTCTTTCTCTGTCTCCAGAGCTTCTTCTCCATGACCAAGACGAAGAAGATGTCTTTCATCAACATCCAATGCCATAATTTTTTCAAACAACTGATTGAGGGCTTGGTTAGAATGTGTAACAATGAGAGTGCGCTGAGAAGGGCAATTGTGGTAAATATTTGAAATAATTTGAACAGCCACATCAGTTTTGCCTGGAGGGAAAAAAATTGTAAGTACATGTGTCAAGAGAAAATGTATGAGCCCCTTCCCTCAAATTGGAATATAGTTTACCTGTTCCAGGAGGACCTACAACAAGGGTCAATCCAGGCTGCATGCCAGCGCGGATAGCCTCAACTTGTGTTGGAGTGAATCTGATAGAATTTCTAGAAGAGTGGGGAAAAAGAAACATCATCAATTAAGTCTTGTTACTGTATTCGCTGAGTTGTAGCTGAACAAACTCTAAATTGATGTACAAACCTTTTGGGCTCATTATACAGATAAGGGCCTCGGCTGGGAATTACATGAGGCTCCACAACTATCACCTGTTTCTTGTCTAGGTCTGGCTCTCTGTCTTCATGTCTCGCATTTTGTTTCTCAATTACTTCTTCAAATGTAAGTCTGAAAATTGTAGTGAAGTTAAAAACATGACACTTCATTGATATCTAGGTAGATAAAAACAATCCAACAATACTTACATGAATGGAGGCACCAACTTAGTCGGGTCATTAGTTCTAACTTTCACCTCATGGTTGGGAAAACTGTCCCGAAGATGATCCAAATCTAGGAATGTGTCATTCCAGTCTAGCTTAGCAATCTCATTGGGCATTCTGAGGAAAAAAATAAATAACAAAGTTTAAATAAAGAACTATATAAATGGCAAATTTTGAAAAAAAATGACAGAGAACCAAGAAATTACCTTGAATAATGAGCTGCACTTGGGTCACCATATCCTAAAATGATATCATGCAACCAGTCTGGAACCACACATTCAGTGTTCATAAGATTTCGAATAGTTTCCAGGACTGCTTTGAAATTATTTTCTTTTGGTTTTCTTCTCATGAGAATGTTGAAGGTTTCATACACATCCTACAATTAAAGTTATAATTAAACTCCAGAACATGAATTAAAATAAACACCGCCAGCTTAGACCTCTATTGTGACTGAGACTTCAACTCACCTCGCCACCATTCTGAGCAATATTGTCCATGTCATTACGATACTGATTGCAGTCCAACCACACTCTGAAAGTACGTGAGTCTCCAGGAAGAACAGGTTTCGGTTCTGGGCCATCCTCCACAACACGCCCATTGGAGTCCAGCATACCTTCCATTTCACAGCCTCTAACATAGACCAGGCCCACTTGAGGCAAAAAGGGTTCCCGATAGTTGTAGCGTGTGCCTGTAAAGAAGATAAGATATTTTTTTTACAAAGTTTGATGTTTACTCCAAAGGAATCATTGCACTAAAACACGGCCAACCTACCAATCGGTACTGAAGGGCGCACAGTGATGAGGAAACACACATCGTGTTTCCGCAGGTTTTCCCATTCATTTTTAATTTCCCTCCTAACATTGAGATTGACTGTAACATCTGCTCGCACTCTTGACGGATGATTTTCACCAATATTAGGTTTAGCTACTTCAACTACAGCAAAATTTACTATGGGCTGAGCCATTCTTGCCCATCCTCCAAAATAAACACTGTCATCCTCTGCTTTCCATGGACTCAGTCTGCTAACAGCATCTTCAATGTCTTGCCGAATTTCATCTGACAAAATAACAAGGAACAATTTTCTAGTCAGAACATAGCAATAAAATCCATTAAAAATTTTCTTGTTTGACTACGTACAGGTTGATTCCAAACGGAACAAATTGAAATTTCTGAGGAGGTAATCATGGAGCGTGAGGAATTGAAGGTTCAATTTCGGCAATGCAAGGCAGCCCTCACCACTGAAATACTCAGTAGGAACAATATTTTCATTCCATATTATTTCCTCAGTGGGGTAAAGAGGCATTTCATTCAATAGCTCCAGTTGAGAAGCCCTTCTCTCATGCCGGGAAACCTGCAGCAAACACACATATTAAAATTACCCAATAATAACACAAAACAAAAATTGAAGATGATCTGAAATTTAACATACCAGCAATTCTAACAGAAACTCATGATCTCTTCGGACCCAATCCTCAATGTGCTGTCTTTCAGCAGGAGGCACAAGATTCAAGTAAGTTGCAATTGCTTGCAGCTTCTCAGTCCTAAATAGAATTTTTTTAAAATTAAGTAATATGAAGGTCCAAAACAGGGAAAATCCATGCGATCCTAAGGAAATTTACAGAACTCACTTGAGTGATCCAAAATGTTCCAGAAGACTTTCTCGCGTGTCTACACTGGCAACATTGGTGAGGGCAAACATGCGTAAATCAGGGAACTTGGCAAAGGCGGCTTTCTGTGGAAAACAATTCAAATTAATGCAATTCAATCCAAAATACATACACACTGGAATAAAAAGTTCGCATCAACCTACTTGGAGTGATGTAATTTTGGAGTAGTGAACCTGCGTCATGTCGTGGTCTGTCAACGGATCACCCGTCTCATCGTTGATCTCGAAACGGGCATAAAACTTCAGCATCTCCAGAAGCTGGGGAAAAAAAGAAAGAAAATGCAAGCGTTAATTGACGGTTCCATCAATGTCACGATCCACGCTGCTTCGCTGCGGCGCCAAGAAGCCAGTCCCCGCCCCGGTCTGGATCCCGTTTCCAGTGAGTCCCAGTCCCAGAAACCAGTCCCAGAGTGGGACTTCCCCGCAGCCAACCGGCCTGACGACGTGACAACGCGACAGTACCGCGAGAGGCAGGCAGCCTCACATAAAAACTTCATCCCACAATCAGAACGACCTGACCCGCGTCGTCAAGACGGCCATCGCATCAGTACCGCAGCGCCAGTGGGCGCAGGGCTGCCGCGGGCTGCACGACGGGCTGCACGACGGGCACGTGGTGCGTTGTGGCAACCCGGGCGAGGCGGCCACACCTCCAGACACCTCTGACGTCTCATGTGCAGTACTTCGAAAGGGCAATCAGCGATGTATTCTCCTCAAGTATAGTGGAACCAACACGAGTTGAGTGTACCCCACGCGCTCTTTTGCATTCATAGGCGCTACATTCCTGGTCTAGCCTTTCATGTTCATCTTAGGTTGGCGTTGCGGGTTGCCCAGATGCGGAGGCCTCCCAGCAACATGCAGAGCGCCTTGCCCGCCTTGCCTTCCTCGGAGCTGAGCCAGTCCATGACCATGACCGAGCCCAAGTCTAGTCGGCCTGCGCGCAGGCGGAGAGTGGCCAGGAAACTGGCTCAGCCAGTCGCGTGCCCGCCGGCCAGGCCGGCCCGTCCCCGCTAGTCCACGCGTGCCTGCCCGCCCGCTCCAAAACCGCCTGCCCTGACCCGGGTGCCCCGGCGCCCCACCACGCCGATGGAGGTTGAGGTTGTGGTAGTGTGGCGAGTTTGCCTCGGCACGTCACGGCGAGACCCTGCGCCAGCGCAGACAGCGCGCCAGTCCCATCCGCCCGCTCGCACGCCGCGAACGTCGCCGCCACCGTCGCCGCGGTCCCACAACGCGTCCTGCTCGGCGTCTCGCCCCGGCGTGCTGGACCCGGCCCGGCAGGACCGGCAGGACTGGCAGGCCAGGCCGCAGGCCCGAAGGACTCATCGTCTTATCGCTCTCGTCGGCTGCACACCGGGCACGCCGATAACGGGGGGCGACCTCGCCCAGCCGCTGGCCCCGCCAGCCAGCCGCTCAGTGGCGAGTTTGACGCGGTGCTCGAACTGCAAGGGAAGACGCCCCCGCTCCGCTCTGCCCCCGCGCAGCCCCGCCGTCTGCCTATTCCGCGACTTCCGGGAACGAAATCGCGCCGCGCAATATCTCGATATCTGTAGCGCCACAGCGCCACCTGTCCGATTTGGCGGGTGCGAGGTGCGGCCAGGTGCGGCCCAGGATGAGGGGCGCGTCGCCGGCGTCGCCGTGTTGTTGTCCGGACGTCCTTCCCCGAACGGATGAGTGTGTTGTGGCGGCATAGTGTGTTGTTGTTGTGGCCGCGGCATGGCGTACGCGTCGACGGCGTCGCCGCAGAGGACGCCGCGGAGCGAGTGACAGCGGACAGAGGGACGCGCCGCGCAGCACCGCGCAGCACCGCGACACCAGCAGCCCTAGAACCGAGCACCAGCCCGCCCGGAGCAACCCTTCCACCATGGCGGGACACAGCCGCGCAGGTACGTCTAGACATGTACAGACAGTGGAGGCATTTAAATTCATTGCATCGACGGTTGCTAAGGTGTTTACTGAGAACGCGGTGCAGTCACATGTCGATTTCAGTCGCAACGCAGAAACCGGCACGTCACTCAGGACCCTTGGCGCGCAGCTCTAAACGGGATCAGACATCATTTTGACATCAGTAGCCACACTGCTTCATTACGCAGTGAAACGTAGGGAAGGACAGTGAAAGGCCACTAAATCAGGTACTACCCTCTCCCACACCCGTGACACACATGACAGGAGCTCAACATGATAAACAGCATGACGTCATCACAACATGACCGTGCTTTTCTCAGTAATATTGTTTTTCCAACTTTCGAGTTGCCACACGGCTTATAGGTGCCATGCAGCCGCCGAGGACTGGCGGACTGGCCTCTGGCCGGCGCGGCGCGGCCTGGCGTGCGACGAGAGCAGGTTCTCGCTTTGGAGTTAGAAGTGAGATTGGGGCTCGAGGACCTCCTCCAATCACTATCGCTACGTACTAGACAGCCCCTCGCCCTAACTTCCCCGGTCGCTGTTCCTCCGTTATCGTGCCGCCATGGTGCCGCGGGACGCGACCAGGTTGTGCAAACCGCCAAGGGGGCACCAAGGGGCACCACCGCGCGTTGCGCAAAACCGAGCGCAGTGCCGCTATTCCAGCGGCCGATTTGTCTCACGCCCGACGTGTGCCGACTGACAACACCTCGACGCCTCGGCAGGCTTACAGTGATGCAGTGCCGGCGCCGATACAAGAGCCCCGTCATTAGCATCCGCATTGTGGTGGAGGCGTCGCCCTGCCTCTCTCGCACTCATGGGGCTTCCCGTCGGCCCGTCGGTCGGCCCGTCGGTCGGCCCGTCGGGGTGCGCGAGAGACAGAGCGACCGTTCGCCGCCAGCCCCGCCAGGCCGCCAGCAGTGAGAGGTCTCTGCAGCTCCGGCAGCGACGCAGCGGCGCATTCGCGCATTCCACGGCCTCGACGTGGCGCTCGACAGTGTGCTCGACATGGCGGAGGTTTGGCAGAAACAACCGGTCGAGGTGGCGGCAGGGCGGCGGCGCCGCGCGTGTCGCGAAGCGCAATTTCGATCACAGCCATACAGTGTGTCCACTGGAAGCCTGGCGCGCTGCATCCCCGACTATGCAAATGCGAAAAGGGCAAGACGGTGGCAGGGGGAATGCCAGCAGCCCTGCGGTTGGAACCCAAAACAAGAAAACATGACAAATGTCCAGTATTGGTTTGGCAAGGCGCGCGCTGCCCGGTGGAAGTGGCCGGCTGGCACCGCGCTCCAAGGATATCGGGATTATGTTTATCACGCTGTGGCGGTGCCGCGGCGCCGGGTATACGACGCGACGCGGCGGCGCGACGCACGGGTGCCGTCTAATTGAACAAACCACGGCCTATCACACTGCGTGCCTCACTGGAGGGAGACCCGCCGCACTCCGCGTCACCCTCCCGTCGTCTTATCGCAGTCATTCGGAAAACTCCCCGGCACAATAAATATAGACAGGGCCTACGTCTCGGCAGTCCATCTCCACGCGCCTCGCTCTGTTCGAGGAAGCGCAAGTGCTGCGGTGTAATCTGCCGCGGCGAATGCCATGCGCCCGACTGCCCATATGGACCAGCAGCCATGTGGTTCTTTATCGGGGCAGTGCCTCCTCCTGGGGGTACGCACGCATAGCGTGCACGCCGTCAAACCAATCCCTGTGCCAAATTCACCGCCATGTCTGTCTGTCCCAGGTGCAGGCCGGTGGTCGCCGGCCCGGATCGCCGCGGCCGTGGTCATCCTGGCCCTCGCCGCGGGAGGGGCGTCGTCAGCACCCCCCGCGGTCCCCGAGCACACCAGGGCGCCCGCCGCCATCGCGCACGCCGACCGCGCCAGACAGTGCTGCAGCAGCCCCGAGGCCACCGTGACCCACCGGAAGTGCTCGGACGGGTCTCAGCTGCCGCTGGACTGCGTCCTGTTCCGGCTCAACCCCGCCGTGGAGGAGGACGACGCCTTCGAGCTGAGCGCCGACGGCAAGACCCTCGTCTACTGGAACGAGACCACGCGAGAGTACGTCGCATAACGCCTACTCAGTCGAACCCCCTTCCCTGTTTTTTTTCGCAAAATCAGAGTGCCATTTGGGGTTGGCAGGTTCTGCGTGCTGAAGGCGGCGGACGGCTCCGTGGAGGCGCTGGTCTGCTTCCACGAGCCGGGCGAGCAGCAGGACGACCCGCGGCCGTCGTGGTGGTTCGACGTGGCGTCCGCGCTGTCCTGGCTGTCCGTGGCCTGCCTGGCGCTCACGCTGCTGGCCCACGTCCTGCTGCCCGACCTGCGCGACCTGCAGGGCCGCTGCCACATGGGCGCCGTGGCCAGCCTGGCGCTGGGCCTCTTCATGCTGGCCTTCCTGCAGGCCATCAACATGGAGGAGCCGCTCTGCACCATCATGGGTAGGTAGAGGACTCTAGTGGCGACGACGCGGGAGCCCACAGACAGCCTGCAGGCGGATTCCGAGTGGGAGGTCTCTCTCTCGCACTCATGGGGTGTCCCGTAAGAGTGCGAGAGAGACAGTCCGAAGAGAGCACTGTGCGGAATCCGCCTGCTGTCGTGCTGGTCGTGACCACGTCGTGACCGCACTGACGCCGCCAACGTCGCCTCGCTTGTTCCAGCCTTCCTCGCCTACTACTGGCTGCTCAGCGCCTTCTTCTGGCTCAACATCACGTCGTTCAACGTGTGGCGGTCCGTCGTGTAAGTCGCCCGCTTATCTGCAGACGCCGCGGTCCGTCGGGCTGCCTACGCCAGCGCTGGCAGGGGCGCTCGTAGATTAACTCGGCGACCTTGACCTTGTCTGCCGCAGGCTGGAGCACATTCGCTTCCGCGAGCGCACGCTGTTTGCGTGGTACTGCGGGGTGAGCCTGGGCGCGCCCCTGATCCTCCTGCTGCTTCTGCTCACGGCGCACCTGCTGCCCGAGGGGCAGGCCGACCAAATACGGCCCGGCTTCGGTGCCAGCAAGTGCTGGTTTCGTGGTGAGCGACGAGGGCGGCACGAGCAGCTTCTCTGTCTCCCCCTCTCCGTCGACGAAGGACCAACGCCCCTTTTTCGCGTTTTGCAGACGACCGCGCCACCTGGCTGTGGTTCTACTGGCCGCTGGCCGTGCTGCTGGGCCTCAACGTCGTCTACTTCGTGTGGACGACGGCGCGCCTGTGGCAGCAGTACGGCGACAGCAACACGTGCCGGCGCAAGCTGCTGCGCCGCCGCTGCCTGCTCTCCCTCAAGCTGTTCCTCATCATGGGCATCAGCTGGATCTTCGAGCTCATCTCGTCCGCCGCCGACCTGCCGGGGCACTACGCCTGGTGAGCGCCAGCGGCCACAGCCGAGGCCACAGCGGCCCGCCGGGTCATTCCCTCTGGGTCATTGCACCCCCTCCGCGCGTCCAAGTCTCCCAGACCGCGGGGCACGGCGGGGCTGACCGCCAATGTCTTTGTTGCAGGTACCTGACGGACTCGTTCAACGCGCTGCAGGGCGTCGTCATCCTGCTCGTGCTCGTGGTGGTGCGGCGCCGCGTGTGGCGCGCGCTGCACCGCCTGCAGCCCTTCGGCATCAGCCCGCCGGAGCGCTGGGCCTACCCGAGCCACATGCGCGACTGCCCGGACACGGCCACCGACACCGAGGACGACGAGGAGGCCGAGGACGCGTCCAGGAGGCACCACGAGCTCAAGGACCTGTCCGCGTCCAACGGCTCCAACGGGCACGCCACGCCCGCTGCGCCCGCCGCCACCAAGGCCGCGAGCTAGGCCAAAGACAATGTGTTCAGTGAGCAGAACAACGATGTGCTAAGGGCTGAAGACGGACTGGCGAAAGCCGTACCCACGCCCAAGTGACTTTTCCCCATTTTGTACTGCTGGCCCAGCGGGCATCATTCGCGTACGCGGCCGGCCGTGAGCACAGGAACGGTGCGGCGTTGACAAGCCAACGCCAACAGTGATTCTCCAATAAAGACTTCCATGACCTTCGCATCTAGAATTTCTGCCCCTTCCCCGACAAAACGGGCATGCGGGTTGGCTGCGCGACAACGCCGCGTTCCCGTGTTCCCATGGCAGGCTGGCGATGAGTGGCAGCCGGCGGCGCCAGCGCGGGGTATGTCTACTCATCCGGCGGCGCGGGGTATTGCCGTCCGCGAGTACAGCGCGTCCAGCGTCGCGGCGTCGCGGCCGGGAGGCCATGAGGTACGGGGCCCACGGGGCACGCCATGAGGGACCCCGCCCTAGCACACGCGAGCCTCCGCCAGGCCCAAGCGCCCCAGCCTCACCTGGATGGCTTCCCCTCCTTCCCTGCCCGTCGGTACAGTCCGATCGCTGTTACCTTGCCCGCAGGCCCTGCGCGGGGAACACCCAAGGCTGCGGCCACGGACGCCGACGCGGCCCGCGACGGGACGGGACGGACTCCACGGCGCGTCGAGCAGGCCGCCGTCCCGTCTCCTTCCCGCCGCGGTGGCAGAGGACCAGACGAGCCGCCTTCCCCGAATAAAAAGAGCAATTACGCAGGGAACCGACTATAACCCGGAGACGCCGGCGAGGGGAGAGGACGGGCGGGGACGGGGACGGGGACGGGGACGGGCGGGGTCCCCGCGATCTACCGCGACCGGCTCACCACGGACCGGCGCGCCGTCCGTCCCTCTCTGGCGCACGCAACCTGCGGCAACCGTCGGCCGGGCGACAGAGACAGAGAGCACGGACGAGACAGCGTGTGCTGCTGACGCATACAAACTCATTCCAGAACTGGAGGAGGGGGAGGGCGCGACAGAGAGGGAAGCAGCGAGGCGCGCGCGCGAAAGACAGAGAGAGATGAAAATGAGGAGGGAGGAAGGAACGGGAACTGGCGTGCAGGGTCTGCAGGCAGGCGCGGCGCTCTCCGCCAGGCAGGCAGCCAGGCAGGCAGGCAGTCGGCAGTCTAAACAACGCGAGTTCGAGCAAAGGATCGCGCAGTGCGCGCAGCAGGCGCGCCGCAGTTTAGACAAACGGTTGTCTAAACGAACACGCATCTTCAGAGCTGCATGCTGCAGCCACACCGATTTATCCCAGGCGAGCCCACCGGCATTGCCCCTCCTGAACCGCCCGGCCCGGCCGCCTCCTCGTCAGCTCACCGCCCCTGGCGCCCCTCCAGACCCAGGGCGATCCCGCCAGGACGAGGCGGTTCACGTTCAAACCGTTCAAGAGCTCGGCCGAGGCGTGGAGCCCTGGCCATGTGAACCGAGTGGCGGGCCGCGGCTGCACGGTGACAGTGACAGTGCCGGGGTGCGAGCGCTCAGCAGGCGGTCTGCACGGCAACGCGACTAGACTGATGGCAGTGAAAGTTAGTGCAACCAGTGCAGACACTCAAGACACTGACAGACTCGCAGCTGCAGTGCCCGTTTTCTCAGAACGCTAAGCGTCTGAGGCTCCACTCGTCACAATGACTGACTGTGCAATGATATTAGTGCTGGCCTGTCTCGTCGTCGCAGTGGCAGGCACTGCAATGAACGACTTGGAGATCAGCGAGAGACCTGCACTGCTGATACCGAAATGTTGCCTCGAAGAGGAGGTCATCACCCAGTCAGGGTATTGTGAGCATGTCAATGTAACAGGGCTGAATAAGTGGAAGCCGAAGTTCATGACAGAGGATGGGCAGATACCACCAACGCAACCATACTACAAGTGAGTCATATTTACAGGGGCATCATCTTACTTCGCTTAAATAAACCATGTAGAGGCACTCACATATTCATCGTTGTGAATTCTCTCTTTCACAGGCTGACAATTGGACCGCCAGTGTGTCCACGGCACCGCCAGTTATGGTCAATTTATTCCTATGCTGGATCTACAGACAGACTAGTACTCTTACCCAACGGAATACTGCGCCATTATGCCAGGGACAAAGAGTCATTTGTAAGACTACAGTACTTGTCAAATTTGTTTTGAATCAATTTTTTTCCTATAACTATTGTAATTATTTTCATTATTATTATTCAGGAATCAGGAAGCAAATATGGCAGTAGTAAATATCTTCAAATACTTGAGCACAATGCACACCCTGAGGAACCTAGGTTTTATGATTACATGCCAGGAGAATACTGTCTTGATAAAGTAAGTTAAACTCCCATCAATATAAGATAGGAAATGGAAAAAATACAGCATGCTAACATTTAATTCACTTATGATTTCAGGCTGTTTTGGAGGATGAGAGAGAATCTATTTTTTCACAAGTTTGTACACCAAAGGCATCCACAGATTGGAGCAATACAGATATCTTAATAGCTAGGATAGTGGATCCCCTGTGCCATGTGCTGAGCATTATCTGCTACCTGGCAATTGCAATTGTGTACTTTGTTCTACCACAGTTGCGTGACCTGGTAGGAAATATTATTACAACAATAAGTATCTGCCTAATTGTCGCACAGACAGCAGATCTTGTGCGCACATTTACTGAATTTAGCAGCCATGTCAGTTTTCTGGTTGCTGGTAAGTTTCCATCATCCAAATGTAATTAGGCTTGCTCTCCAAAGTTTACAAAACTTTTTTTTTATCTCCTTCTCAAGATGTGGTGCTCTATACAGCATTGATGGCTGCATTCTTCTGGATCAACAGTTTAGGGTATTATGTCCACCGCCACTTTAAGTAAGGACTGAACAAACCCCTAACTCAATGCGACAATCCTTCATAACAAAAGCAGAACATTAATTTCCTGATTCTCTTTTCCTTTTTTTTCACAGATCAAGTAATGTTTTTTTGCGGAGTACTGACGGTCGTAAATATTGTTACTATTCTTGCTATGTTTGGGGTTGCACTGCAACCTTGGGAGTGATAGCACTATTTGCACACTTTCTTTTTGAAACTAATAGTAAAGAGGCCAAGGATGGAGGGCCTGAAATGGCACACGATCAAAAAATGTGCTCTGCCAATCAAAGGAATGTGGGTAAGTACTTCAATACTAGGAAGCCCTTCAACTGACTAATGGTAAAAATAATTATGACATTTTACTACGAACGAACTAACTTATTTATGCAATTGTCAATCAGGATGGATGGGCATCGCTGTATTCTTCGTTCCTGTCGCAGTTCTAGTCATAATCAACATTTACTTTTGGAGAAGCACAGCACACACTATAAGCAGGATATCCTCATTTGGAAGAATCCACAGCAAACTCAAATACAGGTTGGTTGCTAGCTTATGGTTGTTGGAACCAAGAACAGCTGAAATACTTAATTTCTGAGCTGTCACAACTAATTTTCCCTGTGCTTTCTACCTCCAGTTTTCAGATGTTTGTGAAGGTGTTTGTAATAATGACAATCGCCTGGCTCTTCTTCATGCTAACATGGATTCAATCACGGATTTTGTGCTACATTAATATTACTACTAATATACTTCAAGCTTTACTCTTTCTGTATATTTGTGTGTTAAGTCAAAAAAGAGTGACATTTCATCTCCGTAAAACATGCTGTTATGACAATTGTATCTGTACTTGTTGCCGCCCAGGTGAACCCACCCCTGAAACATGCGAATGGGGAGAGGAAATGCACTACATTGACACCCTTGACAATTTTAACTAACTTTTGCCTTTGACTGACTGAACGACATGACAATTGCATTTAGTAGTAATAATAAGAACTGTAATTTATGTTACAAGTAAATGTTGTTGAAAATTTTAGTTTTAATTTTGTTAACCATGACATATTTTGGAATAAAAAAAAATGAAAAAAATAATATGGCATGTGTTGGTTTTTTTTATGGAACTGCCCAGTCAAACAGCTTGTGACAAGCTCGCCTTCAACACAATAATTAAAAACATCCCCAGCTTAAAGAATGAAATAAAGGGCAGTCAGCTTACCTGCATGAAGAGGTTGCCATCAGCACGGTTGGCAAGATTTGAAAGTTGACATCGGACTACAAGGTGGCAATCATCCATAACGGTGTTGAAAAACCGGCGTGTGGGAAGGAGAGCCTCCAAATCAATTACAAACTCCAGGAACCGCTCACAGTACCTTAAAACATCTGAAGACACGGAACCTATAAAATGAACACAATGATTAACATCTGACATTAATTAAGAATGCTTTAAAACGTGGATCAGCTGAAGTGCTCACCTTCATCTTCTGGTGGTATTTTCTCAAGTACGTCAAGGAACTTCAGCATAAGTCTATGCAAGAATTTGCGCTCCCACTCCAGTTTTTCACGAAGTTCAGGGGAATCTTTTTTTTGTAATACTTTCCAGAACTTTTTCCACTTGGGAACTAATTTTAACTCCTGCTCCCGTCGACCCTACAAATGAATTTTTTCATTAATTCTCCTTTCAAACCAAGCAAGAGGAGGTAGTTAGATTACATTAGATTCACGATATGTGAACATGGGAAACCTACCTGCTGTAGAGACACCCACATAGATAATGACACAAGCCTCTTGACTTGCTCACGAATAAGATCCACCTCCATACTGTTGAAACAATGGTTCAGGAATACAAGTAAAGCAGTTTGTTCTTTCAGTGAACAAGCAGAGGTATCTTTCAGACAACACTCCAAAACCTGTTGGAAGAAGCCAGGAAAGTGCTCTGGTCTTTTCTTGAATGCCTGCAAACACACACAATAATTGCAACCTTAAGTAACAGAAGAAAAAGGCATTGAAACCAAGATGTCATATTTGATCATTTACCTCCCAGACTGGCACCCGTTCTCGAAACTTTTCATTCAATAAAATAACTATGGACATCATGTGGGCTTGAGATGATTCATCAGTGACATAGTTGGGCCAGAGAAAATTTTCAAGGCACTGGCTAAATTCAAGCATCATTGTTCTCCGCACAGAAAAACTAAAAATATGAAAGAGACAATATGAGTCTTATAAAACAGCAAAAGTTACACGCATAGCTGCAGAAAGTATGATAGATACATACTTGGATCCATAGATTTCTTTCACATATATGTCCTGAACAACAGTTGGATCAAAAGGCAAATGACTGGACTCGGTGTAAGGAGCCCAATACTTGTTAGAAAGCTGCAGGCAAAAAATATAAAGATAAACTTTACGTGCAGCAGAAGTCTAAACCCCTTTGGCACCAGTACTATGCGACACATGGGCTTCAAAGAATGATACCGTGCGAAGTGAAGAAAAAGGTTTGGTCAAGTAAATGCTAATACAATGCGATAAATGGTGCACTGTAGTAGAAAAGTTTAATATGCTGTTAAATGATTAAGGTTATGTATTACATTCAAACCGGTGTCTTACCTCAGTGATGCGGTCGGAATTTATTTGATCCACAGTGGGTGCAGCCGATTTCGCCTTAGCATTGGCTTTCTCCATGGTGAATTTCAACAGAACTTATCAGAGCATTCGCAATAATTCAGTTTCTTCAGAAACAACAGAAATTGAATAACCAACGCGTTGTGATTACGCCGTGCCGTGGTTTCAAAACATAGCGAGGAGGAAAGGGGAAAGGGAGGGAAGGGGGAGCCAAGCCCGGTTTCTGACCACTCTGACCAGCTAATGCTTTTTCTTTTATTTTGTGGTTTAAATTCTAAGTTTCATTTTCAGATAATTTTAAAAAATAATTAAATGGTTAAAAATATTTTGCTAGCCCTTTTCGGTTCACAAAAAGCAGAAAAACGGAATTTTGTATTTTCTGCCGCTTTCACATTCATATTCACGTTGGTGTTGTTCTGTATCTTCCTTTCTGTTCCTTTCTATATAGTTTTGACGATTGGTTTTGACAACATTGTATGCACCCAAGGCTTCCTGTAAATTTATCTGTTTTACGGCTCAAGGAATCTAAGGAGCTCCGTAAGAATACTAACGCGGTAATGCCAGAGGAAATGATTGTGAGGTTATGTAGTGTTTATTTTGGTTTTGTAGCTTCTGCTTCCTCTCTTTCAGAACGGACAGCTGCGGCCAGCATGGGGAAAATTGCTCTACAAATGAAGGCTCAATTGGAGTTTATTAACACGATTCACGCTCCCCAACCTGAATTCCGGTATTTTGTCAAGATAAAGTGTACTGGCTGTAATGAAGAGTCGGAGAAGTGGCATGACATTTCTTTAGACGACTCTGTGGAACTCAAGACTGGTCGAGGTAGCTGCAACTTTGCCTTGAAGTGCAAATTTTGTGGAAAGGACAACCAATTGGACATACTTGACAAATCTATTCGCCCATATCTGAAAGAAAAGGAGGGACTATTTCAAACAATCGTGGAATTTGATTGTCGTGGAATGGAACCGGTTGCATTTTCACCCAGAGAGGGGTGGATTGCTCAGTCAGATGAAGGAGGACAAAAGTTTGAAGATGTTGACCTTACTGACGGAGAATGGATTGACTATGATGAGAAACTCAAGGAGTCTGTCAGAGTGTATGATCTGGAGTTCAAATTCATCAAAGTCAAGTAGAGGCAATACACACTTCCTTATACAATTCAGCTTTAAATTTCTATATTTTGTATTAGTTCCTTCTGATACAAATTAGATGTGAGTTATACTCTAAAAAAGTTAGAGTCAACAAATATAAATTAAATAAATGTTTATCTTACAATGAGGTGATTTCGATCAACCCTAACTACCAACATTTAGAAGACAATCTGCAGAGGTACCACTATCCTACATTAATTGGAAGATGTACATGCATAATTATAATTTTCATCTATTATAAAAGCTAGAATGCTAGAACCAACAGGTGCAAAACCTTATGATATGAGAAGAGGGAAGGGCAAGTACAAAGGATTTGTCCTCTTTCTTTTTCTTGTGCTTTTGAGAAGCTACAAGCGCACCAATTAGTGTTTGAAGAATATTATTGGTTTACTTTTTAGAGTCTAGGGCAGTACCCTTGAAAAGTATTTTCATCAAGTGCTGGAATGCCTTGTGCAGATTAACATCAACACCAGATTAATATCTTAAAATGTGGTCAGTTGTAGCACTAATTGTTCTTTTCTAATATCTGATGACACAAAATTTTGAACTTATCTGTCCTCTTCACAGCAATTAAAGTAATAAGAATGACTAGAAAACAGAGAGTTCAGTATATGCAATTATAAGTACAAGATTTGAAATGGTCCACAAAACCAAGAGAGTATAGAGTTTCATCTTTGATAACTTACATTTCAATTTATCACTTTTAAGTGCATTTGTCAATTATGATAGAGAACACAACAATTAAAAATAATATAGATGTTAATTAGCATCAACCACAATACTGGTAAAAAGAAAAAAGGTGGGGGAGTGACTCTCAGACACGTATGGCTAATCACAGCCTAGATTAATGGCACAGAAGTATCACTACATATAATTACCCACTTGAAGAAGAGAAGAAAAAATTAGAGAAGTGTTACTTCTATGCAAGTAACTGTTCAAAAATTATCTAAATAAATATGACTATAAATTAACAGCAATAAAACAATCAGTCATTACACCAGTTACTCTTTCCAAAATAAATTGTTGTAATACAAAGATGGCTTTGTTAATGGTGCTAGAAGGAAACACCAGGCAACAAGTCCCACCAAGAATAATGAGGCAACAATGAACTTGTGGGGATTCTTATAAGTAAAAACTTCTGAGAAATCAGGAAATCCCATATGGTTGCAGAATGCATGGACTACGCATGGGGCAGCCAAGTGGCCTGTCCGCACAAACAAAAATGCAGAATAGGCTCCAAAGATTGTTGTATAGGTCATTTGGAAACCTGATAGGCAAAGAAAGAACAAGTTATTCAAGTAATTCAAGAACTCTTCATGAATAATAAAGTGTGCTCTCTTCAAAAATTAAATACACTCACAGGAAATTGCTAATGCATGTTTAAAGGGCAGCTGGGCATGCATGACTCTGTCATACATATGATGGAGATGAGCTGAAAAATATGAAAAAATTGATGAAACTTTGTCTCCAAGAACTCAAACATGAAAAGCTCTCTGAGGAATACTGACCAACACCAAAAAACAGGGGTGCAATAAAAATTGCAGTTAGAGGTTGAAAACATTGAAGCAAGAGAGGTAGCATACATGCTCGAAATACAAATTCCTCAGCTATAGGAGCAACAACATGACTCCGTAAAAAGTGAATATCTTTCATATTCCAAACCCAGTACATAGGCTCTGTAAGAAAATTCAAATTGTTTAAGCGCACATCATCTTTGAAGGGGTGAAAATACAGATAACGTAGATATTTTCCAGTTCATCCCTTAAAAAAGGAATGGAAAGTCAATAACTGTATACCTGTATAAAGATGCCATAATCCTGTCAACCCTTGCATTGAAAGAGATCCAAGGAATAAAACCATGGTAAGCCCCAAAGGAATAGTAAGGGCTTGAACAAGGCCTTCCAGTTTAAATCCAAGAAGATGATATAATGAGGTCTAGAGAAAAAAACAAAGGAAATCCAAGCTGATACTGGTACATTGAAAGCATAGATAAATTTCTAAGAATCAAAATTAAATTTCTAGATACCTTGAGCAGGACTTCTCTATCCAAGCATATATAGACTAGCAGAGGCGACCAGAACATCATCACAAACACACTGTAAAATCTTTTCACTATCATAGCAGGGTCATCCCTGTCAAATGAAACAACATTAAAGGTAGTTCAAAATTTGTGTTGTGTAGAGTAAAGTAAATATTTTTGAGAGGTTGGTAGTAGCAGAAGTCCAAGGCACAGCTGACTGTTAAATTCGTCCGAATATTCTACTCTGGGGCGATAAGAAGAAGAATTTCGACTATAGTTACCTGCTTTCTCTTGTGCCCCATATATACAAGCTCGCAACGTAAGCGACTGATAGAAATAAGCAGGCGGCAATTGACGTACAACATGTTGGGAATATCGGCTCGCCAGCCTCCATGTTGACATGGCACAGTCACGTGACGCAATGAAAATTTCTGATTCGTGCTCTCATTGCTTCCGTCTTCAGTAGGAGAAAATGGCCGCCAGTATCCACGGACGTACCCTCTTTGTTTAAGTCTTACTTGTGTTGTCAATTTGTTCAGTTTCAAAATGCCCAGCGCGTCCTGCACACCTTCGCGCCCTTACGTTAGGCGTTCCCGACGGAAAGGAGTCAACAGAGTACCCGTCCCGCCCCGTGCAAACGCAGGTAAGGCCTTTTTCAATGGCTCGGCCCGACGGCCAGACCCCTTCCCCGATACGATTGTACACTACAAATTCCAGTCTTACGCTCCAGATTACTTTGTTTGGACTGCTGCGCAATTCTTGTTAAATCCCTGAGGAGACGTGCACGAATCGAAGCTCCTGTGCGGCCCTTTTGTGGCCGCCGCGAGTCGAATTTATTTTTACCCATAACAGTCAGGTTATATTGGGAAGCCTAATGGACGTCGGTCAAGGTTTCGCAGCGAAGCGTACATTGTTGGCAGCTGCCTTGATCGAACGCCTGGTGCGATTGTATTGAGCCGTTTTCCGACGCAACTCAATTTTGTGGCGCGCTGGTCCTTATCATAGCAACGCCTGGCCAGAGCCCCTTTACTGCCGAACCGGATAGAAGGTACCCTCTGTGGCAACTCCTGACATATAAACAAAGCCTACGGACGGGCTGCCTTCTGATTGATTCCAAACATATCACCCGTGGATGGGATTTCGCCACTTTTGTGGTGTTTGTAACTCTTTTCCCCTGTGCTCTTACAGTTTTTTCTTTATGGGAGGTGATCATTAAATCATATTCTTCTGTTTTTACTTGTTTCGTTAATAAGTGGGGGCGCTTCTGTTGAGGCCCACACAATACAACACTACCATTTTACTTACCATTGAAGTTACTTTCATGAAAGCATTCATAAGACGAATCAATGGGAAATATGTTTGATTTGCTGTATTTACTAATCCAATTTATTATGGGGAAGTGCTATCTGTTACATCCTTATTTTTAAACCTTCATTTTTATCTCTTTAGGCCCTGCGGGAAGCCCTGCAGGTGCAGCAGCAGCTGCAGCAACAACAGCCGCTGCTGCAGCTGGCTCTGGAGCTGTTGTCCTTGTGAGTGGCGGCAGCTCTTCTTCATCTGGGACGCCAGACCCCCCAGTCACCACATCAGGAGCAAGTATCCCAGGACCGGGACCCAACCTGATTCACCACCCGCCATATGACTTGCGCCGAAAGTCCCCTCCTCATAATGATGGTGGGCCCAGCACAAGCTCAAGCACCAGTACTGTCAGCTGCACTAGCCTCCATAACATGGCGTGCAGTACAAGCAGCAACAACTCTACCTCACCCACAGTGTTCTGTAGTTTTGATAATGCACCTTTGGTGTCAGCCCGGAAACGACCAAGACGAACCCAGTCAGTAAGCAGTGTTGAAAGAGAATGTAAGTTTGTCAGACTATTGTGCATTTTACTTATCTCTTTTTTTGTCTTTGATCTTTTCATTCATATTGATTGGTTTTCTTGTTTGCAGCTCAAACCAATACAGTGGCTGCTCAGTATCTTCTTCATGATCTACCTGATGAAGTGATTTTATTAGTATTTAGTTATTTGATGGAAAAAGACCTCTGTCGTGTGAGTCAAGTTTGTAGACGTTTCCGAAGCATTGCAAATGATGTGGAACTATGGTACGTCTTGCATGCAACCTATATTTTACATGTGGTGCTATTGTTGTTTCCCATAGCACTAATTGGTTTCTCTACTCGTTTTGCAGGAAGAAGTTGTACCAGTCATTGTATGAATATGATGTTCCACTTTTCAACACAGAAGTTTGTCGCTTTGAATTTGAAAATGTGTCTGACTGTGAACATGCTAACCCATGGAAAGTGAGCTTCCAGCAGTTGTACCGTGGTGTTCATGTACGCCAGGGCTATCAAGACCTTAAATTTGATGGTAGAAAAGTACCTTTCTTCAACACCATTCAAGCTGCACTCGATTATGCAGATGAGAAAAACTCACAACTTACAACAGAAAATGGAGATGGGCCTCTTGTCTTCATTCACTCTGGCACTTATACTGGTGAATTTCTTGTCATAGATTGTGATGTTTCACTCATTGGTAAGTTCAAAGTTATCCATTTATTTATCTCCTGTCAAATGCAGACCGGAACTTACTCATATTGGTTTTACGTAGGTGCTGCTCCAGGAAATGTTGCGGAGTCTGTGATATTGGACCGAGAATCAGAGTCGACTATCATGTTTGTTGAGGGTGCCAAACAAGCTTACCTCGGCCATGTTACGCTCAAGTTCTCTCCAGATGTGGGCTCAACAACACCCCATCATAAGCATTATGCGCTTGAGATTGGTGAAAACTGTAGCCCCACAGTTGATCATTGTATCATCAGAAGTAGTTCTGTTGGTGAGTGCCTTTCCCTTTCGTATGTTGTGCTGTTCTAAATTTTTGTTGTTTCTGACATTATCTTAATGCCTCTGCAGTTGGGTCCACTGTCTGTGTGAGTGGACTGGGTGCCAATCCAACAATCAGGCATTGTGACATTAGTGATTGTGAGAATGTGGGACTGTACGTCACAGACTACGCACAGGGTTTATATGAAGATAATGAGATCAGTCGGAATGCCCTGGCTGGTATCTGGGTAAAGAACTGTGCCAGTCCCATCATGAGAAGAAACCATATCCATCATGGCCGAGATGTAGGAGTTTTCACTTTTGACAATGGCATGGTAAGTACTTCTTATTTAAAATTTCCAGATAAGCCTGTTCTTATGCTCCAAGGCTGTTTTAATAAGTAAATTCAAATTTTAATTCAATTTTTATCTGTTACAGGGTTATTTTGAATCTTGTGACATCCACAACAACCGTATTGCTGGCTTTGAAGTTAAGGCTGGTGCAAATCCAACAGTAGTAAATTGTGAAATTCATCACGGTCAAACTGGAGGAATTTATGTCCATGAAAATGGCCTGGGTCAGTTTTTGGATAATAAAATTCACTCTAATAACTTTGCGGGAGTATGGATCACGTCTAATAGTAATCCCACGATCCGGCGCAATGAAATTTATGATGGCCAGCAAGGTGGTGTTTATATCTTTGGTGAAGGAAGAGGCCTTATAGAACACAATGATATCCATGGTGAGCTTTTGAAATAATAATGAATTACTGGTAGAAAGTGAATGTGTGTGTGCTACCAACATTCTTTGCCTTATTAAATATTTTTTTTTAAATGATTGTTTATTTTTTAGGTAATGCCCTTGCTGGTATCCAGATTAGGACATCAAGTGACCCTATAGTTAGACACAATGTCATCCATGATGGTCAGCATGGTGGTATTTATGTGCATGAGAAGGGAAGAGGTTTGGTAGAAGAGAATGAAGTTCATTCAAACTCTTTGGCGGGTGTCTGGATTACAACTGGTAGCACTCCTATTCTGAGGCGCAATCGAATCCACTCTGGAAAACAAGTGGGTGTTTACTTCTATGATAATGGCCATGGCAGACTAGAGGACAATGAAATTTTTAACCATATGTACTCTGGGGTCCAAATCAGGTAAATAATTGCTTAAATTTGATATTAGTGTCCTTGCCTTTTTCTTTTTTATAAGTTACTAAACATCTTTATTGTATTTCAGAACCGGTAGCAACCCAATAATCAGGGGTAACAAAATTTGGGGTGGTCAGAATGGTGGAGTTCTTGTATATAATGGTGGTCTTGGCCTTTTGGAACAAAATGAGATTTTTGACAATGCGATGGCTGGAGTTTGGATCAAAACAGAATCAAACCCAACCTTAAAGCTGAACAAAATTTTTGATGGAAGAGACGGAGGCATTTGTGTGTTCAGTGGTGGGAAAGGTGAGTAATTTTTGTTGAGTCTTGCAGGGCTCTAATTGCTTCATTGCTTGCTTCATTTTGACATACTACTTTTTTTCCAACAGGAATTTTGGAGAGCAATGATATCTTCCGCAATGCTCAAGCGGGTGTTCTAATTTCCACTGGTTCTCATCCGATACTAAGGCGGAATAGGATCTTTGACGGGCAGGCAGCTGGTGTTGAAATCACAAACACTGCTACTGCTACTCTAGAGTATAATGAGATTTTCAACAATCGCTTTGGGGGCCTGTGTTTAGCTAGTGGGGTTCACCCTCTATTAAAAGGTTAGTGTTGCCTTTTCTGAAGTTTTCATGAATTTTGTATCCAGATGGTCAGCTTCAAAGTATTATTTTGTTAAACTTGAACCGATGATTTTTTTTTCTTTTGTACAGAAAACAGAATATTCAGTAATCAGGATGCCATTGAGAAAGCTGTGACTGATGGCCAGTGCCTCTACAAAATTTCCAGCTATACGTCATTTCCTATGCATGACTTCTATCGCTGTCAGACATGCAATACAACAGATAGAAATGCTATTTGTGTTAACTGCATTAAGGTGTGCCATGCAGGTCATACAGTTGAATTCATTCGTCATGACAGGTGACTATGAAACGCCTTGATTTGTAGTGAGATGTACCCTACTCACATCCTTCATTGGAAACTAATTCTTTGAATTTCTGTCCATAGATTTTTCTGTGACTGTGGTGCGGGCACATTAAACAATCAGTGTCAACTTCAAGGAGAGCCCACACAAGACACTGACACATTATATGACTCAGCTGCTCCTGTAGGATCTCACACACTCATGGTGAACTGAGAAGTGTTTTAAAGCCTCCACACTGAAGGGCATGAGCAGTTAACCTCATGCTGTGATGAGGAATTTGTATGCAGGTGATGGCTGTCATTTTGGGAATTGAATTGTGAACTATTTCTGAAAAAGATGTAGAGTGGCTCATCTGTCTTTCAGTTTGTTGCTTAGATAGTAGCTCCAATTTTGCAATCTTGGTTTTTTTCTGTTTTGTAAAGTTTTGTTTGGAGAGGGGGACACAAACTGACTAACTTGCCTGTAGCTCTCCTATGACGCAAGACGTCTGTTAAAATCTTACATCAGAGATTAAGCTACATTTATTTTTAATCCTCCATTCAGTGCTGTGATACCTTGTTTTTATAGTATGTCTTTTGTTTATATTGTTTTGTTAACTCTTGCATTCTCTCTGATGTTGCATATGAATTTTCTGCATTGAAGATTATCATGTTTTCACTTTAGTTTGTAATGTTTTATTTGTATATGTGTGAGTGACTGAGAAAATATTGATAAGTGAAGGTTATCTGTAAAGTGCATATTACATGATGTTATGATGTTGCCTCAAAATAAGGCTTCTTGCCCAGGCTCTTAATTATGTAATGTGACAGCCATCACCTGGGAGAGAAGAAAAGTTTCTTCCACTCCATGCTCCATTAAACTAATCCTTGTGGATCTGTAGTACTGATGTGTTATGTCTCAGTTTTATCCAGTGATTCAACATTCTTTTTTACTCTCAAATAAATTGAGGTATAAATGTGATAAGATACACACATCGTCATTTCTCATAACAGTAAACCACTTGCGATAAGAGTGAGGTACAAAGTCTGTGACTGAAACTATCAAGATAATTTTCAGCCTGTGTTATCAAGTTGACAAAGTGCCTTTGTGCCTACTGCCATGGATGAGTAGCATACATTCTTTACTATTTGGCATGGCAGGCTTTTCAGGTAGTTATGCCATGTAGACCAAGGGTTAATGGAGACATTTAATAGAGTGGTTTGTGGAGGCTTGATTTTTTTTTGGTTGAAATTACCCTACTTGTTGGTCTTGTGTGAAGAATCTGTGTTCAAAGAGTGAGTGTGTGTGTGCATGTGTTTGTGTACATAATTTCAACAGGCTTATACATACATGTGTGGATGGGTGGACTGAATAGATGTCTGGCCTATTTTGTGAAGTTTAAATGTATGACCCAGAGATGAACTTGACCTCTCAAGAATCTCTTTTGTATAAGTGTACATATATTAGTTAAGAGTGATCTTTAAAAAAAAAAAAAAAAATAGTTTTCTTAAAATACTTCTACTGTTTTTCTGTTTTGTCTTTTTCTTTCTTTTTCATTTCATTTGAATGAATTTTATTTTGGTTTGATTAAAAATGTTTATCTTCAGGTACAGAAACATTAATATGTTCTGTTTTGTACATATACATAATATAGATTTATATCATTTGTGTAAGTGTTAATAATTATTTAAAAGTTTCATTTAATTTGTACTGTGTAATGAATTATGAAATTGTCCATCCCAAGCATGAAGCATAATGGCGTACCCACCAATGACCTAGCAATGCTGCAAGTTTTGTTGCTACAACTGAAATGCATTTTGTAAATTTACCTTCATTTGTTTGGCACTCTAGAACTGCAGAAATGTTTTCCTGTGGAAGGTGAAATGAACTTAAACTAAATAGGTGGATGTTTCGGTTATCTCAAAAGGTCGTGATATTTGCATATCTTCATTCTTCAAGATAATGCATTTTTTTTTTGTTAATTAGAATGAAAGCAATAAATTTTTTTGGCTTTCTGGGGTTATACATATGTGATAAAGTTGTGTGTGGAACGAGCTTCTTCCCTTTCCTCTGTTATTTCCACTCTATTTTGCCCAGAGCTATGTTGGTCGGAAGTTTTCATGTTTGTATCTCTGAGGTCTTGCTGTTAAGCTTCAAGTCTTTTGAAACTATGTTACCAGTTCCAGTCTTGGAAACCATGTGTTAGGTGCATTGGAGGGTCGAGCTGAGCCAAGTAGCCCGTGGGCATGTGTTTCCGTGTCGTAGTATTTGCAATAACTTGCTGTTTTGTACATAAAACATTTTGTATTTTCAAAGTAATTATTGAGGGGTTGACAATGGATCTATTTTGCTTGCAGGCAAGCACTGCAGGATAAAGTTCCTCTATACTGTAATGCATGCCTGCAGGCATTGTTCAAGGGCATTTGGAAGAGAATTAAGACTCATACTCCAATGGATTTCATAAATATTGCTTTTAATTTGTAAATTGTGCACCCTCTTTTGTAAACAAAAGCACTTTGTCTCTGCTAAGTTTTACATAGGACAGAGATATTTTGCTTGTTTTGTCTGAAGGTTAAATTAACATGTGCTGTTTGTGCTCCATTAAACGTTTTTGACTTGCATGAAACGTTTATCAATTTTAATGACTGCAAAACTTATCATTAATCAAATTCTAGCAAATTTTATAATTTTTTAACTTTAAAGCCAAGAACACTGGTTTTGGTCCTCCATTGTCAAAATGTGTCAAAGCTGTCAAACTGGGTTATTAATTTGTTTTGGATCTATTTTAAAACAACTATAAGAAAATCAATTGTCCATCTTTCTCATTTGATGAGATTTCAGACATGGTTTTCTGTTAGAAAACTGCATTGCAAAGGCATTTTGTGTGCCAACTTTGTTCTGAGCAACTGTGAGAATAGTTACTGATGTAACTCCACTCTTTATTTGATAATGATTGTGATATTGGACAGGCCGGCAAGACCCAACTTTCCATTTTCTTTTCTGTTTGCTGTGTTAAGGTATGCTCCTGGGAGTTAGTCCTGAAGTTTTGCAACAGTTGACAGAGAGTATCATATTCCATGGGAAGAATTGATAATTATTTTATCGATGGTTTAAAATCAACTCATAAAGTATCCAGTGTTGTGTGCCATAGTGCTGTTGTAGAAAGCCAAGTCAAGTGGTATAGTACTTTAGTGCTCAGTGGTTGACCTCTGGAACGCTCAATATCACATGCTGTGGTGTTGACTTTCATGCTTTGTTTCCCTTTTTTTAATTTTTTTTTTTCTTTTTAAATCTTAAACTTTTCTTGCCAATATGTTGATAACTTTCATGTTTTATTTACTGTTTTGCTTCTGACCTGTAGATTAATCATTGAGAAAGATAATTTATTGGGGTGTGAATTTAAAGTTATGTTCGGGATTTTAAGTTTGACGTCATAAGTTCATATACATATGATTGTTATTGTGAATATAGCATCCTGATAGCTTCATCCCCACCATGTTAATGTGCAAGTATTGCGGATACCTTAATAGTTTTATTAATAAATCTACTGTTTAGTGGCAAGTATCAGTGTGACGTGTAGTAAATGTACAGTGATCAGTTATCTATGGAGTCTCGATTCTTCAAGCACATTGTACCAATTTCAGTTGGATTTATTTATGTTGGACTATCTTTTGGGTCAGTTCAGACTCCTTTCAAAAGAAGTATATCATGGTCCTTTTACAGTGGGAAACTGCCACATTTCAAGTTTTACATTATTGTTAGGTTTAGCAAGTAACATACTTCGAGACAAAATTGAACCTTCATGTTGTGTATGATAATGTGCTTGCATAAAAGTAAAAAAAATAAACTGATGTATCGTATGGAAATGCTCTGACTAAATAATGTATTCTTTTGAACTTTGTTGACCTAATTCAGCTTCACACATCATGCACATTTCTCACAGACTGATTGTGAATGGCTCTTCAATAACTGTTCTTGCCTCTTGTTGATGAACGAGACCAACTCCGACCGCAGGCGTCGCCATTGCCTTTCTTCCCGTGTAGAAAATCTAACCGGCAAAATGGAGAAAGATAGCAATGTGAGGCTCGAATGTGGCAATACGCATCATGCTTGGCATGGGAATGGCTCCTACCTTTCGTCCCAGCATGTTCTCCATTCGAGGCTTGACGAAGGTCCAAGCGCCCATATTACGCGGCTCTTCTTGGCTCCATATAAAGTCTTAAAACGAAAGAAATGGAAAATTGCCGACGTATTTGGAAATGGTGGCAATCGGGGGTATGAGAGGTAAGGGCAGTAGTACTCACGCTTTGCCTTCTTGTACCGGGCCAGCTCCTGCTGCAGGTGGTGCACGGGGAAGGGACAGAGCTCCTCGACGCGGACCAGGGCCACGTCCTTGCGGCCCAGCTCGAGCCGCTTGGCGGCCAGGGCGTGGTAGTGCTTGCCCGAAACCAGTACCACCCTCTCCACCGCCAGCGCGTCAACCTCGACATCACCTACACAACAACACCGAAATACCCGCTAAGGTCGCACTGGAAGAGACTTCCGAAAACGGAAAGTAACGACGGGATTCGAACCCAGATCCTCAGGACTGGGGTCGGTATCGCTGTGCTCTCGGCTACTCACCGATGACCTGCTTGAACGTTGTGGAAGGCCCCATGTCGACGAGGCTAGAGGCCGCTTCGGACATGCGGATCATTATTTTGGGGGCCACGACGACCAGCGGCTTCCTCCATCCCCTCAGCATCTGCCAGAGAAACGCGTCCACATTCAAGCACTCGAACAACAGGGCAAGCGACACCTTGCCTCGTCGCTATTCTCACCTGGCGCCGGAGCAAGTGGAAGTACTGCGCGCTCGTGGTGGGGTTGGCCACCTGGAAGTTGACGTCCTCGCCGTCCGGCTTGGTCTCGCTGGAGTCCGTCATCTGGAGGAAGCGCTCGAGGCGACATGAGCTGTGCTCCGGCCCCATGCCGTCGTAGCCGTGCGGCAGCAGCATCGTCAGGCCCGAGCACTGCATCCACTTGGCTGCGCAGCAAGACAGCTACTGACGCGCTGCACGGCAGGCGTTTGGACAAAGCAGACTCGGCGCTACTCACTCTCCCCGCTGGTGACGAAGGTGTCGATGATGATCTGTGCGCCGTTGAAGAAGTCCCCGAATTGCGCCTCCCAGATGACGAGCCGCTTGGGGCTCTCGATGCTGACGCCGTACTCGAAGCCCAGGACGGCCTCCTCGGACAGGGGGCTGTTGACCACCTCAAGGAAGGCCTTCTGGTCCTCCTGCAGCGCGTTCAGGGGGATGTAGATGTCGTTGGTGGCCTGGTCGACGAGCATGGCGTGCCTGTGCGAGAAGGTGGCGCGGCCAACGTCCTGCCCGCTGAGCCTCACGTCGAAGCCTGGCGACAGAAGGACTCGGTCACTGTGTCGTCGGTCTCCTGGCCTTCCTGGCCTTCCTGGCCGGCCGGGCGCCTGCCAAGTCTCGGGTAGGCAACACCGCAACGCCCGCGTGCGGCGGGTTGGCCGGGCTGGCCTGCCGCAAGGGGCCTTCCTCTTCCTCCCTTCCGCCATTTACCCTGAGCGAGGAGCGAGCCGAAGGCCATGGCCTCTGCGGTGGACCAGTCGATGGCGGTGCCGTCCTCCGCGCGCCGCAGCCTGGCGGCCACGTGGGTCTTCTGCAGGTGGGGGTGCACGTTCTGGAAGCAGATGTGCGTAAAGAGGAGAGAATCCTCGCTGGAGCTTACGACTCCCACACCCATGTGCGAGCCCATGTGGCACTCACGAAGCCCTCCGGGTAGGCGACGGACTTGTTGGCGATGTGGCGCAGCAGCTGCACGTCCACGCCCGTGTCCCACGCGGTGACGGCGGCCTCGGGCTGCCGCAGCGACGTCCACTGCCTCTGGAAGTAGGAGGGCTGCAACAGAGCAACGCGGCGACGCTCAGCGACGTGGACGCGGAGGACATGGCGGTGAAGGCCGCAAGGCTGGCTCTCACTTTGGGCACGAAGTCCTCGACGCCGCGCAGCTGGTCGTTGAGCCACGCCGTGTGCGCCGAGACGGTCTTCTCCGCCTCCTCGCGCTGCAGCACGCCTCTCTGCTCGAGCTCCGCGGCGTACGTGTCCGGGACGCTCCTGCAATGGGGAGACACTGACACACCGCCGCAGCCGGACCAGTAGCGGGGTCCCGGCGCAGCAGCCACTCACCTACCTGCCGGCGTGGATCTTCTGGTACAGCATGGGGTTCGTGAACGTGGGGTCGTCCACCTCGTTGTGGCCCCAGCGACGGAAGCAGTTCATGTTGACAAAAATGTCCCTGCGCCAAACAAAGGGAAATTACAGGTCCCCTGTAAAGGGCTACGGAGAAAGCTGGCTGGATGGCGAGTAGACTCACTTGCGGAAGTGGCGCTGGTACTCCACGGCGATGCGCGCGGCCTTGACGACCATCTCGGGGTGCAGCCCGCTGACGTGAAGCACCGGGGCGCCGACCGCCTTGGCCAGGTCCGTGCCGTAGCGGGAGGAACTGCCGCGCTCGCTGGGCGTGGTGAAGCCGACCTGGTTGTTGACCACCAGGTGCACCGAGCCGCCAACCTCGAAGTGCGGCAGGCGGCTCAGGGCCAGCGTCTCCTGGTTGATGCCCTGGCCGGGGAGCGCGGCGTCTCCGTGGATCTGGAAACGAGGAACAACCCGCGGCCGTCAGAGAAGCGCGAGCGGCCTGGGTATTCCAACCCGCGCCCGCGGCCCCGCGGACTCACCTGTAGATTGAGCACTTTGTCGCCCCAGCGCCGCACCTCCGCCAACGCGTAGTGTCCGTCGCCGAGGGACTGCTGCCGGGCGCGCGTCTTGCCCATGGAGACGGGGTTCACGGCCTGGACACGGACGCAAAGCGGCAAAGCACGACGGATGAGCTGGCCCTTAATGGTAATGGTAATGCGAGTAGGCCACGCGCGGGCGCTCCTGTCGGCCGGGTCTGCCTATCCTCGACTCCGCGGGCGCCCGACTGTCGTCCCACTCACTCACCTCGAGGTGCGAGGGGTTGTAGAGGACGGTGACGTGCATGGAGGCGCCGCCCTTCACCGGCAGGTCCACCGAGCTGACTGGGGGAGAGGCGTTAGTGGCAGTGAAAAGAGGGGGCGCTCGGTACCACGTTGATCAAGCAACCTACTGAGATGGCTAGTGACGTCCCCCGTGGCCTTGGCGGAGTCGGGGAACTCACTGAGTCCCTTGAGCTTCCGGAAGAGGATGCGGGGGTCCATGAGCAGCGGCCCCGTCAGCAGGTTAAGCCGGCCTCGGTGCGGCATGCCCACCACGAGCTGCTGCAGGCCACCTGGAGAAAGAGAGAGAGATGGAGTCGCCTGCTTTGCCTGCTTCGCCTGACACTCAAAACCTTGACGGACGTCGTTCTTTACCTTCGGCGGCCGAGTCGAGGAGCTGCAGGAAGAAGGCCATCATGGCCTCGGCACCCTCGCAGCCGTAGCGCTTGAAGGTGACGAACTTGGTGGCGAGGAAGTTGTCGAAGGCCTGCGAGCGCAGCATGGCCTCGGACACGGCGCGCGCCTGCTCGTCGGCCACCTTCTCCGAGATGAGGTGCTCCAGGCGCGACGCCAGCCACTCTCGCTCTTCGTCCTGAAAGAAGATCAGTCACTAAATAAACGAAAACTGGTAAAAATTGTGAAATGATTTGGCTGCAGTCACGCACCTCGAGGTATGAGGTGTCTGTGGATATGGCGCCGCAGTACGCCTCCTGCAGGAAGGCCACGGCCTGGCCCACGCTGGAGCACGGCGCGTCCAGGATGCCGTCAGCGAGGACGGCGTCATCGGGGCGGAGGCCATACCGAGCGGGCTCCAGTTCCGGGACAGCCCTGCGCGTCAACAAACTGGAGTTACTCCCAAGTCACTGGCACTCGTGGTCGAGCTCCTTGCAGTGTCGTAGTGCTGCACTCACGGAGGGGCGGCAAGGCGGTACGGGTTGGTGGCGGCGGCCTTGTGTCCGTGCGCGCGGAAGGCCTCCACCAGCCGGTAGAAGTTGCTCTGCTTGATGCGGGCCTCCACTTTCTTCCCGTCCACTGCAACACAAGTAAAGCGGTTGTCTCTCTCTCTTTCTCTCTCTCTCGTCTCTAGGCCAGAGTGTTGTGCTTCAATGGCCCGGCCGGGCTTGACCGCCGGCAATCAGATCAAGGCCCCCCTCCCCCTTTCATCTCGGGTCCCCCGACCGGCCAGACAGCCGAAACCACGACACCAGCTTCCAGACTACCACCACCGCACGACGGCATTCGACAGTCTGACCGGCCGTGGTACTTCCCCGGAGAATTTCCAGAGATCCACGGCGGGGTTACACGTTTGATTGCGGTCGACTTACGTTGAAACGGCTGGTGGGGTCGCGGCCTGTAGCCGTGCACTCCCGCCCGGCAGTGGTACAGTCTGCTGCAGGACGCCCAGGCGGGGCGGGGCGCGGTGGGCACGGCCGGCACGCAGCGGCACAGCGAGAGCACGCTCGAGGACATGACGGGCACGGGCACCATGGCGATGGCTGCGGAGGCTGCGAAGGCTGCGGGGGCCGGGACGCGCACAGACTCGAGCCAGCGCCAAGGCGTCGTGCCACGCCGCGCTGCTAGGCTGCCGTAGGCTGCCGTACAGCGACTGTGGGCTCGTCTTATCGTCACCACACAGACACAGAGTCGACCAATAAAACGGGGAGGGGGCTGCCGTGACGTCACGACCCGACGACGTCACGTCAGCTGTGTGTGTGTGTGTGGGTGAGGGGGGAAGGCGCTTTCGCTCGGTCAACCAAGCGATGTCAACACATCTCACGGCGCCTGCTTCTCATTTTGCGGAGACCGGAGTGGGCGCGGCGGAACCGGCGGAAGCCTGAAGGCGGAAGGCGGGCTTTTTTTCAAAGCGGCTCTCTATGAAAAATGTGACGTGCGTTGGAAACTGTTTGAAGTTGTCTGTAGTTGTCTGCAGCTTAACAACAACCGCTCTGATTTGGTTTATTTGACGGGAGATCATTGCTTGCAATGCCATGGGTATCAAAAGGCTGCCGTCCGCAGTAGTTTCCTCCCTCAGAACGGACGTGACAGTCACAACCACTGCTCAGTGCGTCACGGAATTGGTATGTGTTTGAGGTTGGATGTTGTTTGCTATCTTAAGATCAAGCCTTAAGAAAGCTTTTGAAATGCCGTTTTATTTCTAGGTCCTCAACTCCATTGATGCTCGTGCCTCCTCCATTGCTGTCAGAGTGGATCTCAAAAATTATAAAATACAAGTGGTTGACAATGGATGTGGACTATCATCAACTGATTTAAGTCTTGTTGGTTCCAGGTATGTTAGTCTTAAAGAAAAGTGGGAGTCCATAAGGTTTGATGAAAATAATGGAATCTCTAAGTTCTTCGTAATTTTCTCACCAGGTATATGACTAGTAAATGTCGTTCACTCCAAGACCTGCAAAGTAATCTTAGCCATTTTGGATTTCGTGGTGAAGCTTTGTCCAGTATATCAGAGGTGTGCGGTACAATGACCATTGCATCCCGTTATCAAGGCTCTGATGAAACTTTCTGCAAAGTGTTCACACGAGGAACAGCACTCAACGTTAGCAAATCACGACAGCCTAGAGCATCCTGTGGTACAACTATTACGGTTGCTGACTTCTTATTCAATAGACCTGTGCGAAGAGCTCGAATCAAGCCAGCTCTGGATTTGGAGGAAATAAAGTCCCACATTGAATCAATTGCTTTGATAAATCCTTCTGTGAGTTTCCTCTTATCTTTTGACATTCTGTTTTGCTCTGAGCTGTGCTTGATTGCTGATCATGTCCCTAAAACATTTCAGATTTCATTTTCTCTCAGAAATGATGAAAATGGAGAGGTAATGTTGCAGACGCAAAGAACTGAAGATACCCAATCGGCATTTGGAACTTTATTTGGTGACAGTATAGCTGGTAATCTTGTTGCTGTGAAAGAATCCATGGGGCCTTTCAAAGTGGAAGGGTATATATCAAATGAGGCCAACCCATTGAAAAATTTCCAGTTTATTTACATCAACAAGCGTCTTCTCCTAAAGACCAAAATACACAAGCTTGTCAACTCCCTCTTGTCCAGAAGTGCAATTCTAAAATCAAACAATGTTCCTTATGCTCCTATATCTAAGGAAATGAATCACAACGTGTTTCTAGCCTTTTCTCCTCCCAAAAGAGACAAACATGCAGTTTTTGTGCTTAATATAACATGTCCTTTGTCTGAATATGACATAACACTTGACCCCAAGAAGACTCTTGTTGAATTTTGTAACTGGGATTCTTTGCTCAGTTGTTTCGAGAACCTCCTGAGAAAGTTTATTGAAAGGGAAGCTAATCAGCCTTCTGCAAGTAATGGCTTGGATAGTGAGCCGCCTCGCAAAATAAAATCTGTGATTGATGAGATAAATCTTCTGGCAAGAGAAGTTGCCATTGGCGGTGACGTGTCTGAAACATCTGATGACTCCATTAGCACCAAAAATTTACCTAGAGCTATTCATAGCCTACCTGCCAATCGATGCCCAGTTAATTTATCACCTGTACCATCAACTGAATGTTTTCCTTCAACTTGTTCGTCTGAGACTTTCTCCCGTGCTACAGATGTAAAGCGCACCATTTTCTCTACATCAGATCCAGGCTCTGTTCTTACAGAGAAGCCCTATGTTCCTTTGGCACGTGGCCCAATTCTGAAAGAGAAACCAAAGCAGCCTTCAGGCTGGACGGAAACTGATTGCTCTGAGAGATCGCGCCACTCTGTAGAGTCACTGCATTTCTTATTCAAACGACCTGAAGCCCCAGTTGTAACTAAACCTACGAAAAGTTTCATACCAGAACCCATATACTTCCAAGAAAACTCTAGCACCATAGACAACCCTCTCAGACTACAAGAAAAGAACTCAAGAGATTTGGGGGAAGCTGCAGTTAGCCCTGTGAACGCTCTTGCAAATATCAAAGAAATCCGGAGAAAAAAGCTCCTAAGTAAGTTGAACAAGTTTTCTTTCAATGCTACCTGTGAAAAACCAATACTGCTGAAGACTAAATTGCCAACTCATCATGCAAGAGACACTACTCATCAACCTATGTTCACAACTGACAATAATCAAGGGAAGTTAAATAAGACACATCAAGTTGCTTTTGCAAAATCACCTGTGAATAACTTGAAAGAATCAAGAGATGTCCAAAATACCTTTACTCCAAGTAGTGTGGATTCTATACAAAATTCAGAGAAGGGCACTTCCCTTATTGCCAATGCAGCAAGTTCTGCTGCCGCATCAAGCTGTAGATCAGAAGACCGAAATACTCTAATTTCAACTAATTTCTGTGCTCCAGTTATAACTTCATGCAGTAAAAGGCGTGCTGATGATGTTATCAAAGGCAATAAAAATGTGCTTAAACCATCAGGAAGTGAAGAGAACAAGTATGAGACACTGCATAGCACTTGTGTCAAAGGTAACCAGGAACATGTGGATATTTTTACTGAGAGCAGTAATGAATCGTTTATGTCTCAAGTGGCTGAAGTATCCAAATTTAGATGTGGAGATATGTCTGTTGGTATTAGAGAGTCATCACTTGGAAAAAATTCAGTATACTCCGAAATGTCACTCCCTGATGATAGTATTGGACATTCTAGCACAAGACTCTGTGATGCTGTTCCATTTAGTTTAGATATATTCCAATCTACTGACGCAGACCGTGAGCAGCAAACACTGCCAAAAAAGATAGTGGATTATGATAGTTCTCCTTGTTCGTCACAGGAATCTTCGAGGAGTGTAGAGAATCTAGTTCAAAGTGACCCTATTAGTCCAAGCCTTTTGAAACGGAAACTTGCAAAGGAAGATGAGCTCCTAGTCAAGAAATTTTGTTCTTGTTCTGAAAGCCAGTTTACAGAAAAGTCTTCTGACTCCCAAGATATGAATCAAGATGAGGAGATGTTGAAACTTGTTGATAACAATTTTATTCACACAGACACAAGTAAGCAAGAAACTAGCAAGGTCACATCCTCTATTCCTGATATTTACAAAAAGAATTTTGAAGCAGCTGAGGGTTCAAAAGAAACAGTCTCAACAGAACACAACCACATTAATTTTCTTGATAAAGAAGTGGATGAAGTCTCAAAGTGTCTAGAACCAATACCAAGCCAACATCCCTCTCAGGATGACTGCACAGAAACCAAGAATTACCAGGTAGTTTATTCTAAAAATGTGTGCCATCCACATTCCATTTTTATCGCAAACTTACTGAACTATTTTATTTTTTATAGCCCAATATTATGGAGGTCCAACCCTCTGGTGTACCTCAAGACAGCCCATCCACAGCATCTTCAAATGACCAACAACAGTGGATTGAGCAGTTAGATCATAATGGAAAATCATTTTACTTACATCAAAAAAGTGGTTTAACCACCTACCAGAAGCCAGAAGAAGAGAGGCAGGGTGCTTTTAAAATTGGTGATAGGTAATATTTGGTTTACCACTTTTCCTGGTTATGCATTTAAAGTGAGACTGTAATTGTATCTTTTCTTGCAGGTATTCATTTCTTCCAAAAGGAATGTCTCCTATTTTGTATGACAAAGTTACCAATGAGCCAAGCAAAAGTCCCAGTATTACACCATTTAGAATGGAGGATGATCTTTCTGTTGTTAAATGGAGCAGTGATGATGGCAATAAAGGTGGTACGTAAATGGGAAATTTTTCGTGTGCATGGTGTCATTTTGAAAAAAGTTCAGTTAATCTTTTTGACTTATTTCACTTCTTCAACTTTCCAGGCAAAAAAACTGATTTCTGGCCCCTTGTAGATCAGTTACTCTCTGCAGCTGATACATTTTCTACAAAAATACAGGCTGAAAGCCAAGTCTCAAATGCTACAAACCAAGAGCTGTCTCAATCAGACATTAAAATTTACAATGTTATGTTTCCTTACAGTTTTTCTAAGGACTTATTCAATAATTTGAGAGTAAGAATTAGGGTTTGCACAACTAGGGTACTAGGGTGATCTTTAATTCCAATTATTCTTAAATATGTTCTGCTCTTGTAGGTTTTGGGACAACTCGACAATAAATTTATAGTTACAGTGGTGACTATAAATATTAACAAAGATGTCATTGTTCTATTTGATCAGCATGCAGTTCATGAACGCATTAGAGTTGAAAACTTAACTGAGGGTACAGTATGTTTGAAATTTAAATGTATGGAATTACATTTATAAATCATCTTTCCTTTCCATCATTCTGTTTTCATAGATTACAAACAACATGATGGAGAAGCCAAATGGAAATCAGCTCCTGTTGATCCAGCTTTACCTATGCAACTGAGTTCTATTGAAGTCCGTATTCTTGAAAGTTACCAAGGAAAAATGGAAAATCTTGGATTTCATTTCAGTGTCGTTGATTCCACCACAATCAGTGTTTTACGAGTGCCCACATGTCTTCTTCTGCGAGAAAACAGAGAGGTTTGTGTACTCTTTTGCACTAGGGGAAATAAATTTGTAGTAAAATTTGTACCTCAAAATTCATCATAAACATGAAAAATTCACTAAAATTTATTAAAATTTATCGAAATTTGACCGAAATTAATCGAATTACAACTGAAATTCTTCAAAATTCGACTGAAATTCATTGGATTTGTACACTGAAATTCATAGTGATATCTTGCTTTTGCACAACTGTAGATGTCGGAATCCTGGTTTTGAGTGCCTCTACATAAGTAAAATGTTTATACTAGGTTCACGGAAGAGGAGTGTCAGTACTACGACAGCACTTGGAAAGTCTTATCAGGGAACAGGTGGATTCGCTTCTCAACACAAGAGGCGTTGGAACAGATCATCCAACCATAATTCAGAACGTCATCAGTTCGGAAGCTTGTCGAGGTAACTGCTCCTTTTCTTTGGTAGACAAGTAGTTGGTGCGAAATAAATAGTCTGACGGGTTCTCCTATGTGTTCCTGTTTAAGGTGCTGTCAAATTTGGTCATCCACTCACTGTTGCGGACTGCCAAGCATTCCTACACAACCTTTCCCTTTGTAACCTTCCATTTCAATGTGCCCATGGTCGCCCTGCTTTAATGCCTGTTGTAGATCTTTCCATGCTCAAGCCAAAACCTCAGGTGAGAATTTGGTATGTAAAGTCAAAATGATTCTTTGGTCAACATTTTTCATTGTTGTTTTCTCTTTACAGAATCAAAAGCCAAACTTGAAAAAGCTCCAGAGGCGCCTCTTGTGATTCAGTTCTTTCCAGCCAAGAAAATTCCATGACAAACCTGTGTCTTTCATTTTTGTCATTTCTTTGCTGTCCCCTCCCCATATGTGCTGTGTTATTATCTCAAAATAGTTTCTTATCATATCAAGTGTACTGGGACTGCTTTTATTTTTGACTTCATTTATCTGTGATTTTTTGTGATGTAAACTATCATAAGTTTTTTGGTGATTTGTATTGTGTACACATACGTTTTATGTTAGATGAAGTAAAAAATGTATTAAACAAGCTGCAGATTTCTCTCTCATTCTTTTTAATTTCAAGATAGTAAAAATTAAAATAAGGTAGCGTCTTAAAATTTAAAAATCCTGTAAAATGCCTGTTATTTTAAAAATGGCATGGAAATAGGGAAGGCGACAGGGGCAAGGTAGGCCACCGTCCGCATGTGGCACCTGGGTGGCGCCCTTCTAAAACAAATTACGGGTTCTGCTGTAAGTCGAAAATTTACATGCTGGTCTCCAAGTAACAATGATAAAATAAGGACGATATACAAACGTAGCTCCATGGTGTACACCACCAACTTCACCTACTTCACCAACCGTTTGTAACTGGAGTAGTAACTGGGATCGTGGATGGAATTTCCCATACATTTGCGGCTTAGCCTCGCAACAAGGTCCGCTACGGGACGGGAGGGTCTCTAGGGATAGCAATGGCAATAGCAATAGGATTGGCTAGAGCACTTCTCGGCGCTGGGGAGGGGGGCGAGGGGAGGGGTGGGGTCGTGATTATTCGCAGTTTGTTTGTTTGTTCTCTGCTGTGCTGAAATATATTTTATATTTAGTTTTACCTCAAATTTTTGTTAAGAATGGCTGATATTCCAGCTTGTCCTCCGACTTTAAAGGCGATACAACATTACCTCAAAATCGCCCAGGAACATGCCTCGCGAGATCCAGTCGTTTCCTATTGGAGTAAGTGCATAATACTGTTCAATGGTTATGACTCAAATTTCTCACTGCGAAAGGAAAGGATAAAACTGCGAGGCTTGCTGACTCACATTGACCGTGAATAACATTATTCTCACAGTTTTATTCGCGTATAATGTCATTGCATTGTTTCATTTGAATTTTTTCTCTGCTCCACAAGTATGATTCACCACCATTGCCTCCCCTCCTGCAGAACCTATCACTAATTATATGGGTAATTTTCTACAGGTCAGCTGTACGCCTTGCAGACTGCTTTGACAATTGACCGAAAGTCAGATGAAAGCAAAGGCTTTCTTGTCAAAATGATGGATGGTTTAGAAGCAATGAAAAAGGAGCTGAAAGAGAATGAAGCGATCACTAACGAAGTCGCTGCTCAAGCCCACATTGAAAATTATGCATTGAAACTCTTTGTTTGGGCAGATAGTCAAGATAGAGCTGCAAACTTTGGAAAGTAAGTCCTTTAAGTAACTATGAAATTTGGTCTGGATTTAAGCTACTTTATTTTTGAACACCTTGTGCATTATCATTTTTCTTTAGGAATGTAGTCAAGGCATTTTATACATCGGGGATGTTGTTTGATGTGTTGACCACCTTTGGAGAATTGTCGGAAGAAATTCAACAAAACCGTAAATATGCAAAGTGGAAGGCTGCGTACATACACAACTGTTTGAAAAATGGGGAAACTCCTGTGCCGGGTCCCATGAAGTCAGAAGAAGATGAGGAGGGTTTTGGCAGTGATGCTGCAGCCGGCCCAGTGAACCCAAACATGCAGGATGGGGCATCTAACAATTTGCCTTCAATTCCTCAGCCTACTAGTCCTGGATCCAGTAATGCTACAGATGATTTTGGTAAATAATCAATTGAGATTAGGATGATCATTGATGATGCCAGCCAAAACATTAATGTGTGTCATGTCTGTTCACCACAATTAGGTCTACCGCAAGTTCCTCCAAGATTTCCCAATGAACCACCAAATGTTCCATCACAACCAATTCTGCCCTCCCCTGATTTTGGTTTCAATTTACCATCAACCCCGGCACCTCAACCTGTAGTGCAGCCAGCACAGCCCTCGAATCCGTCCATGCCACCAGGTGACTCATCCTGGCAACCCAATTCATCAGGTATGCAGAACTGGAAACTAAACTACTTCTACATTTTTTCATACAGGCATTATTTAAGAATGGATTTTACAAAGCCAAGTTTTGAACATGAAACTCACTTTAAAAATATCATTCTCTTTCTTCAGGTGAAATTGTACTTACTGCAGAGCAAAAAGAAAAGGCATCAAAATGGTGTAAATTTGCAATTGGGGCATTGACTTTTGACGACATACCAACAGCATTGTCCAACTTGGAAAATGCTGTTTATCTGCTGAAAAATGGAACTTATCGACAGTAGTGGTGAGCATGTGCCACCATGCTAGCTTCACTCTCTTGTATGTATGCTTTCAGAGGTGCCAGTAAGCAGACTGTTGCTGTTTTGACCATTAAAAAAATATTGGGTACAGCTACAATTTTCTGAACAGCTAATGCTTTGTAGAAGTCCCTAATTGCAATTTTCTGTCACCTTCTATTTTTCAAATAATTGTATGATTTGCAAATCTAATGTAATAATTTACTAATTGATAAGTTTCTGATTAGAGCCTCCTGAGTGTATTCTCCTCCTTGTATACCACTCAAAAAAATGTTGGTTTCTAATTGGTTACTGTGATACATAGAAGTAAAGTACTATAGTTTTGTCTTTACATATACTTGGACTTTTCATTTATCCTCTTCTTAAAAAAAATTTAAAAAAATGTTAGCATTGAGGTAGAATGATGAAAATGAAAAGAGCGGGACACTTAAATGTTTATTCAGAATGCTGACATACAAATTGAACAATACTTTGGTTTCTCTAAACCCACAGCCTTACACTGAGCTCATGTTGTCAGTGTCCAATTACCTATCTGCACTATGGGATCACAGAATTGGTCCTTACATTACTTAAGTACTGAAGTAGCACTAATACTGGCTAACAAAGTAAACCCTTTGAATGTGCCTGAGGCAAAAGTGTAAAGTAACATTCAAAAGGCATTACCCTTCTGTCATGAAACACTCTTCATCCAAAATTATAAGTAGCATGCTGTAAAACTTGTTAAAGTCATCAAAATTGACTTTGACATAAGTAATGAAAAATAGCCATCTTGCCTTAAAAATAAAGTACACTACCATGTCTTTATAGCTCTTTTGAAAATACAGCCTCATCTTAGTTAACTTCTAACCAATCACCAAAGTTTTTAGAGGAACACAGTTGCTTCCACTTCTCAATTTTAAAAGTATCCAAAAATATCAAGCAAGAAGAGAGACTAGCTGCCTAAGTGATAGGGGCCTCTCTATTCATTGGACACTTGACTGGATTGTCACTGTCTTACATCACAAAGTAAAGTACACATAAACTTGTTAATTAATAACATGAAATAAAAATCAAAATAGATAAATTTAAATTCATTCCTGCACAATGTGAAAACAAATAAAAAATAATTTAACACAATGAATGTGTCACCAACTATCATCACAGCTTATAAAAACAAATTTGGGTCAGATCACAATATGAAACATATCAAGTAATAGAAAACACCATCAAAGTGCCACTGACTGACGAGAAATAAAACTGACTGCATCGTGAACTGAAGAAAATAGGTAGGAGTCTGAAAAGTCTTCGAAAAATCCACACTTGTTCAAACTCTCGAATACATTCCCTGAAACAGAAGATAACAAATTTAAGAAAGAGAAATCAAGTAAAAAGCTTAGTACAGAATTAATCACTTACAAGAACAATTGGAAAGACATAAAATACGTCCTTGATTCTTCACATCTTTATGTAAAGACAGAAGTGCCTTAACTGCTGATGGATCCACAAAGGATACTGATACCATATCCAAGATCAAACATAAAGGCTGCGAGATATAACAAAAATAAAATTTGAAACAGACACGTGATACATAGTATAATTAAAATAAAAGCTATGGGAAGAAGTACAGTACCTTAGATTGAGTGTTTGGGGATATAATTGTTTGAACAGGAGAAGATGCATTTTGTTTGTCATAAGATGCTTTTTTCTCAATTAGACTTAAAATTTTGTGTTGAAAGTAATCATTGTTTGCAAAATTGAGTCCTCCAGCTATTTGAACGATACGTATTCCAGGTATTTCAACAGCCTGAGGGGAGATCGTGCATAAGACAAGATGTTTGCCAAATTACCATAAAATGTGAGTAGGTAAGGTACAGAATTAACTTACTGAATGGTAACATTTGACATCCAAATAGATTTGTGTTCCTGGTACATTGCCTAAAACTCGCAAGATAGGTTTCTGTCCTCTGATGACCAAAGTTAAAAGTGAAAATGAAACTCCAAGACCCAGCCCATAGTCAATGTCCAAAAGAACAACTCCAAGGAATGATCCCAACCAAACTAGAGCATCTGCATGAGAGTGCCTCCAGGCATGAAACAGGTCTTTTACCTGCATCATCATTCCCTTTAATGCTACAACGACAATAGAGGCCAAAACACACTGGAAAAAGAAGTCTCATTATTGGTAACACAACCACGTAATGCATCATAAAAATGTTGACCAGCAAACTAAGTTTACACTCACATTTGGTAAAGGTTGGAAAAGAGGGCCTACAAAGAGTAGGACAAAAAGAAGAATAAGGCATGAGAAGAAACTTGCTAATTGTGTTTTTCCTCCCACTTTCAGTTGGATCATGCTACGAGATAGTGATGCAGCCGTTGGTACACAGCCAAACATAGATCCAAACAAGTTGGCACATCCCTTTACAAAATTAAAAAGACAAATTAACATAATTGTAAATTGTGATAAGTAGCTCTTGCGTGAAAAACTTCCATGATACACACCCCAGCTAAAAGTTCCTGGTTTGCAGAAACACTGTAATTTCCAGCTTTTCTTGCAAGAATTTTGGCCATGGACATATTGATCGAAAAAGCCACAAGGCAAATGACCAAGCCATCAACAAGGAGGTTTGGAAACAGCCAAAGAGGAGGAAGCTCAGGTAATGGTAATCTGTAAGCAGAAAATAACGTAAAGAAACAGCAGATAACAACACCAAAATTTAAAATAAATCCCAGAATCTTACCCAGTTGAAACATGACCTATTGTTTTGACTTTATATACATGTTCAAAATCTGCCAAATATGAAACTAGTGTTCCAATAATGATGGCAAATAGCTCAATCGGTATTGGAACAGGCAGCTTCTTTTCCACACGAGGCTGCAAAAAGTAAATAGGTATACATAATGCAAAAAAAATAATAGTACCACCTCTTTTCCTTCAAAACTTTTGTACCTTTAACAGCTCATTCCATATGCACAGAATAATAATAGTAACAACAGATATGCCAACAGCTGCTAGATTAGCTTCCAGAATATGGGCAAAAAGATCATAATAAACCTTAAGACCAAAAAGAGAAAAAATAAAATTAATTTTACATTTTTTTCATTTTTTCTTTCAAATGTGTGTTTAAAAGACTACTTACGAAAAGTATTTTCAAGGGCCCTGTTCGACGAGGAAGTTTTAACCCAAAAAATTTGCTTATTTGTGATGTGATGACATGAACTGCAGCACCAGTAGTGAAACCACTAACCAGAGTTTCTGATAAAAGAACACTCAGCACTCCCATTTTGAATATCCCCATCACCACCTTAAACATAATGTAAAAAATGTTCCTTTCTTTAAAAATATGTGTAAAACATTGGAATAAAATTCATAGATTCATGTTTTACGAAATACCTGCCAAAATCCAACAACAAAGCAAACTGCAGCTGCAACTTGAGTTGGAGTTAAACTGGTGTGATTTTCCCCAGTGTCCAGCACGACTGCTGAAGAATTTGACCCAATTCCTAGACTTTCAGTATCGGAGTACATTAATACAGCTTTGCTAGTCATCATGCAAACGACGGAAAAGGTGCCTGGAATGTTCAGTAAGCTTTGCATTATAGGAAATATTTAATCATTATGAGAAGAAAGACACTAGTAATTTTAATTTATCACCAACCAATCGATAAATGTCTTGATGTTCCCATTAGTGTGTAAATGAACACAGGAAAAAAGGCCATATAGATTCCAACAACTGGAGGCACTCCTGCTAGCATGGCATAGGCAATTCCTAAAATTCAAATCCTTATTACTTTCAAAATTACAAGATGACTGATTCAGAGCATTAAAAATCACTTCAATGCATTCACCATGCAATCGTTTTCACCCCAATATTTTTCTTACCATGAGGTATGTGCATGATTGAAACCGTAGTTCCCGAAATCAAATCATAGATAGTATCACTCTTCCATTTGTAGTTGTAAAGCCAGTCCAGTATGGGGAAAAGGGACACAGCTCCCCCGCGGAAGTCGCAGCCTTTCGATGTGCGGGACACGCGCTCAAAAAAACCTGAGCAACAATAAGGAGCGAACTCAATAACTAACAATAATTAAAAACCCTTGAAAAACCAAAATTGGCTAAAATTGGCCTAAATATTGTCATAAAATTGCATGTGGCGGGTGACATCACCTGGCTTTTTGGGCTTGCTGTACAAATACAGCTGGTCGAAATCACTCCTGCGACTCGGCTTGGCCCTGCCCCCGTTGTGGACGCTGTTCCGCACGATGGCGGCCGGCGTCGACAGGCCGTCGCCGACGAGGGCCTCGGACTCCAGCGGGCACCTGGAGGACACAGGGAGGGCCGGTCAGAGACGCATCGGGGTGCGGTGGTCGTCCCCCCCCCCCCCCAGATAGCCGCCTGGAAAGTAGTCAGAAAGCCATACGTTGCCCTCGTGAGGAGGCAAAAGGTGCTACTTTGCCCCTACCCCCAACCGCCTCTGGTCTCTGGATCCGCCACTGCCGGGTGCCGAGTAGGCGACGACTTAGGACTCCCATGACCAGGATGGGCGGGGGAATTTCCCCAGCGGCCTGACGTACGTGCCCTTGCTGACGCTGCCGACGCCTGACAGGCTAGGAGGCAGGGGGGCGCGCTACCGTGCAGGAGGACTCTGACGTACCGCGTACCAAGTTGCCCCCATTCTGATACCACTGCGCGCTGCGCGCTGATAGAGCGGGTCGCGGGGCGGGATTGCATTGTGTCCATCCAGTGTCATTGTGCCTGAAGGAGGAAGGCGGCCTGGCCGTCTGGCTGCACTGGACGCGCTTCGCCGCTTCGCCGCTTCGCCACCGCAAAGTTCCTGGTCGAGTCCATGACTCATCCCGGAGGGTGGTGTGGCGGTGGCGCGACCGTGCAGCTTCACGCCTCAAGGCGCTCCACCCAGAACCCCCGAATTACAGTGTGGGGGTCACTTGCCGGCCGCTGCTGGCTAGGCTGGGATAGGCTGGCCGTATCGCAGGGCTTTACTTGCACTAATCAGCGATCCTGGCGCGATAAAACGATATGGCTACGCGGAAAAAGCGGGGGGGGGGGGGGATTGCGTGCCTCGTGCTTCCGGCTGTCTGGTAAAAGGCAAAGGCACCAGGTAGGTGGTGTGGGGTGGTGTGGCCGTTCGCGACACCCCGAGTCAGCACCGCAGCACTGCACTGTGTGCAGTGACGTTGCATCCGCGTGATGTCACGAGGGCCCGTCGGGCTGTCGACAGCCCGCCGAGGCCCGTCTAGCTCGTCAAGCACACTGTGGGATCGCGAATCGCGAGCACAGCGTCATCTGAGCGGGCACTCGCTGACCGCCAGACTGATTCTGAGACGAGTTTTCGTCGCCGTCTCTCTCGCACCTATACGGGACGCCGCACGAGTGCGAGGGAGACACAGCGACGAACCCACTCTCGGAATGTCTGCAGCTGCCCTCCGCCACGCCACGCCAAGCCACGAGCTGCGGCTGTCACAGCAAAATGTGCCAATCATGATCTAGGAACGGCTTTTCAGTTTCGGTTCCTCCACTCGACTAAAGCACGCCACGCCACGCTGCGGCCCGCGGCCACGGCCCCCTGACTCGAGTACTGCCTAATTCCCCTCGTTGAGACTAGGAGACAAGGGCGACATTGAAAAGGGAAGGCCACCCACCACACCGTAGGCACACAGGCCGCCGAGGTGGACGTGCGGTGCGTGCGCCGCCAATCACCGACGTGCTAATATTTTCCTTCCCCCTCCCTCCTCCTCCTTCCACGCCGGGAATTCCCACAGCAGACGCGCCGCGCAGCAGCCGGACCCCCGCGGCCGCGGTCCTGGCGCCTCCACGGCAAAGGTACACATCGGCGCTATCGGCGCGGAGTGGCGCCGCGTGGCGCCGCGGACCCGTGGAGGCCGGCGAGAGCGAAAACGAATTGCAGGACGACACGAGCGGAGCGGAGCGGAGCGGCGGTGGCGGTCAAACCGCCGGGCCTAGCCAGGCGCCAGCCACGGCCAGGGCCACAGCAGACCCAATCTCTCGTGGGTCCCATGGGGCGGGGCGGTCACGCACTGATCGTTAAACGCTGAGCCCAAACAACGACTTCATCGTCCACCCAGGGGAAGACCTCGTCATGCTTTCGTTTAATTGCTGGACCCTCTCGAAGGACTGGCCATGGGGATCGTCTCACACTCACACACACATGTTAGCAACAGGCCATCGATAATACTCGATAAGGGGGGCCATACGCGTGCCGCATGGCGCTCAAGAAAAGACACGGACACTTTCGTAATTGGTACACTCGCAGATGCTGACCGTCCAACATGAATCAATGGGGAAGGCGGCCACCTTACAGGATGTCGGTTCAAAACATGACAAGTGCACAGGGGATTACAGCTAGGTTATGTTTTCGAAGGCCATTCGCAGGCATCTATGGCAAGGCGTTCGCGGTCATAACAGGGGTTGAAAACTTGAATTTAGTAGAATATCAACGAAAAATACTTACTCGTTCTTATTTCCTTCATCCATGGTTCAGCAATATGTCAGTTTGTCAGTGGCTTTGATGAGTGACAGTGCCAGTATTCAGCCGCGCTCTCAGAAAAAGGGTGCGAGTAACGTAGCAGTTATTACATTTGTAGTAAGGACACGAAAATCTAGTAGTCAGGGAATGTCACCACACGGCATGTTCAACCCGGTTCCGATACCGAGTCATACTGAATCGTAAACCGCGCGGGCGCCCCTGGCGCCCTTGCCAGCGCCAGCTGAGCGGCTAGAGATGACGAACTGAGACGGCGACTTCGTACCAGGGATGCCATATCTGGGACGTGATTGGCTGGTTGGCTGCGAACATTTCTGCTAGTAAAAGGGTAGAAGTGCGAATCCTTTCGGCAAAGAAGCTTGAGTATAATTTTAAAATTCTTGAGAGGAACTCTTTATAATCTGTCGCTCTTACGTGGAGCTTCTGGCGCATTTTGTTTTGCCAGCGAATCCGAGTCAAGGGGGGAGTAGTGGGGAGAGTCCCGCCTCTCCTGTAGGTACTCTTCCGCGCTGAATTTTGCCGCCAAAAACATCTGACTCGACTCGTCCGAGCTGTTGCTTGTCCCATTGTTTTCATTTTGATTATGATGTCCGTTTTTAGCATTTATTATGTGTAGTTACCTATCTGCTTCTCTTTTACGCACTTGACCCAAGAAATCACCTGTGTTTCCACAATGAGTGATTCAATCGGTAAGTTCAGTGATTTTATCAAATGATTTATCTCATGTGTAAACGCCGATCTTGCTTTTTATTGTTTCACCTTTAATTTGAATGCATAATTAACTTAGTTAACATAGTTAATTTATCATCAATGCGTGACTGTCAATCGTAAATTGGAATGGATTTACTTGGTAAAAATCTATCACTGCAATGTCTTTAGGTTATAAGTGCAGTGTACCCATGTTCAGTCCCAGGTTCAAATCTAGAAGCTGCCCCTTCCTTCACTAATTTCTCAACAATTTTTAACAATTGTCTATGTCTCTTCAGATTCCCCCCTGTGTGATTGCCATTGTCAAATGTCTTTCTCCTGTTTGCGTTTGTTCTAGCATCAGGCAGGCAGAAACGCCAGAAGTTAGATAAGCATGGGAAGTTTGCAGCTCTTCAAAGACTGAAAGAATTGAAAGGCAGCAAGAACAAGTATGAAGTGTCAGATGTGGACCGAGTTTATGAAGAAGTCGATGAAAAAGAGTACGGCAGGAAAGTGCTAGAGCGTGCAGATGATTGGATCGTTGATGATGGTAGGTCTATGGTTTAGTATTTTTTGCAAAATTTGGCTTTGACTTCTCCTAAATGCTTTCGTTCTAAATTTCAGATGGAAGTGGCTATGTTGAAGATGGCAGAGACATCTTTGATGATGATTTGGATGAGGAATCAATATCTAAAACTTCAAAGAGCAAATCTGCATCTTCAAAGAAAGGGAAGTCATCTGAACACAATGAGAACAAGGGATCTTCCAGCATTCGTAATATGCTCATGAACATGCCTGTGAAGAAAAAGGAATCCAACGTTAAATTAGAAGATGATGATGTCCTGGGGGACATCATGTCTGAACTTAACTGTGATGGAAACTTGAACACATCATCCTCAAGTGGTATTGTGGAAGTATCAGCAAGTGACTATTTGAAATCTTTTAAGAAGAGTGTCAAGATTCCAAAAGCAGAACCTCCACCTCCAAAGCCTAAACCAGAAGTTGCCAAACCTCCAGTGGTGATAAAGCCGATCGTTAAACAAGAAGAAATCGTGGTTGTTAAAAGTGAACCCATGAGTCCTGAGAAGATGGAAGTGGTTGCAGAATCTCAACGCATTGATGATTTTGATTCCAACGATGGCTTTCCTACTGATATTCCTGAGTGCAATGCCATTTCAGCTGCTAATGATGTCAACTGGGACATTGAAGATTTTGACTCACAGGATATCAACAAAGCTGTTTCATTTGTTAGTTCTTCTTCACATGAAAAGGTTGACTTAAAAGCCAAAATTAAGGAAGAGCCAAATCTTACTGATAATTTAAAACAGGGGCCGTCCGAGTTAGATTCTAAAAGTGAATCTGGGTTTACAGAAGAACAATTGATTTGGGCAGCCATGCAAGCAGATACTGAGAATTCTGCTGTACCTGTGGATGTTAATTTAGATCTATCTAAATTGCCTCTTGTAACGAACGAGAAAGGTGAACAAGTTCTTCGCCTCTTTTGGTTGGATGCCTATGAAGATCCTTTCCGGCAGCCTGGAACTGTGTACTTGTTTGGTAAAGTCTGGATTGAATCGGCCAAATCCCATGTCAGCTGCTGTGTGTGTGTCAAAAATATTGAGAGGAGGATCTACATTTTGCCACGCGAAGAGCAAGTGGATTTAACTACCAAAGCTGCAACGGGCAAATCTGTCTCTCTCATGGATGTGTACAATGAATTTAATAACAATGTTGCTAAGAAATTCAAGATAACCCAGTTTAAGTCAAAGAAAGTGACAAAAAATTATGCCTTTAATCTGCCAGATGTGCCTCTATCATCTGAATACTTAGAGGTGAAGTATCCTGCGTCATGTGGTGCATTGCCAAGCAATTTGGAAGGTTCTACTTTCAGTCGGATCTTTGGCACCAACACAAACAGCCTTGAGTTACTTTTAATTGAACGGCGCATTAAAGGCCCATGTTGGTTGGATCTACATGCCCCCGAGCCTGTGAAGAACTCAGTGAGCTGGTGCAAGATTGAAGCCAGTCTCTCAAAACCTGAACATGTCACAATCTACTCAGGCAAGCCTATACCACCACCACCTATAGTGGTGGCCTCACTCAACATGAGAACTGTAGTTAATCCAAAAACCCATCAAAGTGAGATTGTTATGCTTGGGTGTCTTGTCCACCACCAGTTCCATTTGGACCGTCCAGCACCAAATCCTCCCTTTCAACAACATTTTTGTGGTATAAAAATTGATCACTACCTTAATGTGTTTGTTATTTCTATTTTGTTGTTTCTTGCTCCAGTTTGGAATTTTTGTTCACAGCTTTTACTAAGCCTTGTGACATGCCATGGCCCCTTGATCACAGGGAAGCTGCTACACGCTTCTCAGGTACCAAGACAGAGAAGGTTGATACTGAAAGAGCTTTGCTTGGATTTTTCCTTGCAAAACTGTTCAAGCTGGATCCTGACCTATTGGTGGGCCATGATATTTCTGGCTTTGACTTGGAAGTACTCATGCACCGTATATTTGTGAACAAAGTGCCCAATTGGTCAAGAATGGGGCGCCTGAAAAGGGCCAATCCACCACAAATGAAGGTATTCATTACATTTCTCAATTTCTCAGTTCCTGCCAATTCACTTTAAAAGTGCAACAATAAAAATACGTTTTATATTTTTCCTCTCTTAGGGTCGGATACAGCTAGAAAGGAATCCAGTGTGTGGAAGACTTGTGTGTGATGTTAAAATTTCTGCCAAAGAGTTAATCAGATGCCGAAGCTATGATCTTAGTGCTTTGTGTGAGACTGTGAGTCATTTAATACTTCATTCATAATTCTACTCCTGAATTAAGTCATGCATTAATATATTTTTTCTTTCCTCACACTATATTAGGTATTAAAATTGAAAGAAGATGAACGCCAAGATGTTCCAGCTGATGAGATTCGTAAATATTTTATGTAAGTCACCAAATTAAGTCTTGCTTTCAAACTTTGGTTGTAACTTTTTAAATTATGCATCATAGTAGGAGTGTTCCCCATTTTACTTATTGTTTTGTTTTTGTTGTAGAAACTCACGAGACATGTACACTCTCATCACTCGAACTATGCAAGATGCTGTGTACACTATTCGCCTCATGTGTGAGCTTAATGTTTTGCCACTGGCAATGCAGATCACCAATATTGCTGGTAAGGATCTCAACAGTAGTTACAATTTAATAGATTTTTCTCCCTTTTAACTTGCAGCAAGTATAAAACTTTATCTTTTATCCTAGGAAATCTTTTGTCACGGACTCTTATGGGTGGAAGGTCAGAACGCAATGAATATCTCCTTTTACATGCATTTACTGAAAAAGAATATATAGTTCCAGATAAGGAGTACAAGAAAACTGGCAAGGTAGACATCTGTTGTCATATTGTTAATTTGTGTTTTTAATAATGGAACAAATTCAATCCAGCGATATTAATGTAGACATTATTTTGTCTTTATCAGCAAGTCCAGGAAGCAGACATTGAAGATTTGGATGAAACTGGTGCTGAAGGAGGGAACCGCACTAAAAAGCAAGGTACCTCCAGTAGAAGGAAGCCAGCTTATTCTGGAGGCTTGGTGTTGGACCCCAAGAAAGGATTCTATGACAAACTCATTTTATTAATGGACTTCAATTCTCTGTATCCATCAATTATCCAAGAGTACAATATATGCTTTACTACAGTAAATGTTGCACAGAAGCTTGATGTAAGTTATCAATTTATCATAGTTAATTTTAGCTTACCAGAAAATAGTATCACTGTTGACTCACATTCAATCTATTTTACCTTCAAGGATGATGTTGAGCCAGATCTTCCTCAGTCCAATCTTGAACCAGGAATTCTGCCTACTGAAATCAGGAAACTTGTTGAAAGCAGAAGAGAAGTTAAAAAACTCATGAAAAACCCAGACCTATCTCATGAACTACGAATGCAGGTAAGGTCTTATTTAACTTGGTAAAAGAATCAATCCTGAGTGAGTTTTTGTAGTGTTAAGTATGGTCTTTTGATGTTGCAGTATAATATTCGTCAAACTGCTCTGAAATTAACTGCCAACAGTATGTATGGGTGCTTGGGATTTTCTTTCTCAAGGTTCTATGCCAAACCGCTTGCTGCATTAGTTACTGGTGAGCATTTTAATGTAACTTTTGATTGAACCTCATCAACTATATACATCAACACATTTTTGTGAACTTTTTTTAATATTACTAGCCAAGGGCCGGGAAATTTTAATCAATACAAGAGACCTTGTCCAGAAACTGAACTATGATGTGATATATGGAGATACTGATTCTATTATGATCAATACTAACTGTCTGGATTATTCAGAAGTTTTCAAAATTGGTCACAAGGTTAGTGCCACATTTTCTGTTCCTATTTACTTAAGTGTTTTAGTTCTGTATTAAAATTGCCATTAGATTCTTCAATCAAGCCTGATCCTCGCCCAATTTGTTGCAGATTAAAGCTGAGGTCAACAAACTCTATCGGCAAGTTGAACTTGATGTTGATGGTGTATTCAAGTATATGCTCTTGCTCAAGAAGAAAAAATATGCTGCTGTGACCATTAGCCAGTTACCAAATGGTGATTTTGTGACCTCCCAAGAGCTCAAAGGTTTGGATATTGTCCGACGTGATTGGTCTCAAATTTCAGCAGAAGCAGGAAAGTACGTAACTAGTGTAGCTGAAGAGTCTGATTTGGTTTACTTTAATTTTAAAGTCCCTTGTTTCACAGATAAATTATATTTTTGCCTTTCCTTCCTCCTCTTAGGTTTATTCTGTCTCAAATATTGTCCGATATGCCTCCTGATGACAGAATAGAAGCAATACATGCTCACCTTGTTCGATTACGTGAAGACCTCGAAGAGGGGAAAGTTCCCATTCAACTCCTTGCTATTACCAAACAGCTCACCAAAGACCCTGTTGACTATGTCGACTGCAAGCATCAGCCTCATGTGTTGGTAGCAATGCGCTTGAATTCTCGAGGGGGCAAGCGTATTAAACAGGGAGATACTGTCTCATACGTGATTTGTGAGGTAAGTCTTTCACTGACAGTCACCATTTAAATTAATAACTGCAAGCTCAAACAATTAATAATAACAAAAAAATTACTTGATTTTTAGGATGGCTCCAATTTGAGCGCAATTCAACGTGCCTACCACATTGATGAACTAAAGGGCAGCAGCAACCTGAAAGTGGATATTAAGTACTATTTATCACAACAAATCCATCCTGTTGTGTCAAGGCTGTGTGACCCTATAGACGGTACAGATGCTGCTCGCATTGCAGAATGTCTGGGTCTTGATCCAACTTCATATAGACGCCAGTTACAAAGGGCAGAAGAAAACGAGGATGCAATGTTTGGAGAGAGGGCTATTCTAGATGCTCGGGAGCGTTTCCGGGATTGTGAGAAGTTTAAGTTCTCTTGCACTAAATGCAATAAGGAAATTGTTATTGATTCACCTTACCGCAAAACAGTAAGTATATAAATTTTACTTCACTTAAGCTTCCAGTCTGGAAGAGTGGTTAAATATGTGTACCTTTTTCTGTCTAATAACGAAATAAAATTTCAGGAGCTTGGTGAATATCAACTTGTCTTAGAAAAATGTACCAATGCAGAATGTGATCAATCACCCATGCAGCATTTGGCACCCATTCAAAATGCTCTCACACTAGCAATGCGGGCTTATATTCAACGCTATTATGCTGTAAGGCTTATTTTTATTTTCATTACTCAAGCAACATATCATTTTTACTTGTAATTTGGCCTAATGTTATTTTATTTACAGTGTTGGCTGATCTGTGAGGATCCTGCATGTACTCAAAGAACAAGACGTCTCCCTCTTCGGTTTCAAAGCAACTACCCTATTTGCAATTTGTGTGAGAAAGGGGTGATGTTCAAAGAGGTATGCACTCTAGTTGAAAGTGAAGTCAAATGCAAAATGTCCTGAATTAAATATGATTTTAGCAACTCATTTATGTGCATTTTCTTTTGCAGTACACAGACACTGAACTGTATAATCAGTTGAGCTACTTTCAGCACATCTTTGACTTGTCAAAAATACCCACCAATGACAAGAGTTTGTGTTGCTGTAACCTATATTTGCTCTTTTCATTCATCCTTGCGTCTTATTTCATCTGTTTTATTCTTTCTATTTGTGATTCCAGAGCATCTCAAAATATCAGTGGAAACAGACACAGCTTATTATAAGCTGAAGGATCATGCTGAGCACTTCCTGAAGCACAGCGCCTATTCTGTGGTCAACATGGGCCGCATGTTTGAAGGAATGTATATGACTGGCCCACCCTCCAAAACCAATATGCATATTAAGCAAGAGATTAAACAGGAACCGCTTTGATTTTGTAAACTATATATGATATGTTGATATGTATTTGCTTATTTTTTTATTTTCATGTGCACAAAGTGCATGTAGTTCTTTTAAAACCACAGCCCTTATGTTTTATTTGAGTTTTATTTGAAGAGGTACATATTTTTGTACATATTATTTTTTATATAATGTAAGGTCCAAATTCTCCCTATTTTATGACATTTTTATTTGCTGTTTGTAAAATACATTTTTGTGTCCAAATTGTCATTGGTTTTTAGTGTGTAAATAACTTCACTGTTCTACTTCTCAGCAGTCTTAATAAAATCTTTTTTCTTGTTTTAAATTTTTCCTTAAACTAAGTTCCAGTTCTTTCTTTCAAAAGTTCCCCTCTTAAAAGTTACCCATTATCACAGAATAGCAGTCGTCCACTCTAGGGGTGGCGTTGGCGTCACGACAGCACGTTGTTCTCGGAGGACGCTTCTGAGCCGTTGCCGTTCGTGCCCGTCGAGGCCGAGGCCGAGGCTCTGCCCAGGTCCAGGAGGGAGGTGAATTCCTTTGGCACGGCGCAGCGCGAAAACCTGCGCATGCAGTGGTCGGAGTCTTCCTCGCCCGACGCGGCGTCTTGCAGTTTGGTGCCAGATACCCATTCCAAGACCATGGGACTCCTACAACAAAAAAAAGTCTTTTGATATATCTTCTCTTTGGCATCGAGATTTGTGACACTCTACACTTACTTGGCGAGACCGTGCAGCACCAGGTCCATGGAGGCCGCGCCGCCGCCGCCCCGGCGGACCCTCTCCGCCGCCCCCGCCAGCGCGGTGCACAGCGCCCGGCCGCCGCAGCTCCATGCGTCCACCCCCCGTCGAGCCAGCGCCGCCTCCGCCGCCTCCAGCAGGTGGGTCGCCTCTTGCAGCAGCCCCTCGGGGGCCGTCTCCGATGCGGCTGTGGGTCAAGGTCAAGCAAGGGCGAAATAGCGACTGGCTCCTTGGCGAAGCACCAAGCAGGCCGCCCAGAGTCATCCTTCCGGCCTGCAGCACCGCGGCCAACGTCCGCGTCACCTGCCAACACCGCACGCCGCACGGAACGCAGTCCCCGTGACACGGTTGCAGGATGCGCTGCGGATGCTGGCGCCGGCGCTAGAGTCCTCGAGCCCAGCCGCTACTCCAATACAACACCCCGACTACTCACAGCGGGCGTGCAGCGTGTGGGCCGGCTTGGGCTTGGCGAGGGCGTGGTAGACGGCGGGCACGATGCCCATGACGGTGAGCAGCATGGAGCCCGCCACGAAGAGCGCGCCCACGTTGACGTCGATGGGCTCCTTGAACACTGGCCCGGCCATCCCAGGGCCGGCCGCGCCCGCCGAGCCCGTCCGCGCGCCCTGCAGCGGCACCTTCAGCAGCGGCACTGTGAACCCCAACTCCACCTGCAAGCAGGGCCCTGGGTTCAAACGCCGCCTCTGAAGTCTCTTTGAAGTCTAAGGCAGTCTGCTTAGCTCACCCCTATCTGACTGCTATCGGTGCTGAAGGAGATGAGCCTGGGGCGGCCGGGCTTCCCCGACGCCGCGTCCAGGCTGAGCCTTCTCTCCGCCCTGGGCTTCGACGGCAGGGGCTCTGTCCGGAGGGACAAGCCGACGTTCCTGCGGGACAAGGGCACCACTTAGAGGGGCTGCACTTAGAGGGACGGGCACGCCAACAATTCCACCGAAGCGTAGCAGCGTAGCATTGCCTTACCCGGCGCCGACCCGGCTCACTCCCAACAGCAGAGTTGCGCCCAGGCAGAGAAGCGGCAGCCCCGAGGGAAGCCCCATCGCGACGATCTTCATCTGCAACAGCACGCGTCGATGTCAGCGTTTCGTCGCTGTGTCTCTCTCGCACCCCGACGGTACGCCCGCCGAGTGCGAGAGAGACAAAGCGATGCGTGTGGCACTCGCACTCACTCACCTTGGCGCTGTGGGCGGAACTCGTGGGAGGGCAATCCGCGACCTGCGCTGGGCAGAACTCGACTGGGCGAGCCAAGGCGAGAATCCCCGCGACACGGCGACACGTCCGCCGCGCCGCCGCGCCGCCGCCCACCCCACCGCTCCCATCCGTCTCCATCCCACCCGCGGGCCGCGACAGGCCGGCCAGGCGACGACAGTCCTCGGCCCTCGCCGAAAGGAGGGAATTGGGCTGCCTTCGACGCCTCAGCCTACCACCCCACCCCTTGCCCGCCCCGCCACGCTGCGCGCGCTGCGCAGACACACGCCATGCGTTTCCGGCCCGCTGGGCTTTCGCTCCGAGTTTCCGCGTTTCCGGGTTACCTTCCCGCTCCCGCGCGTTCAAGTCCTCGCACTCTCCGCGTCACTGTCCCTTTCTTCCGGCCTGGCGTCGCTCGGGCGTCGCTCGGGCGTCGCCTGGAGGACCGACTCCGAGAGTCGTTTATTTTCGTCGCCGTCTCTCTTGGACTCCCACGGGGCGTCCGATGAGTAAGACAGAGGCAGAGCGGCGAAACGGTCTTTCAAAATGGCCCGGCCCTTTGAACCGCTGGCTTCCGCTCGTGACTCGCAAACGCGCTGCGGGTGTGTGAAACGCGGCGCGAGGCGCGAGCGGCCGCCGCCGAAGCGCCTGTGAATGCGAGGGTAGGCCAACCGCCACACTGGCGCGCTCGACTGGCGTGTCTACCCAAGCAGAACGAGGGGCTCGCTCTCTCCCTCTCGCTGCCTCCGTGCATGGCGGCGGGGTTCCTTTCAACCCCAGCAAGCAAATCATGCACCTGTCTCATTCCGAAGAGAGCCTCTCCGCCTTGTCTCTCTCGCACCCCAACGGGGCGCCCCACGAGTGCGAGAGAGACAAGGCGACGGGAGCGCTGTTCAGAACCAGCCTGTGCTGGTCTCCAGCTAATTGTCTTTGCGCGGACTACTTGTCCCTACCACGTCGCCACGCCGCTCTGCGCAGCACTCTCTCTGCAGCCGCAGCCGAGTGCACCACTGTAAGTGGAGTGTACCTGCAGGTCGTCCTCCCCAGCCGAGTGCACCACTGTAGGTACAGTGTACCTGCAGGTCGTCCTCAGGGAGCCAAGTCAACATTGATGGAACTTGGCGGTCCAGGCACCTCCTGTCAATCACCTCTTTGCGTTCTCGTCGTTCTGCCCTTCCGGCCGACTCGGCCAGCTCCCCGTCCGTCGCGTCTTGTCGGCGTGCTGCGCTAACGGCGACGACATGCTTCCGGTTTCGTCACGCGCCTGCTCGGTCCTGGAGTCCTGGACGGCGGCGGCATGGCGGCGGCCCGACGGCGGAGGCTGGGGCAGGACTCGGCCAGGACGCCGCCGTCAAACAGGCGTGACACTCGCGGACAGCAGCCTCGGCGGCAGTGCACGGCAGTGCGTCGAGGAAGGCGGAGGGTGTGCGAGAACTTACGCCACTGCTGGAGAAAACGCCCCCCTCGGGGAAGGGGCGGGGAGCCGCGGGGCACAGCGGGGCGTGATGTCATCTCCGCGCTAGGAAAGCCTCAACAAAGTGCCGCACCAAACAATGCGACAATACTGGGGCTGCCGTGCGCGCCGCGCGACGCGTGCGACGCACGACACCATGGCGCGGCGGGGCTGTCGGCACGCGTGACGACACTCGCCCCTCCCGACGCCCCCGCGCAAGCCCCCGCGGCCTGCCGCGTCCGCTACACTATATAGCGAGGTCCAGGCGGCGCAGACCGCAGTGAGTGCCCGTGCCGTGTGCTAAGTAACAACAAGCCCACGCCACGTCCCCGCCAAGTAAGTCGTGGTGGTGGCGGTGGTGCAGCAGCCCATTGGATTACCTCACCGCCCTCGGCGCCCAGCAGTGCAAGTGTGTGGTGCTGACGCACAGTGACCTCTTCCCAGGATGTCGCCGCTCCGTTGCTGCCCCGTGCTGTGCGCGCTGGTTGTGGCCGTCGTCCTGCCAGCCGCCCTCGCCGTGCCCAAGAAGTACGAGTCGGGGTGAGTCCGGGGCCGAGTGCCTGCCACGCGGCGCGTTGGCGCTTGTTGGCGCTCAGTAATGCAACATGATTGCAGCGGTTTCCTGCCCAGCCCCGTGAGCTACTACCAACAGTCGGGTGACCAGCTGGCCATGGAGTCCGCAGACCAGGTTCCCGCCGCCAGCGACGCTTCCCCCGCGACGCCCGCCCCCAATGCTGCGGGCCCCGCGGGTCGGTCCGCGGACCAGGACGCTGCCGGCACCGAGGGCAAGGAGCCCCGGTTCGGCTTCGTCGGCTACAGCGCCAACGGCGTGCAGGTGAGACCCGCTGGTTCGAATACCCGTAGCGGTCACTTTTGTTACTTACCGCGGCCTTACCCGTGTTCCCGTCTCTCTCGAGGTTCAGGACCCTACCTACGGCACCGCGGCCGGCCCGTACGGCGCGCTGCGCCTGGACCTCGGCGGGGTGCTCCTCGGCGCCCTCATCGGCCTCGGCGCCTCGCTCGTGCTGCCCAAGCTCCTCCACGGCCTGGCCGCGCACCCCCACGACGGCTACAAGCGAAGTGAGTGACCGCGACCCCCCTCTCTAGGCTCACTGGACGACGGCGCTACGCTATCTGTTCTGTTCGCAGAGGCCTTCGGCTCGGCCTTCGGCCACGATCAAGATCCCCATGGTCCCCATGGTCACGGTGGTCACGGTGCTCTCGGGCCGCGCTCTCATGTTGCAGGCGAGGTGGACGGCGACGGCGTCATGGCCAGCTTCAGCCACATCCTGAGCCGCGTGGACACGGCGCTGGCCGAGCAGAACATCGACTCGACGGCGTGCCTGCAGCGCGCCGTGTGCACCTACGTGCAGTCGTCGGCGACGCGCTCCGCCACGGGGGAGGCTAGCGGGGTGGAGTCCTTGGTCGACACCGCGGCCAAGTAAGTGGATGTCGGTTCGGTTTGGCACTCTCACGCTCGCCTTGGCAGCGCCGGTCTCTGAATGTGGCACTCTCCGTCGTCAGGAACTCTCTGGTCGGCTACATGCTGGAGGGCTCGAGCTTCAAGCAGGCGGTCGACACCGGCAGGAAGGGCGGCAACTGCTCCAAGGTCTACTACAAGTGCCCTGTGAACAAGGACAGCCTAGCAGCTGGAATCAAGAGCATCATCTCTGCAGCGGCGTAGACCAGGAAGGCTTTTCAAAGTAATGCAACATGAGAACAAATTTGCGAATCTTTCCCCAAGCAAGAACAGGGATTTCAGACCTTATTGGAGTTAAATAACGAAGGCAGTCTGAGATTTTAGTTTTGAAAAACTCAGAATGTTGCGTTTCAATGGGACCCTTTCAAATAACTTTCTTTGTTTTTCAAAACTAAATTATGGCTGATTGTGAGCATTAAGGATTCTGGAATAAAGTAAAATATTCTAAGTTGCTAAATGTAATTCAAGTCATATCATATAACAAGATCATCCCATCTGATAAAAGTCCCGTGTCATAGGAAATAAAAATGACCTGGGAGGAAAAATAGAACAGTACATTTTATGAGCATAGCCATACTACAAACAGTCTTCTACTATTATCACTAAGTTTAAAAAATATAGGCCTTGCCTATGCCTCAGATATGAGAGAAACTTGGCAGTCATACTAACTGAGACTAAGTTAATAAATATAACTTGGTAGTACAAATACAGTACTATGTACATAAGAATCACTTACAAAAGACTGCTTTACCACCAAATGTGATAAATTGCCATGTTGACCAAAAAAGGAGGGTCAAGCAAAGCACCTGGCTTTCTGTACAGCATTTTCAGTAACACTGAAAACAGGGATTGCAAAGTTGCTCCTGATTCTCTCATAACTGAAGCAAAGAGAGGACGATATCAACAAATATGGAACCCTCCTGTCTGACAAGGGAAATACTGTTGGTAATAATGCACTACCAAAATAAGGGCAATAGGTTAGCCAGCAAGTACAGTAATGACATGACAGAATGTACAAGCTCTCCATTTTGTTTTGCAAATAAAACAAAATCAAGATTCAACCATATAGTTCCATAAAATGCATAACATGGGTACATGGTGGTTATAACATCACAACATGGTTAAAATACAATGTCTGTAAGATCTATAGGGGGTTTTGAGGACAGCTGCCTGTGGAAGAATCTTCATTCAACGGACATCATTCTCATAATGTTTAAAATTTCTTTTAAAACAAAAGCTGCATAGAATCATAACAAGAAAAAGGGAATCTAACTTAAGTACAAATTAAAATGACACAACCTGAAAACTCAAGGAAAACACTTGAGAGAATGAAAAGAAAACATCTGACAATTATCAATTAACATGGAGAAAAAGTCCTTACATTAACGGAAAGGTTTAAAAATACATGACACAAAAAAAAATCACAACAAGGAAAAATAAAACAACCTAACAGTCAGTTTTTGAAGACAGAATAATCTCCAGTCCATGGGCTAGTTCATCAAACCAGCAGCAACAGGGCAAGACACAAAAATATTTTCAAAAAAGGAAAATAATCATGGGTACATGGTACAGTTGAAATTCATTAGCAGTAATTACAGGGATACATAAATATGTAAATCAATCAGTAATAATTCATGGTTATACTATGTAAAAGCCTATGGTGTAACACTTGGGTAAATACAATACATCAAAAGCTTCCAAGGTTAAAATGTAAAGTTCTCAAGTTAAAATCATTATGGGTATGTTGAAATCATAACATATGTTAACAGAAAACAAAACAAAACACATGTATCAAAACATGCAAAACCAGATTTGCCCATGTCAATTAATAAAAAATATCAACACCATGTTGATAAGATATCGCATGCATCTTGGCACATCATTCTAAAAACTGCCAATACCGCACACTCAACTTCTGTAAAACAAACAAAAAGAAGAATTAATGTACAGGACGAAAAGAACGTTGTCAAGGTTTAATAGATTTCGCTTTAGAGAATACATACTTTCAGCTGCGTTGCTGCTCAGTTCAAAAGGTTCTTGTACAATTACAGGATTCAGGCAATTTATCTTTGGTATTTTGTCTCCTCTTTTCAAAGAAAGCAAGTATGAGTTCAGAGGCTCAACAGTAGGGATGGATATTTCATAAGGAGGAGAGAACATGGCACGTTTTAGTTTGGGACCAAGAAGTGAAATGATCTCTTCTTCAAAGTCAAAGTGATAATAGAAGGCACAAAATTCTTTTAGAAGATTTTCCACTGATGAGTGGTTTGAACTAGGGAAGGTGAAATCTTTTGGAAAACCACAATTGAAGCCTGTCAAGGGAAAAAAGAAAAACAGAAAGAATGTTTTACTTACACTTCACCCAACACTGCACTAACATAACAAGACTTCAATGTTATTCAAATTTACCTCCGATAAAAATGTTCTCATATGGAAGTGAAGAACGAAGTTCTTCAAGTGTAGGCAGAACTGGTTCAGAGGTTCTTTGCAAGAACATTATTACCATGATATTTAAGACATGTGATGTAAACTGCTTACTGAAGTCCTGATAACGATAAACCATATCAGTCACCAACAGCATGAGCAGCCTCAGTCGCTTATCAATTTTCAAATATGACCTGGAAAGGACAATTTTAATTTTATAGTAAAACACAAGAAAAATTTTATCGGCATGGATAGATAGATAATAAAAACGTTTTATGTTGAAATGCATACTTAAACAGCAAGGTGTTTTGGTCTTTGAATCCATTAGCAAACGACACAACGGAATTCATACGAGTTTCACTGTGCATAAATGTGACAAGTTCCTGCACATCCCAGTCTTGAACATTTTCACAGTGCCCACAATTCTTCAGTGTTTCATAAACAATTTTTCGGGTTTTTGTTTGAACATCTTTGTTTTCATGAGTTGCTTGGAAATAACTGCAACCTGTAAAATGAAATAAATGACAAAATTTAATTTATTGATTTAAATAAAGCACAATACAGTTTTGTAAAGGCAGATTACAAACCATCTGGGTCAAAAAACATGTAAATGGCAGTATTGGGATGTGCCATCCCTAACAGACGTGTTGCATAAGGTGTCACACAACAGTCAGGATATAATGCTGACATTTCTTGTTTCAAATGTTCACATGCCTGCTCTTGCCTTCTGAAGTCTTCAACTTGCACCTTCATGGTTTTGCCATCTAATTCGTTCATTGCTTCGTAAAGGCTTCGCTTGGAGCCTAGCATAGCCATCAAAGATTTCCTTCCTGGCCCTGCAATTTTGTAAAATTTATCAATTCATTCACTTAGGCTGAATCTTGTTTCATTTTTTGAGGAGATACAGGAAAGGAATAGTTTCACAGTTTCCGACATACAACTAACCTGTGGACTCTACTCCTGGATCAACTTTGCGTTTAGATCCACTCATGCTGGAGTGCCCTTGGTCTTTGCTGTAATTTGCACCTGCAATAAACAAGCTCAATCAGTAAATTAATGGAATCTATTCTAAAAGTCAATTAAAAAAAAAAAAGACAAAAAAAAAAAAAAATATTTAAAATTACATTCTTTCCTCCAAGAGTTGAGACCATTGTTTTGACTTGGCCTTGAACTTGAGGCACCTGAAAAGATACAACAACATTAACTTGAAGTATGTTTTTGATTAACTAAATTGATACAATAAAAAAATACTCTGAAATAAAAACTATTACCACAGTGGCTTCTTCCTGACTGATGACTGACACTTGCTGCTGTAACAGTGTCACGGCTTATCTCCATGGATCCAAATTTAGGAGTTAAGTTGTCAACGGCTGCAACAATGTCATGCATGCACAATGTCATAAATTCTAACAACTCTATTGCTACTTCTTTGCACAGTATGTGTACGATTGCTTAGGGAAAATACCTTGAAGAGTTGGAGTGTAGTTTAAATCCTTCTTCACGCAAAAATGAGGCATAAAACTATTGACTGGTTCTTTCCTTAGTTGTTGGTTGCTTTCAAATTGGGTCGGTGGCTTATTGACCTCCCAAGCATTTGGTTGTCTCCAATTGCTCTACAATTATAAAGAAAAGTAAAATGGATATATTTTCAGTCCAGAAAACTTTTAAACTTTTAGTTGTTAGGTAGCACAGCAAGGTAACAACTTACATTTTGAAATGTTCTACTTCTGATGTAGACATCTCTTTCCCGCCCTCGATCGTCACTGTAACGATCACTGTAACGATCCCGGTCCCTGTCACCAAAACTATCCCGTCCACGGTCAAGCTGCTTGTTTGCTGAGCTGTGGTCAGATGAAAACCCATGGTCTTGTTTTCTCTCTGACATTCTGAGAGAAGCAGACTTGTACCCATACTTGTTTTCAGCTGATGTATAATTGTCAGAACCTGTTTTGCGGTACATCTTGTGAACCTGAAAAAATACAAAGTTTTATAAGCCTTAATCACATATACAGGACTGCCGAGGAAGTGTGAACATTTAGGCAATCATTAATTGTCAGTCATGTAATGAATGAAACTGTTACAGTTTGATGATATTCATGAGGATAGATAACATCTGAGTTACAAATCAGAGCGCACTGACAACAATGAAAGTAATCTCTTAAGAGCTTAGAATGTATGAAGTCTGTTTACCAATGACAACAATCAAGGCTGCGCTAGAAACGAAACAGCAGCTGGACATAGCTGAAGAGTTCCTTCCTGAGATTCGGCATACGAGCGGCTAACCGCCTAGAGACGAGAAACCAGAGCAAGATAATAAAAGTTTATATTTACCTTGTTGGTTTGATTTTGAGGAAGCGATGTTAGGACGAATAAGACGGCATTTTCGTTGAGGGGAGGTTATTTTGTCTACTTTATTTGTAGATAACCTCCTCCATTACCAGGCGAAACCGCGAAACCGACGCGCGAGTATTCCCCGTTCATTCGGTCACCACAACTATGTTGACTGTTTGAAGCACTTTGAACAAATACGCAAGCCTAAACCGATCAAACGAATGCACGTTAATTTTGTTGACAGCTGGGCCTCGGAGTTAAAGTTCGAAGCACAAGCCGATTTGGAAAAAAAACGACACTTTATGTCGTCACTTAACATTTAAAGTTTTCATCTTCATTATTGTCCCATTGTGTGAAAATTAAACTTTGAGTTCTCCACTCTTCCTCTTTGATCCTTTCGGAAGCCCCTTTCTCTTTCTCTTTCTTTCTTTTCCCAAGACATCTAGTGAGTGCGGGGAAGGGAGGGAGGGGAAAGCAAAAGCAAGCAAGAAAGACAGATATATACATGCGTATGTGAGTGTGAGAGAGAGGGACGCAAATGGCCACTGGCACGCACGGAAGTGCTTTTTCGCGGCTTTATTTTCGAAAAGATATGGTTGTGAACGACGTGGAACGATAACGAGTGCAATGAGTTCAGCATTGTTTGATTCTGCGACTGCGTTGCTGTTTCGATACTTTTCAATGTCTTCAACTCCCCACGAGGATCTGAACGCATTGAACACTCAAAGCGTTCAAACGACTGAATCCGATTTCACAGGAAGGGAACGGCGTAGCACAATGTTACCAACCTGATGGAGATTTTCACGCTCCAATATCTCATTTTCCTACCTTTCAAGAGCACACCATATCACAAATCTATAAAATTAAGGTAGAAATATTGTCAAAATTTGATCTCAGAAACTTTGCAGTACTTATTTTGATTTTGGTATGATAAAATTTAGGACAGTTTGAAGAAGCCGCGAGCCTAACCTGCTTCTAGTTCTTCGAGAGGGCAGCTGGCAGCCATTTTGGTTATTATTGTTGTAGCTCAGCAGCTCACAAAATATCCAGAAACATCGTTGTTGTGTTGAAGCTGTTCTGGGAAAAGTTGTGAAATTTTACTAACATCTAATTCAAGTGTGACTGGTGCTGATTTGCAAGCACCCCCGTCTTTTCTGCAGTGCAAACTTTTGTGTGGCCTAAGACCGTTACGGATCGGGCTGTAAGATGGCTTGCGCGACGTTAAAACGGTCACTTGAATTTGATCCTGTGCATAGCCATGGGAGGCCGTCGAAACGTCAAAGATGTCAACCTATGTGCGTTTCGCCGAGTTCTTCTCCCAAAAGTGAACCCATGACGCCACCGTCTGCATTTTCAGAAGTTTGCCCCAAGCTAACTCCAGGTAGGCTATGAGACTCCTACGTCATTTGGCAGCCATTTCACCCTCTTGCTGTTGCTACATCGCTGTACGACAAACATTCTGAGGGCAAATGACACTGTCCTATTCGCAATGAATCTGTGGTTCATGACCGTGGTGGACGTTATGTCATGCCGGCGGTATACCTTGTTCATAGGGCTGGCTTGGCTTGGATCAGCTGGCCTAGGGCCCTGGCTGTTTAGGCCAGCCAACCACCACCCAACCACTCAAAGGTTGCATTTCATGGCCAAATAAGGGTCACTGTTGAAGTCTTCTTGATTTCTCCTGTCATTTACTCGATCCTCTTATCAGCCTGATAATAATAAAAAATATTATATTTAACTCATTAAGAAGTTGACTTGTTTTTTTTTACGACTCAATTGTATGGTTCATTGTCTGGCACTCTTTGTTGTGCCTGTAGAGATACAAATTTATCTAATCAATTTTTTAAAAAAAATTAATCATGAATTTTCTGTTACTCATACGGTCTTTTTTCAAATTTTGGAAATGTCAATTCTGTTGTCAATGAAAACGGTTGAATGTTTTGAAAAAGAGAACCTGCACAAAATGACTTTTTGCCAAGCTGTCATTAATTTATCACCTTTTTCTCATCCATCATGGTTTGGATTCTTCTGATTCTCTAGAAATGATGGCAGCGACTATTAGAGAAGAGGTACAGCGGTTGCAGCGCCGACGCCAGCTGAATGGGCACTCACACGATACTGATGGATCCGCCGAAGCTTTGGAATCTCTGTCCTCTACATCCTCTTTGCTGTCTCCTAGCACCATGGATAAGCCCTTGTTCACATTCAGACAGGTTAGTTAAGACTTATGGGCCCTGACCCATTTTTCTTTCTCATATGTTTTATGTATTGTTGAAGTAGATCATTATGTCCAGCATAAGTAGTAATTTTGCTGGGTTCTGTTGTGCAATCCTTGACTGACATTTTTTGTGTGCTTGTTCTTATATGCTATGTTCTTTGTCCCAATTATTTGTTTAGGTTGGAATTATTTGTGAGCGAATGCTTCATGAGCGTGAAGTGCAAATTCGAGAGGAGTATGACAGGGCTTTGAACTACAAGCTCTCAGAACAGTATGAAGCCTTTGTGAAGTTCACAAATGACCAACTTCAGAAGCAATTTCAGGCAAACACTGCTCCAAGCTGTAAGTGTTTTTTTTTTATGTTTACCATTCACATTCAACATATATTATTTTAAATGTCTCTTTCATCATAACAATGATATGACATGCTTTATTTTATTTTTTTCCAGATCTTTCATAAGAGATCAAGATATTTTTTCATCCTTTGGATTCAAGTACATCTATAAGAGCATTGGTACTATGATTTTAGTTTACCAAGAAATTGTGTAGTTTGTAAAATTGTCCTCAAAATTTATCTCCAAGGCTACTCATAAAGAAGAAAATGGGAAATAACTTCTGCGCTTCTATTTTTGTTTCAAGCCATCTTAAATTTGTGTCCTGAAGTTTCCATTATGTAACAGTTTGATTGCTTCTCTTTATATTCAATGGCCATTTCCCCCATTATTGTTTGTAAGTGTTAATGTTATTCAAGGGGTACTAAAGTGATTTAGATTATTAAAAGTAAGGTACTGTTAAGAATCACTTGCCGGTTAGAAGTTTCAGATTTTATGTCTGATTGATGAAAAGAAAGTGATATTGGAGCTTTTTTGTAATAATTATTATTCTGACTATTTTCATCATGACTTCTCTGGCAATAATCTAGGAGGGGTTGGGTGGGAACAAGTTACTCAGTTGCTTTGAGGCTCTTCCATCAAGCTGGCACACCTTCCGCCAAATTTTGTGTTCAAATGAGGTAAGGGTATTATTATATTTAGGTATTACTGGGTATGCAGAGTACTTTTTTCGCAACTGACTGCAACTACTTTTGTAATGGGAAGCATTTTTAAAATTTGAGTTTTTATACAAATTTGAAACTTTAGACTAGGAGGAGCATGTGGCTCTGCTGTTGGTGTACATACGACCAGTTTGAGAGGTATTGTGTTGAGATCTCTCTGCTCCCGTCTGTGCCTCATTTCTCACTTACTTTGCATGTGGTCAATTTGTGTGACCCTTTTGTGTGACCCTTAATACTGCAATGGGTCATAGCACTTCAGATTTGGAGAAATAAGTAGATTAAGGCTCAGCATTTCTTCCACCTGATCATGCTTGTAACACCTTTACTTACACTGTTATGTTAATGTTTCTTTTTCAGTGATTTGTTAAAATTAAAAAAAAGTAAATAAACACTTTATCCCATTATTCTAGAAAAAAATTAAGTTTCTCTTTTGTTATTTATATAATTTTTAGTGTTAAGTATATTTTAAGTTGACTTTATTCTCCTATATTCAACTGGCTTTCAGCTTTATGCCTAAGTTTTGCAATATATGTCTTTCAGATGCTTTGAAGCAATACACAGGACTACCCGGTAGCCAAATCATGTCAGTTACTGGAGGTGACTTTTCTTGTACATATAATACTGAATGCTCAATTGTGTTGTTTGTGCACATGATTTGTTAACATTTGAATATGTACATCTGTCATTAATTCTATCCATATCCTCTTGGTGCACCTTGTAGGAATGACATGTGTGGAACTGGTGTACATACATAGTATATTTTTAACTAGTAACTTTCCACAAGCCAATCTAATACTTTGATTTTGGCAATTTATCTGAAAGATGAAATTTTAAGTAATCTCTCAATTTGATGACACATTGATCTGTGATTTACCTACCATTCTAATTGAGTCTTCAAAGAAACAAAATTGTACCATATTTTGTTCTACTGTACTGGAATTAGTCTTATGCCCTATGTGGTTTGGTCTCTGCAACAACAAATACGATAATACACGTCAAAATTATTTGCAAAGATGTGAGCCGGAAGTTGTGGAACATACCCTTTTGACAGTGCAAACTCCCCACCTTAGTCGTAAGATCATTTGTTGTAGTGAACTCGGATGTACATTACGTAGTTTAAATTACTTGTAACAAGTTTCGATAAGCATTGGTATAAATTCTGTAAAGTGACATTTATACTATTATTCTGATGCTGATGTTTTTTTGTTGAGTATAAAACGTTTATTGCAATATTTATATTAAAGTTTTGTATCAGCGTAACCATTTTTTTTACAATGGTCCAATGTGTGAGTGCTCTGCAATAAAGGAAGACAATCAGCTTGGTTGTACTCGTTTTGCCTCCTTATCGCTTCAATACACTTCAAAGACTCTTGTTCATCAACAGTAGAGGGAGCTTAGCCTCAGGTCATGGCGCCGCTGAATGAATCCACGCCTTTTGTTTCCCTTTGCGAATTATTAACTTTTATCTTCGCTCCGGCCTCAGTTCTGGATCCTCCTTGGGAAGACGTGTAGAGGTTTTGAGATGGGGCGAAGAGGAGGAGGCGGTCAAGAAGTGAAATGAGCGCATCAGATGATGCACGCCCGTCAAGGGTTGATTGGTTGGAGGCAAGACACGGGTTCGTCGTTCACCTCACTCGTTCGCACAACTTTGCTAACACTAGCGCCCCGACCCGCCACTGTAATGTCTGAACCTGAACGGGCGGCGCGGCGTCCCAAGCGGTCCGAAGGGACAGCGGCTCGGTTCTCCCTGCTCCTGCCGGTGGGAATAAAACTCGTCGAGTTAATGAGACTTGATGTGCTTTCGTTTCAAAACTTAAGCGCCACTTTGAAACTCCCTCCTCCACCGGATTCTAATGATGATTCCGCCCCCACCCCGCCATCACTCGTTCTGGTTCGACTGCCCCCCGCCCCCTCTTTTCCCTCCCCCCGCCTCAAACTTCCCTCTGCGAACACTTTGTTGCTCCTTTGTTTGTCGCGGATGATTTTCCGTTACGCAAACTTCCCTTGCTCTGAAACAACACGGCGCGGCGGCGGCGGCGCGGCCGAGGACGGCGGTTCGTCAAAACCCGAGACGAGGCGGACGGCGCAGCGCCCCGCGGTCCGATCTCCAAGTCCTGCATCCCAGCCATGGTCGCGGACAGCCATCTGTGGCAACAGGTGTGTTGGACAGAGTGGACCTGCTGGGCTCGGCTGGGCTGCAGCAAACTCCATCTGCAGATGGCGGGGCGACGTGGCTCGACGCTCCACCCGGCCAAAACCTGTGTTTTGACGAAACGCTGAGGGTGTCGTGCTGCAGGGCCGCAGGGCCGCGCAGCAGCAGCAGCAGAGGCGCGCAGCACGCTGCAGCACGCGGGGACCCTTAGCTGGATAAGCTGCACTCGCCTCTTGACCGGGATACCGCCCCCTCCCCTCCCCTCCCCCCAGGGCGTGGGCTGGCAGGCCTGGGTGTCGCGCTGTCGCCTGGCCGGGCCAACCTCGCGGGGCGGGGAGGGGCGGGGCGGTGTCGGCAGTGTGTCACCACGGCACGCCCTTGGGGTGCCCCGGCCCAGGGCATTCACTGCCAACCTTTGAGCAGCAAATGACTGATGGCAATCTCCTCCCGGAGCCTTTGCCTCGCCGTTGTGTTGGCAGCACTTGTAGCGCCACCGCTCCGCCGAGATAATGTGGCGGTCTAAACCGCCTCGGAACGGAACGCCGGAACGGGGCCAGCCTGGAGGGCCAGCCTAGAGCCAGCCTAACCTAACCCAGCCCAGAGGGACAACCTAGAGGCCACCCTTAAGGTCTACCTCGGCCGCGCGGTCAGCCTGGCGAGCAGGCAACCCGTCGGCATCCCTGCGCTACGGGGCCTGGGTTGCCTACCCAGCACGGCGCTTGGAGCACAGCGCCGCACTGCACCGCCGCGCTGTGCCCCTCCTGCGGCTGGCGTTCGTTTGGGTACCTCCTCTCTCGTCCGAGTGTTTCCGTGACCCAGAACGGGCCGAGGCTGGTGGGGAGAGGGTGGGCGGGGCCAGCGGGGCCCGGCCTTTTCGGCAGAGGCCCACTAAGTGCAGGTCGGGCAGGTGTACTTGACGTCTTGTCCTCGTTGACCCACATCACGGAGCAGCGCGGAGCTGGCGAGATGAAGGGAGGCGGAGATCACTATCGCGGTGCCCGCCCCGCCGCACCTCGCCCCGCCGCCGCGCCCCGCCCCGCCCCGCCCTGCTCTGTCGCGGCAACACCCAGCCCCTCACCGTGCCTCGCCCTCTCGGCGCGAATCTCAAACAATTTTCTTGGAATCGAACTGCGGGGCGACAGGGGCGAGCGTGAGGTGGTGGCGGCCCCTCCCTCGCTGCCGCTGGCTACGTCGTGCTACGTCGCGCTTCGTCCTCATATAGTAATCATGGCCGAATGCTCGAGTCGTCCCCGTTACGACGACGCGCAGACTTTGCCGCCGAGCACGGCGACGGTCGGGGAGAAAGTCTTCTCGCGGTGCGGCGAGCTGGCCGAGGACGCCGGGCAGGCTGGACTATTGTCCGAATCGTTTCAGAGCCCCCGAGCCCCGGGTTGAGTTTCCGAGGCGAGGTCAGGTCAGGTGAAATGCAAAACGCTCGCCAGAGGGCCGTGTGCATTACGGCTCGCGTTCTTTGCTGCTACGCCACTGGATTAGCTACATGATCCCCCCGGAGGCCACCGGAGTGGAGCCAGAGGTAAAGTGGAAGGCTGGGGGGATTGCTGGAGGATGAGTTTCGCCTCCCCGACACGCCGCACCGCGCCGCACCGCGCCGCACCGCGCCACCCACGCGAGCAGGAAATGGTTCCAGACGGCTTTCGGCTAGCATATGCATGGCCACGGAAGCTGCCTGGGCAACGCCCCCTCCCCCTGCAGGCTCCTGGAGAGCTTCTTGTCCGCGGGGACGCGCTGCTGCGGCCGCAGCCGGCCAGCACCACCGACCTGAGCATCATGGCCACGGCCAGGCCACGGCCAGGCCACGGCCAGGCCACGGCCAGGCCACGGCCAGGCTGGCCACCAGGGGCCGTGGCGCCTTGCGGGCGGCCGTGCGGCCGTGGGGACGGGCTTTGCTTTGCTAATGGGATAATGAGGCCTGGACTGGCTGGGCCTGCGTCCAGCGGCCTGCCCCACACGGGATGGCGGGGGCGCCGCAGGACCCCCGGGACCCTTCAGAACTTCCACCGCCAAGCCCTCAGTTCAGTGCCTCGGCCGGCATCATCCCGACCATCACACCGCACTCCGCCGCGCAGGCCCCCCTGTCGACTGATTCCGAGGGCCGCCTTCATCGCTCTGTCTCTCTCGCACTCGTGGGGCGTCCCGTTTAGGTGCGAGAGAGACAAAGCGACGAAGGCGGCCCTCGGAATCAGTCGACAGGTTCACTCGTGTGGCTGGCTGCTACCCCACGCCCCGGCGGCACGGGTTCGAATACCCAACTTCTTTGATTTCTTGCAGCCGCGCTGCGGCCAGCCCAGCCCGGCGAGTGTGCCAGACAGTTTGGCCACACTGCCCCGAGCGGCCCGAGCGGGCCCGAGGCCTCACAGCCTCGCCGAGATACCGCAAAACGTATGTTAATGTCCGGGCCGACAAAGTGCCGAGCTGTCCCAACACGAGCCTGATAAGGGCGAGGGCCTGGCGGCTGCGGACTGCCCCCAAAGTCCCCCGGCCCGACCGCCACCAAGACCAAGACGAGGGGCAGCAAGCTGGGCGCAACCGCCGAGCCTCTGCTCTGGGCTGGAAACCAAAGATTATTACCAAGTCAATCCCCCGGAAGAAACAACTTTGTTGGCCGCGCCCGCCTTTGAACTCGGACTTCATACGCTCGAAGGAAAGTAAAAAAAAAATGTAAATAAAATAAGTAAATGAAGGAAGGAGTGAATGGCAGGCCCGAACCTCGAACCCCGGCCACGGCGCGGCCAGTGGCGCCAGTGGCACAGCCCATGCAGCCCACGCCGCGCAACGCCGCGCCGCGTTGAGAGATCCCCTAAATTAATTGGCCTAATTTACGAGCCTGTCTTTGATGACGAAGCGGGAACAGCGAACAGCGGCAACGCTCGGCCCTTCGTTCGGCCCTCCGCTCGGCCCGGTCCAGATTCCAAGGCGAAACTCATCGGCGGGAACGAGGCGCGGGGAGCGGGCGCGGGGAGCGGGCGCGGGGCGGGACTCGAAGAGGAGCTCGAAGAGGAGCTCGAAGAGGAGCTCGAAGAGGAGCTCGAAGAGGAGCTCGAAGAGGAGCTCGAAGAGGAGCTCGAAGAGGAGCTCGGGGTGCAGCTGCACGCCCAACGCGCTGCAGCGCCACCAGCGCCACCAGCGCCACCAAGCACACCAAGCTGCCGCTCGCTTCTCAAGTTTTCCATTCCTCTCATAACTTTGGATTAAATGAGGCGATAAAGGGTGTCATGGCCGAGCTCACTTTTTAAAACGCAAATAATTCGTTGTTTAAAAACGCCCTCCCGCCCCACTCCCTAAGTGAAATCCAGGCTGCACCACCAAATGCAGTGCGCGCCTCGCCGCAGCGTCGCACCGCCCGACACGGCCAACGAAGGAAACGGCGCGGTAAGCCGCTTTGCATAAAACTCAAAATGCGCCCGCCCCTCGCATATTCCCACGGGCTTAACGCGGAATTGTTTAGGTGGTTTGAGCGGGGCGCTCGCACACACACACACACACACACACACACACACACACACACACACACACACACACACACACACACACACACACACGTTATCACGCACATACACACATACAGAGGCTGCTGGTTCGCTGCGACAATTTGTCTCTCATCATTTTCACCGCTTCCCCCGCATGATTCCTGCTGTGTGTAACCACGCACGCCGCGCACGCCGCTCGCGCCGCCAGGGCAGGGCGATTGCCGCGTCGAGTACGGAACAATCCCGCTGGTTTCGTGTTCCGTTTTCGGCTAGCTACCGTGTCGTGCACAGTTTGAAAAGCCAGTTCCGTTTCGCTTTTGACTTGTGGTTTGGTTAGGTGAGGCTAGGTGAGGTTAGGTTTGGTTGGATCGGGTTATTTTGTAAACTAAAATATGCAAGCCGCTGCGCGCTGCGCCACGAAGAAGACGGCAGCCTTCGGCCGGGTCTCGTCACGGTGCAATTGACTTGCATTGTTCTCGAGACAAGACGAAAGTCTTTGCCTTGCAGAGGGCCTGGAGGGCGGCCTGGAGGGCGGCCTGGAGGGCGGCGCCGCCCCGACCGCTGCAGCGCGCTGCTGACTGGGCGGACCGGGCGGGCCGGGCGGCATACGGATATGAAATGGCACCAAAGGGAACTGGCGCTCATTCTGCGGGGCCGCGAGGCGCACCGATACCTGCG